GCTCTCAATGTATGGTATTAAGACCTGATTGCAATTTATCACTTTGGTGATAATATATAACTCAGAAATTCAAATGACTAATATTGCTACTCTTAGACATGTACATGTATATATTTTATTTTTTGTCATGTGCTTTATTATTAAACAGTTCATAAATTTATAAATGGATCTGGAAGACTTAATTTATATTTCAATATATTTATGCAATTGTTATTATGAAAATTGTATTAATTTTACTAACATCTCTCAGGAGAGGAACTTGCAAGTTGACAGAACTTGTTTCTGAACTTTTGTGTATCACAAAGTAATTACACAAGAAAATATGTTCAAATCAAACAGTACTTAACTATTGAACTGGTTGAAACTTAAACATTTGCCGTTTGTAATATACACCAAATACAAACATTGTCAATGTATTGTTAGAGTTTCCATCATGTACTTTAAGTTGTAAACATGAATTTGATAAAGTTTAATTTCACTCTTTACAACTATCAGTCATTCAGTCCTCTTGTCCTCTTTTCTGAGGCTATTTTTTGAAAATTTTACCCCACTGAGTTGTAATTATGTCTTATACAAAGCTTTTTAAACCCGTATCCTGAAAATCCATACCCAACAACTTGATGTCTATTGAAGAGAATTGGTATGCCATATATGGAAATAACCGGTTTTTCTGGTCTTAAATGGGTACTGATTCGCTGTCACTATTGATTTCCCATACGGGAAAAACTCGTGCTGGTAAAGTTTAAATCTACCGGACAGTTGAGGTGCAGACCCTGTTCTGGACAGCACTGACCGCTCCTAACTACTGAAAATAACAAGGTGAGGTCGCCTTAATTTAAAATTTGCTCGTTATTTTTTTCAGCTTCCCTTAATTTTAATCAAAATAGTAAAATTGTTCGACTGTATAAGGTTTCGCGGTAAAATACTTAACCTCGACCTGGTTTAGGGACATTTTCATTCACAACCAAACGTTGACTGCCCGGTTAATGAGCTAATCATTGTAAGTATCTTAAGAATTACATATTTACGCCTGCGTTGTATCTCTTCAAATTTTGAACAAAAATTGTTCTATAAACTATTAAATGCTTTTGCCTTTATTTTTCTTGCGAAAATCAGCTGAATGTGTTTCCAGAAACAATTAATGGGCAACGTTTAAAACTTTTTTTCATATAGAAACGACCAAAAAGGCCTACGATATGAAAAATAATTAATGTGAAAAGAATTACGCTGTTAGTATTGTAAAATTTACTTGGCACAATAAAAATCTCCCTTTCTTTTCCTGCAAAAGTTCAAATTTATTAAGGCAAAGCTTCAACTTTATATATTAGTTTAAACCACATTTTTAATTTGAAAATTATAAGCATACAATACAGACATTAAGTAAAGATCAAGTTTGAAAACATCTTAATCAGAATATATAATCATATATATTCATTTCTGAAAGTGATTTTTTTTTCCAGAAAATTTCTATCCCTTCTCTGCAAGTTTTGTAAAAAGTTTATTTCTTGTAAAACTTTGAACATTTTCACAGCTGAGGTATTTTGTCCTTTCGCATTAGATAAAAATTCAAATCTTCATTGGTGGAACTTTTTAGTTCAAAGTACTTGCAAAATTAGACACAGGGGTATCAGAAACCGGTTCTTAAATGACCCAGGCCTGAATGTCTCGTATCTGACTAGGACATGTTAAATGATTTGATAAATGCCTCGTCTCCACAATCGCTCAGAAAAGCAATGATGATGAAAAAGTTCTTCAAATGAAATAAATGTTTGGTGAAAGCCTTTAACTGTAGGGGCGTTCATTTAATTGTGAAAATTGACTCTCCCGTAATTCGTATGTGTATTCAATAAGTCTTCATAAAAGGGCAATAGCGAAATCCTCCAGGGAATTTCATTCATTTCGTATCAATGATCACTGAAGCAGAAAATATTATTTAAAACAAGTATAGAGGTATGCTAATTCTATTTCAGAAAGCCTGATTAAGAGCTTGACGTGTTAGGGAAAGCAAACATATACTTTTTTGTTTTTAAATCTTCGTTGGTGGTATTTCGCAGAGATTGAAGCATTATGTTTGCATACCATTTCAACATATATTATGATTCAGAGTATCACCGTACTTTATGGTCAAGTAATAATATACATGTAATATACTTCCTATCATTAACGAAAAATTGCTTAAAGCATGAGACGAAAAGCCGTTTAGAACCAACACAGATTTTTTCAGTTGGTGTACAGTCAGAGAGAGAGAGAAGGGGGGGGGGGGGTTCAATACTGTTATTTTACGTTTCTTTTTGGATCGAACTTCCAATGTATTTTTTTTATGACTTTCGGAGTACATTTTCTAAAAAATATAATGAAATATTTTTACAAGACTTTTTAGGAAAGTAAAAAAATCCCGGCTGTTAATGTTAACGTTATCAAAATAAAGAGGCGAGAGTTGTCACGGCATGTTAGATACATGTATATGCAAGAGGTCTATAATTATTTGCATTCCGTCTTCTTGATTTGAATCTTTAAAGAAGATCAGTGTATTTCACAATCTTATTAAAGTAAGGTGGCGCATGCGATGTCCTACTAGAAAGAAATCTGTTTAAAAATATAAATCATTGACACACAATTCAGCCCCGATAATACGAAATAAAAACAAAATGAGTTATTATAGATTCGTATAATGAATTATAAAAGAAAAATATTGTGGTAAAGTCAGTATATCTGTTACACATTACCTTCATCTTTCTAAAACAATGTCATTGGTATAAAGATTTTATCTTATTAGTAGCTAACATGTCCTTGTGTTTGTCCGTCAATATGCACCAATAACACAAGTACTATAGCATAAGTGGGGGGTTTGGGGTAAGAGGAAGACCCCTACAGTTATCAGGGTCAATTTATCGAATATTTTGAAAGATCCCGGTCAGGTTAATTGTTATGTCCATTACACATTACTTTCATTTTAAAGATCCCTTTAGTTTTAATTAAAAAATGAGAAAGGAAGAAAGATATGACGAGTCTGATGCAAAATCTGGAGATTTTGAAAACTGCAAGTTCATATTAAAAAAAAAAATACTTTTGGGGAGATGCCTTTAGATTTTGGAGTCAGTGTCAAAGGTCAAGACTCTATATTACCATTGCTATACAAAAACTTGTATATATTATAAATGTACAATCTTTTTTCTAGATAAAAAATGACTGAAAGACATTAGATTATGTTGTCTCATGAACACAGATTATTGATATTTTAATACGTATTTTATTGACACGAGTACAGCACCCCGTTTTTGTTTTATTACATAAATGGAATTTTGGTGAACTGGGATTAGAGAACAAACTTGATTTTGAGGTCATTTGGTAAAAAAATGTTTAATGTTCCTTTACACATGCGTTTTCATGCAGCACAAACATTTGTGCATATTTCAGCATGCAGACTTCATTCACTACACATTTTCGAATGGACATTAATAGAGTCTCAAGTTTTTTTTTCTAAAGAGCAGGCTAAGAAGGTCGACAATGATATAAAAAAAAAAACCTGCAAGATCCTTAAGTTTTTCTAATTCTCAATTTTCTATTATGAATATCTATCCTTGAACGAATGCAACCGAATTCTGTGATCCATAATCCAGGCTCAAGTAATGAACAAAAGTTCAAACTATGATAGAGTGCGGGCGATTTCAACCCCTCTCGTATAGGTTAGATTTAATCTTTTCTGTTCTTTTTTCACAAACCTGCATGATATCCGACATCATTAACAACGAATTTGAGGTCCATGAATAGAATTTCGAAACCAAATTTTTTCGTGTCATTATTTTCCACCAGTCGGTGAGCAAATTATAGTTGCAACCTTGAAATTTATTTGCATACAAAGCTGTTGTCTACATTTAACTGCAACAAGAGCTTATCAGTTGGATATTCTAAATAAAGATAACCAGATTTGAAAATATTCTCTTGATCACTGGATGCATTTTGCCAATTAAGATGCAATGTTTCTAGGAATCTTATCGTGACACTGAGGATCAGACTGAGGATATACAACTACAAAGCATTATCTATTAATATTTATTTAGTTCTCAGTGTTCACTGTCAGCTCAGATTACCAGTCAATTTTATAAAATCTGAATATTTGTAAATTTTGAATCGAGACTTGAAATGTCTCCATGCTGTCAACAACATATATCCATTGACATGCACGGATTTAGAGGGGATGGGGTGTGGTTCGGATCTACTAGGATTTTCAGCGTTATGAAGTTAATAAAGTTACAAAAACGTTGGAACCACCCTAAGAAACACGGACCTCCTGTATATAAGTGAGAAGTGTCTTGTATAAGAAGGAAATTTGCAACCTGTCACCAAACTAATTCCCTCTTCAATCCCCGAAAAGTTTTTTGTTTTATTTATTTGCTTATCAAAATATTTCTGTATTGCTTATCAAAATATTTCTGAGTGGGATTTGTTGTTGTTGTTGTTGAGTGGGTATTAACCCCTTCCAGGGGAAAAAATATTCCTGGATCCGCCCATGCATTATATCGCATATTCATTAAAAACGTTCGTATAATTATTGAAGTTACGATCCTTTGTAATATTTTAGCTAACAGATTGTAAGATTCAATTTGAGTATTTCACGTTGTATTTAAGGTCTATTGACCCCCCCCCTTTTTTAGTCAGAGAGAAATAACTCTCACCGTGATTAATGGCTAGATTTATTGTGAAAAATCATTCCCATGAATTCTCATGAATAATGAACATGAAAAAGAAAGTTAAAGCATGCGCGGATCTAGAAGGGGGGGGGGTCCGGACCCCCCACAGGAATTTGCAGAGTTATTAAAAGAATATATACTGAAGCAAGTAAAAAAAATGACTTTGGAACCCACTCCCTCCCTATAGAACGTGGACCCCACCATCACCACCACGATTTTTTTTTTTTTTTAACACCTTTGGGAAATGGGATACGCGCATGTAAAGAAATATATGATTTTTATCAAAATGTCATTATTGTAGCACAGAGCGGGTCTACATAGCCGCACCATGGAAGGCGGTGCGACAATGAGGGGCCTTTTCGTCATTTGTTTTCTGTGGACGGTCGCAGAAGCTCAAGGTACTTTAACATTATTAACCCCGGGATCGGAAAGCGTTTAATTTTGCCGCCATATTTGAAGATACTTAGCATTATTATTTTGATAAATACATAAAATGGATTTTGTTGTTCCAGTGATATAATATTTACTTATCATTTGACTGTCTTTATAAATTTCAGACTGCCAGCCCTTGGATGTCATCAACGGCAATACATTAACAATTCAAGTCCCTGAAGCAGACGATCAAAGTAAGATATCTACGATATTCATTGATATTTGTCCAGCTAATGAACTAATGAATTATGAAGGACTGAAATAACTAACAATACATGTGCATAAACTGATAAAGAATTAAGATCTTGCATTTATCCTTTTCAGATCTTTTAACTAACAATCCAGACTTCTACACAAAGCAAATCAGAATTGGTGGAACCTATAACCAGGGAGGGCTGAATTTACAGCTATCTCAAGGGACTGCAACATTTAATCCGAATACATACTTCGTTTTCACGACAGCACCAAATAGCTTTACCGGAATTTATCTTCGTCTAAATCAACCTGTTGATAGAGATGTATGTATTATTTTATACCTGGGAACATGGGGAAGATCAAGTCATTATAAAATCAAGAAATGTTGAACAATTATACATAATTATTATAAGTTTAAAAAATCATGATAATGGGGATAAAATTGACCCCACCAGGGCTTTCAATTATTTCAATGTGGAGAGATGAATTTGTGAATTTGAAGAGGCTGCTTTAGAATTATTTCCAAAAATGTATTTTGCCAATCATGAAATCTGAACCAAAGAATTCCCATCTTGAAACTGTGATAAATTGCCTCCTGCCTCAACTTATTGAAAACCCTGTCTCACAATAAAGTTTTTATCCACATACTTAAAAGCACTAAGAACTGTAGGCTCATATAAGTAATGACACTAATGCAAAAAAAATTATACTTCAGGTCTGATGATTTGTTTCTCAAAAAACTGTTTTTGTATTCCGATCTTCATAATATACCAGGGATATTTATAATTATTATTATCTGATGATTCCTAAACTGTTTTCATAATGTCTAAAAACTATATAACTATATAAACCAAACATTATTTTGTCAGCAATTCCAGTGTCTTTCTAAGAGGATTATTTAGTAAATACCATCCTCTGGAATTTGCACGAATAAGTATCTCAATTTTTTGTGAGAAAACTTGTTAAAGTTACAATATTTCAATCGCAAAGTCTTGGGAAAAATTATACATTATTGAGGAACATATATTGTCTGTCGCTAGCAAGAGATGTTTAGCAACCACGAAAGAAAAATATCTTCGATGGCATCTACAATATAAAATAGTAAAAAGTGTCAAAAGAATTACGATCATATGAAATTTGATTAAATATTACAGTGTAGACAAAATATCAAATTTATAGTTTGAGGCATTAATTTATACCTTGATCTGAGTTAAACAAGGTCCAAAATAACCTTACATGTCCGGAATTAACCAAATGTTGATGCAGACAAGGGGACTTATGAAAACCTTTTTCATCTCTTTGTAAAATTATCAATCACAGGGTTTGACACTAAGACACGTCCGACAGACCCAGTCTAGTAAATGAGTGGTCCGGTCGTGTAAAATGTATGTGAACTAGACCGATTGGTCGTGTTGATAAAATAACTATTAAAGTCCCAGTTCGATGTTCAAATAAATAATCTAATAACTTTTAAAGAAATTTTCTTCTTTCTCCAAAGCCATATTGCTGTATGAAGGGAAAAAAAGAACCCGCATAACACAATCGCTATTTTTAGCCACGGCTGTAATTGGCAAGTCACAGTTGAAACTACTATCGTTCAGTATCAGTATGGTTAAAATAGTTACGTATAGTACAGTTTTAAATTTATTAATATTTAGGATAATCATTTTATTTAATTAATGTTCTTTAAGGCTTATAATACTCGAATATCCCGATAAACCAAACTCAATCATTGGCTGGGAACTGTTGAACAGTCTGTCAAAAATATTGACACGCACAAAAGACGATGTCTTTCTTAAATATGGTTTCAAAAGTTACCTCATTAAAATTCTCGATTATAAGAAATAAATTTGCATGTTTGGTCAGGGCTAGTGATTTTATGGCCAGGGCTATGGAAAATTATCGGAAGTAGCCCGATTGGTCTAGTGCTTATAAAAGTTAATGTCAAACCCTGAATCAGTTGAACATGGAAGAAAATGCTTTACCATTAAATGTTTATTTATATTTTTTAAGAAATCCTCAGTTTATGTTTTCTTAATTTGTGTTTATGCTATACTTTTAACAATAATTGAGAATAGGTATGATCTTTTTTCATGTTAACTTAATCTAGCTATGATGAGTCAGTGTATTCAGTTTAATACTGTGACAAAAGCTGGCTATTGCTATATAAGTAATGAACCAGGCTAAAAATGTTTTTTCTATGAAATATATAGTGTAAAAATGAAATTTTGACTCATCTATGGCAATATACTGTATTATTTTCAATATTTATTTTTCACAGGGAAATACATTATCGGCAAGGAGTGTTGGAAGCAGTGAAACGTTCACACTCACATGTACTACTGGGACAGGAACTACGGTACAAAATTCTTAAATCAACTTCTGGACATAGTATATATTTCTGATTAATTGCATTTAGAACATTTTGATATATTAAAGTCATATTTTCTTTGAATTTTGTATCTTGATTTACATGTAGAAGATAAATGTAGATAATATAAATGTACTTTAATAGTTTATATGTAATCACTGCATTTGAATATACATGTTTATCAATCTAACTCCAGAGAACGTACTCCTTGGTGGTGCAGTTTGTGGATCAGAATGATAACAGTCCTATTTTCCAAAACACTCCATATGCTGTTTCTGTGAATGAGGTTTGTTTTGTTGACTGTATGTACTCAGTTTTAAGTAAGACTTAGGAATGAAATAAAATTAACATCACTGCAAATTAACTATATATTCACATAAATTTGTGAGATTGTCTTGACACCAAAATAAAGTTGTTATGAATAGTAAAATGAAGTAAGTTTGTTATTGTTTGAATGATATCCAAAAATTAGTTTTCAAGAATATTATATTACTGGCTCATGAAAATGAAGTTTTGTGAAATCAAGATGATTTATAATTTAAAAATTGACAAACAATAGTGTAAATGCTAACAGTAGCTAAAAATCTTACATGTAGTTGTTTTAAGTGCAAATTTATCAGAAAGAACAAATTTTGATGGTACAAAACATACATGTACCATTAGGCATTATGTATTTGTGTAGAGCTCACTTTTTCAGCAAATTTTAACCCAAAAGTAATGCATGGAAAATATATCAGCGTACCTGTACATAGACATCATGGTGAAATATTTAAAAGAACAAAGTTTTCCTTTCAAATTTTTGTTTGTTTACATTTGTGTTGAAATGGAATATTTACAGATAAAATTGTACTTTCAAGTCTTTCATGAAGGATTATTTTATTGTAGTTGACACCTATTGGGCAGACAGTCTTTCAACAGATCACTGCTACAGATGCTGATCAGTCAATCAACAATCGACAAATCTCTTATAGTTTTGTTTCTGGAGATGGCACAATTGTGAGTACTTATATGAAAGTTCAGAGTAAATGTTGAAATGTAGACAATTAGCTTACATGTTTCTATAGTAAAACACACTTATAGCGAACATGCGTATAATGAATTGACGCTGAGAGGGAAGTGATTTTCATTCCCCATGACTTTAAAATATATTGTAAACTTACTGAATATAACGAAGTATGCTTATAACGAAGCAAAATTGTCCTTCCTGACACTTCATTATAAGTGTGTTTTACTGTATTTTAAATGCTAAATTGTATTTGTAAAGCCAATTAAATGACATTTTTAAAGGGAAAAAAGGTAATAGTCACATACTTCTTTGTGTCTAGTCTTTATATACATGTAATTCTTAGTTTCTATCCTCTATATCATAGGAAATCTTCAAGCATATTTCATACCACAGTAACAGATATATGAAAAAAAATAAGAACTCTGAAGCTTTCTTTGGCTTTTACATGTACCGTAATTGTGGTATTATATAGATAAATTTACTGCTTGTTGATACAGGGTGATGGTAGTAGATTTTTTGCCATCAACCCAACAACAGGAGTGGTGACTGTGAGAGAAACATTGGATTACGAAGGTTTAACAAACCAGAATAAGCAGTACACCATTCAAGTTCAAGCAACAGTGAGTAGAAGATTACCTAAACTTACATTAATAAGAATCATGTGAAAATTTTTCATTTTTTTTGTTCAGTGGGTCATGTCCAGATGCAAATGAAATAATTTATCAATAATTATTATTTACTATTCATTATCTGTAATTTAGTATCATTAAAATCTAAATTATAATGTCCAACTAGATAACCATGCAGTTTGTCATGATTATTGAAACATGTTGGTCACTCCGTGCAAAGTTATCTATACTTTTTTTTCTAAAACTGGGAATTCAGTATGGTCACATGACCAATTTACTGGACTGAACAAGGTTTTATTGGACCAAAATTTCAATGAAATAATAAGAGTATTTTAGCTTTTATACTAATTCAGGGAGTAAATGTTAACCAAACATGCTCCACAATTAATTGGAAAATTTGGAAAATATCACCTTTTGTCTATCAAGGGAAATTCAAATCACCTCTGGATTTGTGAACAAATTGGAACCAATGGTAAACATTTAATCTGAATTGATATTTGAAAAATATTAGACACGGTAATATTTTACCAGATATGAACTGATGGGGAGTTGGAGTTATGGCACTTGTAATGTCCAATCCCAAATGTTCCTTGATACATGATAAAAATGAATCTAAACTAATGTTTATGCAAATAACAATGGGAAAGTTTTATTAATTTTGCAATGAAGTTTTAATTGCAATTGAATGACAGTATAAGCTAATTGTTGATGTTTTGTTCATAGGACAATCCAGTGAATTCAGCTGAGAGGAGGACCAGTACACAGTTTTTCTCAGTGACCATTATAGATGGGGATGATTTGGGTCCAGCCTTTGAATATTCAACCTGTTTTAGATACAGTGGTTACTGTTTTGATCCTCGCTACACAAGTAGTGTGACGTCAACAACACTGGTATATAATCTATTGGATGTTACTTACTGTGATTTCTAAACATTGTTTGATGTAGCACACTATCAGATTGACAGTAATATGGCTATGATATAACTTCATGCCTTTCATATGCAATTTATTATACACGTAGGTACATAAGCATAATGTTTTATTATCATATTGTTTGATTCAGTATTTGTGTGGAGACAGATTTTGACTGTAATGTATGGTAATTTTCTCTTTTTCAGAATAGCCAGTTGGTTGTCTTCCCTTACCCTCCACAAACTCCATTTAACCAGGCAGTGACAATTCAAGCCAGAGACAAGGACACACTAAATGCTCCTATTGTGTTTGATATTGAAACAAGTTAGTGTTTTTATTGAACAGAAAGTTATTTATAAGTTAGTCATAAGTAACCAGTTCATATATGTTTGTCTAGAAAAAGTTTCCAAGTAAAAAACATTTTGTGCTTCTTACCTGCTCAGCAAAATTTGAGATATGGATTGTTTTACATGTATATCTATATGATTTTTTCATTTTTTATTTTGAATAGCTGTGCCAAGTGGCTATACATCATTCTTTTCTGTGCAAACTCAACAACAGACTGGGTCAAATTTCTACTCTGCATTCATTACCCAGACCCAGAGCATTAACAGAGCTAGTGTTGGTGGCACCCTGAAGCTTGTATTACGGGTGAGAGGGAGAATTAAGATTTCAAATATGTTAAACACTGCTCACTTTATATAACTCTGAAATTATATGCACTGAGATGAGAAAAAAAAAATTAAGAATTTTATATTCATATAGGTGAATGCTAATGGTTATAATAACTGTCTTTTTTTCTGCTTTCCAACAGGCCTCTGAAGAGACTGGCCATAGGCGCAGTACTCGTGCTATAGTGGATATTATCGTTTCGGGAACCAATGACTTTGACCCAGTTGTAACAAGTTCCAGTGGTAGCTTTATTGGTACGATTAGTGAAGACGCTGATGCAGGAACACCATTGAGAGCCCAGGGCAGTACAGATGCACTACAGCTGGTTGTCACAGACCAGGATGTGGTATGGAAATCTTGTTTTCTTTTACCTTGTAATGCATATTCACAATACCTCTGATGAAGTCTGACTTCACTTGGTATGATAGATTTCTTTCCAATTATTTTAAGGGAAGAAGCAATATGCTTTGTAGTAAAAAATTATAAATATATATTTACATTCAGTGTAATTTTCTTTATGAAATCCATTAGAAATCTACGACGTTCAAATCTCTATAACACACGCGAAACCTTGTCACCGCACGGTGGAATACACAGTAGGAACTATATGCATTTTCAATACTCTAGGAACACCAAAATGGATATTGTTTTGACTCAATTTAATTAAAAACAATTACCCTGTTAAATTATCGTAAAAATACAACAACTCTGCATCAAAAATTATTTGTCATTTTTTTCCCTCGCAATGTTCATTTGCGTTATTTAACTTTCCGACGTCCCAAACGGCTGTTACGTCTATTAAGCACACCAGCTTTGAAAGGCGCTAAATTCATAATGAAGATTAACGAAATAACAATTTTGAAGAGAGAAAATTAGAGAATGTAAATATAAGCATTGAATTCTTATTTTTGGATGTTGTCGGTCCTATAACACACCTGGCCGTGCCGACAAATTGAATACCGCGCGTTAGCGCAGTATTCAATTTGTCGGCACGGCCAGGTGTGTTATAGGACCGACAACATCCAAAAATAAGAATTCAATGCTTATATGTAACTGATTTGGATGTGGAGGAAGGATAGATTTTTTTTTTTTTTACATATACATGCATGCATATTGTGGAATCATTAGATTTGAGGTGGCTCAATATTTGTGGAATTTCTGGGTACCCTTCATTCATGAATTTACATTCTCCACTAATTAATATACTAGGGTTTCAAAATCATATTTCCTTTTGTGGATATGAGTAAATACTTGAAATTACGTCCCCACAAACCTGTAAAATGTAAGCAATTCATGAAAATTGGCCCCCACGAATTTTGATGATTCCACAGTATTAAGGAAAAATCATATCCCAAATATTGACAAAACAAACCTTGTTCATTACAGCTACCTGGAGACCCAGACCCGACCTATTTTTTCGTGCCTTCATCCAATGTATTTACAGTGAACAGTAAGGGGTTCATTTCCCTGATTAGTGCTGGTAGTCTGGACTTTGAGACAGATTCACAGTTTACATTCACAGTAAGATTTTACTGCACATTTTAATCACATGTCTTTCACCACTCATCATAAAAGGTATGGAAATTTTTTAAAAAAGGCAGTATGTTAAGTTTTATAATAAAAACAATCAAGAATCACATCTACAGGTATGAAGGTAAATAAGAATTCATTCTGTGCATGTTTCAACTACCAGTGTGACCCTTTGTCCTTCATTTTAGGTCCTTGTAAGAGAAGCTAACACAATAGAGAGACGCAGTGCCACAGCTACAGTGACAGTAAATGTACTCAATGCTAATGATAATGCTCCATTATTCCCAGCTGCTGCCTACCAGGCCACCATCAGTGCAGGAGGCTACACACCCAGTAATGCAGTCACTGTTGCAACGGTAATGCCTCTAAATGAGTTTGGACTATGTAAATAAATGAAGGTGATTGAAGTGATACCAAAATAGCTTTTGTTAATGATTTCAGGTACAAGCAACAGATGCAGATACAGGAATATTTGGCCAGATTTCTTACTCTATAACTGCAGTCAGTAACTCTAAAAATGCCAATGATAATGCCATCAGTAAGTTCCGAATCAGTGGCTCTCTTGGATTGGTGGACTGTATTGGGAGTGTATCTGGAGATGAGCAGTATACCATCACAGTCAGGGCTGCTGATGGGGGCACAGGTCTTGATCAAAGGTATCTTCAGCTTGCATTGAACAATGTCTTATCTGTAAATATAAAAAAAGGGAAATAAATGATTTTTTTTTAAATTTAATTCCCTTGTTCAGGTTTGCTACAACAGTAATTGTGGTAGATGTCACTGGGACAGCTGTTAACCAGGGTCCTTCATTCACAGCTGGTACATACAACATCAGAGTCAGTGAGGGAGTCCCTGTAGGAGCCTCAGTGTTTGCTTCTCCTGTAAGATTTAATTATACTGCTATTTTTATCTAGAACAGTCCCAATTTTTTAGGAAACAAAGTGCAAAGTTTTATTAAAAAACATTAATTTACAATTAAATGGAGATACAAATGAAATATGCAGCAACAAGATAACGTTATTTGTATGAATACTTGCAGGCTTCTGACCCAGAAGGAAACACGATAACATTCAGCATGCAAGACATTACCTTCAACAATATCCAGATTTCTGACTTTGTCATGAATTCAACAAAGTATGTACAATTCAAAGATTATTCAGTTGTTTGTGTACCGATATATTTAAAAGTTTGCTGTTTGGAACAGACTGATGCAATGCAATGCATAAATTTGCATTTTATTTCAGTGGGATACTTTCAACAAGAAATACTCTGGACAGAGAAGGAAGACCCAATTATGTCCTGATTTTGTTTGCCAGAGAAACATCTACAAGCAGGGTATGCTTTAAACATGAAGAGATTTCATATTTCTTTTACATTTAGTTATATATTAAAATCATAAATAGTAATTGATTTATTTTGTATGAAAACTAAAAAGAATTTTTTTGAACTATTAAGGTTTACTTCTTATAAAATACATGTATGTTTCATTGGTGTTTCAGAGTGCCACTGCAACTTTGTCAATTTCCATCATGGACATTAATGACAACAACCCAACATTCTTAAACAATCAGATCTATTCATTCAGTGTTCAAGAAGGACAATCTAGCCAGGTTGCTGTTGGAACAGTTACTGTAAGTTTTGTTTTATGACATTTTTATATTGAATTGATTGAAACAAATCTTAAATTTTCAGTTATGACCTGTCTGATTCCATTCACTTGTTTTGTTAAACGATAAAGATGTTTTTCGCATTTGAATGTAGCAGATTTGAATGTAAAGGAAAAAAAAACATGAATGACATTGTCAGTGCCTTTTAAAAGTACATGTACTGACTGATAAAAATACATATGATAGATATTCCACTTAAGAATATTTGTATTAAATGTTTAGGCAACTGATATTGATCAACAAGGAACACCAAATTCTGCTATTTCATACTCCATTCAACCACTTCCACCCAATACCTTCCAAAACCTGTAAGTAACAACTTCTTGCTTCCTTGGAAATTTTACATAATTGATTTCTTGAATTCAGCAAAAAAATACTGGTTTTTGTTATATGAATCTAAAAGCATCTGTTAAAAATGTGTTTGCAGGTTTACGATTAACAGCAATACTGGGGCAATAACAACTCTACAGCCCCTGGATTATGAAACTCAGAGAACTCATTACTTCTTGGTGCTAGCCAGAGATGGTGCTATTGCTAGTCGCACTGGTACTGCTACTGTCACTGTTAATGTTCAGGACACCCAGGATAGTGTTCCAATCTTCACAGAGACAAATTATGCAGTGTCTGTCCCAGAGAATAATGTCGTTAGCCAGAGCATCCTACAAGTTGTGGTAAAAATACTGTGTTGTTTATCTGAGAAACACTGTTAAAGAGATTTTCTGAAAGAAAAAAGAAAATTCTCATTTACCGATCGAAGGCAGCAGTGATGGCAATAAATGAAGCACTTAAATTTTTTGATTACCACTTTTTAAATTAAAAAGAGAATTTTTGAATTTGAATGATATGAGAATGACCTTGACTGTTATTTTTAGGCTGCTGATGCTGATGCAATCCCTAACATTCAGTATGTCATCATTAATGGAAATACCCAGGGTTCTGATGGATTTGCCTTTACAGTGGATGGAACAGGTCGCATATTCTCTAAGAATTCTCTGGACTTTGAGACTAAGCAGTTTTACCAGTTCCTCGTGACCACTACAGATGGTCAGAACACGGCTATTAGCAGTGCAACTGCCACGGTCCAGATCACAGTTCTGGTATGTGAATGCTTTCACTGTATTTTTATTTTATGACAAATGTTTACTGCTGGGTATTATTAGTGAGGTATGATGGTTCCAAGTTTTGTTCTTATTGTAAAAAATGTATTGACAAAGTCATATGCAAAAGTTTAATTATTGTAATTGAAAGCAAAGCAAATTTTAAATAATGTACACATACATACCTTTATTTCACTTGAAAATTCCACTCATAAAGTCAATGAATAATATTCTTTGAGTGGAGTAATTTGTTATGTGATCTGCATTTAATAATGAGGTGCTATTAATGTTTCATTTCAGGATAGGAATGACTTCCGTCCACAGATTTCTGTCACACCATCTACAACAATAACTGTACCTGAAACTGCCAGCATTAACACTGAAATTGCAAACTTTGATGCCACCGACAATGACACACCTGTAAGTTCTTGTAAAATGTAATTATGTTTGCTCTGTAAATCTTATTCGTTGGATTTAAACTGTAATTACTGTAAAAAAGTGATTTTTTTAAGACAATGTTTAAAGTCTCAGTGAATTTCTGTTTCTTAGAACACAGATAACAGTCGAGTGGACTTTGCCATTGCTGGTGTGAATCCAGGCACAGGGAATGATTTGTTTTACATTAATCCTTTCAATGGAGTACTATACCTACAAAATCTCTTCACCTCAGATGTTAACAGACCATCATCATACCAGGTAACAGATGTTACTTTTCACCATTATTTCATGTTTACATAAAGTACAGGTGACTCTCGATGGCTCGAACTCCGATCTCTCGAACTTCCAATCTCTCGAAGTTCTCTATCTCTCGAACCAAGACCTGGGTCCCGTTACACACATTTCATTGTTTTTTACTCTCTATCTCTCGAAGTTTTGATTGTGCGTGTGTAATTAATTGGTTATAATTGGTAAATTATTAACCAATTGCTTCACATTTTGACTTGACAGCGAGACGATAATTTTTAGAAAATAATTTAAGAGACGTGTAAATAATTTTCCATAGATTATGAAGTTTTATTAGAGTCTACATAATTCTAGTAAGACAAACATTGCACAAGAGAATTAAATACTGATTTAATACGAGAAATATAGTGAAGGACCCGATCAAGCCCGGGGGATAGCCACACCGACGATTGCTATTCTGGTTTCATGTACATGTAATCATGAAATGAGAACAAATAAATATTGAAACTTAAAGAGGTTGTTTTATTTATTCAAAATACGATCATTGTTGTTGAAATCAAGTGAAATACCTGTAAAATACAAATGAAAACGTGCAATGACATTATCAACATATACTTCCATATTTATAATAGTAGAACAGTGATGATCGGAACTGAAAATTCAGGATTTTATTCACTTTCTATCTCTCGAACCCTCGATCTCTCTAACTTTTCTTGCGGTCCCTTGAACTTCAAGAGATCTCGAGTCACCTGTACATTTTAAAATAGGGTTTTGTTTTTTAAATTACCCTATTTTGTAAATAAGTTGAACATTTATACTATCAAAATGTCCATTCAGGTGACAGTAACCTATACCTGGTAATACCCTATCTTGAAACAAACATTTCTACTATCATTATGTATATCCATTTAGGTGACAGTAACGGCAACAGATAGAGGCACACCTCAACAGAGTGACTCGGCAACAATCACCATTAGTATCACCAGAAACACACAGAGTCCTGTATTCACAAACTCTGGACAGTATGCCACAACTATAGCCCAGAGTCTCAATGTGGGAGCCAGTGTTTTTACTGTCACTGCTACTGATGGGGATACAGTGGTCAGTTTTATCAAATTATTGTACATGTATATTTGTTATAATGTCAATGAAATTAAAGGATCAAAAAATTATCAGTCATGATCCTATTTTGAGCAAAAACTCAAAACAGGGTCATTCTCAAAATAGGATCTCATCAGAGACTTTTGTTTTTTATTGTCATTCATTCTGCTTATTTGTTGAATTATTTATTTGACAGTCACCATACAACACAGTTAAATACTCAGTCATTGGAGATGGACTTGCTATTTCGTACTTCAACATCAACCCTGACAGTGGCCTTATTTCTGTTAGAGACATATTGACAAAGGATAACTCAGCAACATATACTGTAAGAAAGAGAGATTTTTAGAGTTTTTGGTAGTTTATGAAGTTTTACACTGTAAATCTTCTTCTTAGGGGTGTTTTTAGACCAAAAAAATGCGTACTTTGATCTACTTGTAGCTTCGCATTAGAGCAACTGATGGTGGAGGACTGACCGGAGATGCCACAGTGTTCATTTCTGTCACCAGAAACTTACAAAGCCCAGAATGGTTACAAACATCTTATGTTCAGTCCATTGCTGAGAACTACCCTCTTGGACAAGCCATTGTCAACCTCCAGGCTAGAGACACTGATGCACTGGTCTGTACTAAGATATAGATTGAGTGATGTACATGTATACTTTAATATGTGCTACATTGTTAGAGAATTGTGTAAATTTGCCTTGCATAATTCAGTTTTCTGTTGTTCATCATTTGATTTGTGATCTTGACGGTATGTTTATAAATCAAATTGAATTGAATGAAAGAATTTACCAAAGCATAAGTACAAACCTGGAAGCTGATTTTTCTTAGCTGAGAGTTCTTGAAGTTTTTGTAGAACTAATTTATGGAAAATGTAATTACATGTTTTTGTAATGAATGTATGCTACCAATTTTTTCAATGAAATTCCCTGCTTGCAGGCTCCTTACAACCAGCTGTCTTACTCCATTACTGGTGACAGCCAGGCCATACAGTTCTTCCAGGTGTCCAGTACCGGGGCTGTTTCTTTGCGTCAATCTCCAACCCAGACCAGCCAGTCTCTGTTCTCAGTAAGTCCCTTGTCTTAAGCCCAATTTTTTTTCTCAAGCCCACTCAGAACAGTAAGTATTTTTGCATGAGCCCAACCAGAACAGTAAGTACTTTGTCTTGAGCCCACTCAGAACAGTAAGTACTTTGACTTGAGCTCATTCAATACAGTAAGTACTTTGGCTTGAGTCCACTCAGAACAGTAAGTACATTGGCTCAAGCCCACTCAGAACAGCAAGGACTTTGGCTCAAGCCCACTCAGAACAGTAAGTACTTTAGCTCAAGATCATTCAATACAGTAAGTACTTTGGCTTGTATCCAGAAAAATAATCTTTTCTCAATAAGTACTTTGACATGAGCCGGACAATTCAATCTTTGTTTTCAGTAAGTAATCCTAGACAAGTCAGTCTCTGTTTTCAGTAAGTACTTTGCCACTCTTCTCAGTAAGTACTTTAGCTCAAGCCCAGACAAGTCAGTGTCTGTTCTCAATACATGTACTTTGTAATCAACTGACACCAGGCAGACTTCCAATTTTTGTAATGTACACAGTTAAGATCTTAAACAGGATCCGTACCATTTTTAGCTCACCTGAGCTGAAAGCTCAAGTGAGCTTTTCTGATCACCCTTTGTCCGTCGTCCGTCCGTCTGTCCGTCCGTCTGTCCGTCCGTCTGTAAACTTTTCACATTTTCAACTTCTTCTCAAGAACCACTGGGCCAATTTTAACCAAACTTGGTACAAAGTATCCTTGGGGGAAGGGGAGTTTAAATTGTTAAAATAAAGGGCCAAGTCCTCTTACAAGGGGAGATAATCAAGAAAAACAAAAATAGGGTGGGGTCATAAAAAAATCTTCTTCTCAAGAACCACTGGGCCAGAAAAGCTGAAACTTATGTGGAAGCATCCTGGGATAGTGTAGATTCTAAATTGATAAAATCATGACCCCCGGGGGTAGGGCGGGGCCACAATAGGGAATCCAAGTTTTACATTGAAATATATAGGAAAAATCTTTAAAAATCTTCTTCTCAAGAACCACTGGGCCAGAAAAGCTGAAACTTATGTGGAAGTATCCTGGGGTAGTGTAGATTCTAAATTGTTAAAATCATTACCCCCGGGGGTAGGGCGGGGCCACAATAGGAAATACAAGTTTTGCATTGAAATATGTAGGAAAAATCTTTAAAAATCTTCTTCTCAAGAACCACTGAGCCAGAAAAGCTGAAACTTATGTGGAAGCATCCTGGGGTAGTGTAGATTCTAAATTGTTAAAATCATGACCCCCAGGGGTAGGGCGGGGCCACAATAGGGAATCCAAATTTTACATTGAAATATATAGGAAAAATCTTTAAAAATCTTCTTCTCAAGAACCACTGAGCCAGAAAAACTGAAACTTATGTGGAAGCCTCCTGGGGTAGTGTAGATGCTAAATTGTTCAAATCATTACCCCCCAGGGGTAGGGCGAGGCCACAATAGGGAATCCAAGTCTTACATTGAAATATGTAGGAGAAATCTTTAAAAATCTTCTTCTCAAGAACCACTGAGCCAGAAAAACTGAAACTTATGTGGAAGCATCCTGGGGTAGTGTAGATTCTAAATTGTTAAAATCATTACCTATGGGGGTAGGGCGAGGCCACAATAGGGAATCCAATTTTTACATTGAAATATATAGGAAAAATCTTTAAAAATCTTCTTCTCAAGAACCATTGAGCCAGAAAAGCTGAAACTTATGTGGAAGCATCCTGGGGTAATGTAGATTCTAAATTTTTCAAATCATGACCCCCGGGGGTAGGGCGGGGCCACAATAGGGAATCCAAGTTTTACATTGAAATATATAGGAGAAATCTTTGAAAATCTTCTTCTCAAGAACCACTGGGCCAGAAAAACTGAAACTTATGTGGAAGCATCCTGGGGTAGTGTAGATTCTAAATTGTTAAAATCATTACCCCCGGGGGTAGGGCGAGGCCACAATAGGGAATCCAAGTCTTACATTGAAATATGTAGGAAAAAATTTAAAAATCTTCTTCTCAAGAACCACTGGGCCAGAAAAGCTGAAACTTATGTGGAAGCATCCTGGGGTAGTGTAGATTCTAAATTGTTCAAATCATGACCCCCCGGGGTAGGGCGGGGCCACAATAGGGAATCCAATTTTTACATTGAAATATATAGGAAAAATCTTTAAAAATCTTCTTTTCAAGAACCACTGAGCCAGAAAAGCTGAAACTTATGTGGAAACATCCTCAAGTAGTGTACACTCTAAATTGTTCAAATCATGACCCCGGGGATGGGGGGGGGGGGCACAATAGGGAATCCCAAGTTTTACATTGAAATATATAGGAAAAATCTTTAAAAATCTTCTCAAGAACCACTGGACCAGAAAAACTGAAACTTATGTGGAAGCATCCTGGGCTAGTGTAGATTCTAAATTGTTCAAATCATGGCCCCTGGGGGTAGGGCGGGGCCACAATAGGTCAATAGGTATTACAAGGGGGGAAGTCTGGTAATGAACAGCATGGCCAAAGTTACTCAGGTGAGCGATGTGGCCCATGGGCCTCTTGTTAGATAAGACTATGATTGAAAAAGTTTCTTAGTTACATTGTCCAGTATCATAACATGGTTTACAAATAAGAAAATTAGTGATTTTTTTTTAATTGTATTAAGTAAACATTTTTACTCACAGACACATACTAGCTTATTACAGATTCATTCTTTAGACAATAAAAATAGCAAAATGGTTGAAACATGTATATAATCACAACTTTACATGTTCTACTTTAAATATACATGTACTTTGCTACTCTATGTGTGAAATAAAATCAAAACGTGATAGCAAAATAACACTTTGAAACTTGAAACTGTTTTTTCAAAAGGACCATTTCTTTCTATTCAAAAAAAATCTTTAAAAAAGATTATACATATTTTTGTTCAATTTTCTGATAACAAGAAATGTTTGATTTTAATATTTTTTTTTTTTCACATGTATATACTTTGTTTTACAGATAAGAATAAGTTTAGCTGACCAGGGTCAGCCCCCAAGGACAGCAGTTAACCAGGCAGTGGTGAATATCACCATTATCAGGAATCAACAGGCTCCTATCTTCTTTAGTACCGAGTACAGAGTGACCATTCAAGAGACAGCCTCCATTGGCAGCAGTGTGCAGTCTGTCTCTGCTACAGATGGGGACACAAGTGTATGAAGGCTTCTTAATATTTCAAGAAAATTTATGATGACTTAATTGAGAAACAAGTGAATTTTGAGAGGAGAGTAAGTATTTGAATCTTATTAAGTTTGTATTGTTTTCAGTCCCAGTTTAACCAGATCTCCTACAGTATCATTGGAGATGACACAGCTCCCAACTTCTTCCAAATTGGCACTAGCACCAGTTCTGGAACAGGATTCACTGCTCTAATCACAATCAAAGCTAGTTTACAGTCAGAGCCAACTGATTTTTACAGGGTAATATTATCTCAGAACAGAGGAAACAGAGGTTTTGCAATAAAACATGTATATCCTATCTCATAAAAATCATTGGAAATTGCGTAATTGTTATTTTTTTTTCTTGACTAGCTTTAACTGATCTAAATTCATTACAGATAAGAATTTTTAATTCAATATGCTGCATTCTTCTGTTGAGGCTAATTTTAATAGCGTTTGAAAACAGATGCAGGGAATTTACTGGAAAAACGTCTGATGTTTTTACAGATAAGAGTGGTGGCCTCTGATAATGGATCCCCTTCAAGATCTGCAACAGCTATTGTTTATGTCACAGTTCGTAGGAACTTCTTCCCACCTACCTGGACCCAGCCCAGTTTTTCAGGAAGCGTCCTGGAAACTCAGCCTTTGGGTGTCAGTATTTTACAGGTCACAGCAACAGATGCTGATTCCCAGGTAAGCAATACATCATGGACTTTGTAAATCTTTCTGACTTTCAACACATCTGATTTTTTAAAAAAATTTTGAATTACGTTATCCTTAGGAATATACATGTACATTGTAGTTGCAAGTTGTCCCTGCTAATACTAACTAGCATTATTTTTCAGCCTCCAAACAATGAGGTGGTCTATGCCCTTAATGCCTCCAGTACCTATTTCCAAATCGACCCCAGCTCTGGATCTATCTCTGTCAAAGTACCACTGTACACAGATAATACAGACAGAAATCAATACAGTGTAAGGACTTCATCATAGCTCAAGTCATATGTAGATTTTTTTCAAATCTCACACCATGTAAAAAAAAATATTTTCAATTGTTGGTGATTAACTTTTCCTTTGAATTACTATCAGCAACATTAATTAGTTGACCAGAGCCACAGACTCAAAATCAGCTTTTCTGGCATAATGATAAAGGTGTAGGTCCTTTGTAAACTTTTCACATTTTCATCTTCTCCAGAATAACTGACCCATCAAACTTGCCAAAAAGCATCCTTGGGTGAAGGGAATCTGACATTAAAATAAAATGTTGCTTTTTCCAAAGACATATATATATAGGGTGGATCATTAACAAAATCTCAAAAATTTTCATTAGTCCAGAAAAGGCTAACTTTATGTGAAAGTTTGCTTATGTAGAGCAGATTCAGTTTCATACAACTCATGTCCACCCGGGTTAAACAGGTTGTGAAATATATCTGAAGGGACCCATTTGTAGTGTAAATTCAAAATTATTCAAGTCCTGATGCATGACAGGGTTGAGGCACAAAAGGGTTTGAAAGTATTTTGGCATAGCATTATTAATTCATCACTAGATTATTTTGCTTTGTTTTCCATGTAATCTCAACTCATCAATGTTTAATCTTTATTAGTATGGTACACGTTTATTTTCTAGTTGTTTGTGCGAGCATATGACAGAGGAATACCCTCACTCACAGCAACAACCTTAGTGCCAGTGTTTATTAGTGTTTTCCGCAACAACAATCCACCCAGATTTGTGAATACTCCGTATGCAAGAACTATTTCCAGGGATGCAGTAGTAAACAGCAATGTTTACCAAGTGTCTGCTGTGGATAATGATAATAATGTAATTTGAATTCTTATATATATGAAATATAACAGTGTTTTAATATATTTTTAACTTTAAGTGAAAAAAAGTTTGATATACATGTAGAATGGCTTAATAATTCTGTGATTGACAGGCATATGCAAAAATATGTAATGGTACTTAATTTGCTATTTACCGTTTTCAGCAATTTGGAACTGTGTCCTACGCTTTAGTGGGAGCAGACTCAGGAAGTAACTTCTTCACTATTAACCAGAACACTGGACAAATCACATTATCTGCAAGCATTTCCTCAGATGTGAATACAGTGTACAGGGTATAAAATATTTTTCATTGTAATTATTTGAATTGTACGATTTTTTCCTTGTGTAAAAAGCCTTTCTTGTACAAAAAAAAATGTCAATCTGATTTTAAGGTAGATATGCAGCATATATCATTTTATTTGTTATTTCAGCTTTTGGTGCAAGCCTATGACAATGGATACCCTGCCCTGTATGATACTACAGTCGTCACTGTGACTGTGAACAGAAATCTCCAGCCTCCTGTCTTCAATCAGCCAAATTACAATGTTACCATCTTAGAATCTCAAACTCTAGGAGACACCATTGTTACAGTGGTTGCTACAGATCCTGACTCATTGGTAAGAGATTGTACAAAGAAATGATTTTTGCAGAATAATGCAGAAAAATAGTATGTTATTTGTGAATTTACCTTGAATATTTCTGGATTTTTCTCCTTAATCATATCATTGATGATGCTTATAAAGGTAAAGTTTAAGTGATATTGGATTTTTTTTAAAGTTGAACCTGCATATAAGACAAATAGGTTGAAGAAAATTTAAGGTCTGAACTTGCACTCAATCCAGACTGTTATTTTTGTTCTGAAATATTCTGAAATACTAAAAAAAGATGTTCTTTACTCATTATATTTCTGGGTTTTCAGACTGGTACCAATGATGTTGAATACATAGCTACTGGTACAACACAGGCTTTGAATTATTTCTTTTTGAATCCCAGCACTGGACAGGTGTCTGCCAGAAGACCACTTACTGAAGATACCAACACATTTACCAACAATCAGTACCAGGTATAATCAGTCTGCTTCCTTGACATTTTTGTTGCAGGTAGATTGTTTTTTATAGTAATTTGATGCCATGAACATATCAGTCTTATCAGCGGACTTGGTTAATTGTGTGGAATGTTTGTGATAACCATTTCTTGGTAGTAGGTAAAACTATTTGTTTTGGGAAATACCTAAGTTTAAAATCAAAAATATCTTTTGAAGATAACTGTACTTGCAAGAGACAATGGATCCCCAAGATTACAGACACAAAACCCGATCACAGTATTCATCAATGTCATCAGGAATCAGTTCAGCCCAGTCTTCCAGAATCTACCATACGCCAGGAATATGCAGCAGACTGTGTCTGCAGGAACCAGTGTGTTCCAGGTCACTGCAACTGATGCTGATACTAGGGTAAGCAACTCTTGAGATGTGATTTAAACAAAAACATAACTTCCATGTCAAAGAATTAAATTTTTAAACTGGAAATTTTATGATTTTTGCAGACTCCTTACAACCAGGTGACTTACAGTATTGTGTCCCAAAGTAACAATGTCAACTTGTTTAGCATACAGCAGGATGGTGTGATTAGGATTACCAATACCGTGACCTCTAGTTCAGATGCCCAGTACACAGTGAGTCAGCCACATAGTCTGTAATACAGTTTCAAGAAGGATGAAAAAAAATCTTATCAAATGCAATGAGATTCAATGATGGAAAAAAATGAGATTTTCTTGTCCTTTGCATGTACTGTAGGGTTGTCCTAAATTTTGAAATAGTAATCAATCCACCAAGCTGATGAACTTTGACCTCTTTTCCAGATCCTGGTGATGGCAGCTGATGGAGGGTCTCCCAGCCGCGTTGCATATGCCACAGTGGTGCTGACTGTAGACAGAAACCTTAACACCCCATTCTGGGTGAACCCTGGCCAGGGTGCTAATTACCAAGCAACTACCCAGGTGTTAGAGACCCAGGGTTTTGGCAGCACTATTTACCAGCTGACTGCTTCTGACCAGGACTTCACTGTAAGTGTTCAATTTTTAAAGGTATTTTTTGTTAGACTTTAATTTCTTCAATCTCCATGAAAAATTGCAGTTTAAAGCTAAGTTTTATTTCATATATATTATTAGCTACCAAAATTTAATTTAGCTATTTTTAATTAAGTATATTATTTGGATTGATAAAAATGGTGCACTACATCCCTGTTCATTTTTAAAAAGACAATTAAAAGTGGATTACCAGAGTGGTTGCTATTACATGTACCTGAATAATGCTATGTTGTATTTGTTACAAGTTTAGAGGATTCTATGGTTTTGCAGGCCCCATACAACACCATTGTATACACTCTTGTTGGAGAGGACCCAGGTCCACTGTACTTCCAAGTGGGAGTAAATGATGGCAGAATTACTCTGAGGTCCTCTTTATATCAAGACACAGTCAACAACCAGTACAGGGTAAATTTCAGAAATGAATTAGAAAAGCTCAATGGATCATCTTAAATTAATGTCTGGAAATTAAGCATTTGGTAACCACTTGATAAATGGTAGTAGGAAAATTCTAATCATTCAGAGAAATTCAGACTTGTTAGTAATATGTCAGATAAATTTGTGAGGAAAATGTTACTGTAGCTCATAGAGAAGCTGAGAAATGTTTTGACTTTTCCAGTTGATTGTAAGACTGAGTGACGGTGCAGGTCGTGTGGCGGCACAGAGTGCTACAGTTACTATCAATGTCATCCGCAATCAGAATACACCCTTCTTCATCAATGAGCCATACTCCCGTCTCATTCAGGAGAATCTACCAACTGGGACATCAATCTATCAAGTGACGGCTCGGGATAATGATGCTGCCGTGAGTCTTCTCTTTTTATGACCTTTTACTTTGTGCTTCGTGTTATGAAAGAGCTTGTGTGTAATACAAATTTTTAAAAAATCAATTTTTTTTGCTTCTTAGATCTGTTTTCTCTTCTTTCAACTGTAATAAAACAACATTTTCTTTACAGAATACCTTTGAACAAGTTCGTTATGAAGTAATTGGAGATGGATCAGCACCTGTATACTTTGATGTTAATTCTGTCACGGGAGCAATCTCCACAAAACAGTCTCTATCCAGCCAATCAGCTGCTATCTATTACGTAGGACAATTTAAAATTTAAACAACCAATTCAAAATTTGGTTTTTGAATTGTAAATGGAGTGACTGGATTTATTTATTTTATTTTTTTATTTCAGCTACGTATTCGTGCATATGACAATGGAATACCAAGCCGAAGTAATACAAGTCTAGTTGTGATTACAATTAATCGTAACCTGAATGCCCCAGTGTTTGTACAGACCTCACTCTCGGCTAATTTACCCGATAACAATGCTCTAGGACAAACTTTGATTACTGTCACTGCTAATGATGCTGATACAGCCGTAAGTATATTACTCATCTATACTGCTCAGCTTACCAAGAATTGTTGTCTTACAATTCCGAAATTGTATTTGATTTACTGTTCCATTTACAATTTTTGATAGTACATAAGGATTTTTATTTTTCATGTTACACATAATAATAATACATGTTGAACTAGTACGTACATGTATATGTATGAAACTTGGATGTAGGGAAAAGAATACTTTGTTAATGTAAAATAATTTGATGTAATGTGTTCCATATTTTGTTTGAATTTCCTTATAAATACATGTATATAGATGTGATTTAAGTTATATTTTTACACAGGCTCCATACAATACTGTGCGCTACACCCTGAAAGGAAATGCTGTTGCTCAGGAATTTTTCTATGTCGACTCTGTATCAGGAGCTGTGTCTCTCAGGAAGGCCTTGTCTTTTGATACACAACAAAATCAGTTCTATCAGGTAGGGTTTTTTTATCCAATCTTTTATGTGGTTTGATTTTATTTCCTCGAATTTCAGACTTTTCATTTCTAATTGCTGCATTGTAGCTGACTATTGGAGCCAATGATTTGGGAACTCCTAGCCTCACTGCTAACATTGACGCCACAGTAACCATTAATGTCGTGAGGAACTTGCAGACACCCTACTTCTTACAGTCCAATTACGTAACCACCATTCAGGAGAATCAGGCTATTGGAACCTCTGTTCTGCAGGTGTCTGCTAGGGATGATGACACTACGGTATGTGGAACTGCTCAAAGTAAATCAATCAAAAAAATTAAGTAAATGATGTTATCAATGTATGATCAGAATGGGGTAAAAAAAATTATAATATCTACTAGGTACTTCATACTTTGCTCTTTTAAAAAAAATTTCTTCATGATATGTTTTATAATGAACTATACTTATTTTAGTCTCCTTTCAATATGGTGACCCTGCGAGCTGTTGGTGATGACACTGGACCGACCTACTTTAACTTTGACACAACAACAGGTGTGATCAGTGTCCGCCAGGACCTGAGACTGGACACAGCCACTAAGTATAGGGTATGTGGAACATTGTCTATGCTTGTGATCTTAATTTTCTGTTTGGAAAACATGACAAATGTCCTCATGATTAATGTTTAAAGATTACTTTCTCTCCACTGATTAAGATAACTTTGCAAATAATGAAAAGTTCCAGTAATTTTTTTTCCATTATCTTCCCATTCTGAATGTTAAAACTGACAAAGGCTTTGAATTTATAAGATAATTACAGCTTTATTTACTTATAGATACAGGTACATGTACATAGATGACAATCACATATTTGTTTTTTTTTTCTTGCAGTTGAGAATTGAAGCCAGAGATGGAGGTATTCCAGCACTGAGTGCAACAGTACTTGCGGACATTAATGTCAGGAGGAATTTGTTTGCCCCAGCATTCTTGAATTTCAGTTATGAAGTGACAATTCCAGAGACCACGAAAGTAGGAAGTTCTATTGTCCAAGTTCGTGCTACAGACCAGGACAGTAGAACTCCACACAATATAACTGTTTACTCTCTGGCTACAGATTCTACTAACCAGTTTGCCAATCAGTACTTTGATATAGACTACAACACAGGGTTTGTCTTCCTTAGACAGTCTCTGCTGAATGATAATCTGAACACCAATCGCTTCACAGTAAGTAGTGTTTGACAGTTCAATTCGCTCTCCATAGTTAGAACTTTGATCTTTTTTGAAGTTATAATAGCATTGATCCCAGTTCTTATTTTAAAAATCAAAACTTTTTAACTGAATATTTGAACTACATCAGATGTACATGTAAATTTTAAAAGATTACATCAATGTACATGATGTATTTCATATAAATAAGAAATATTGCGATTTTTTTTTTTTTTAATTAGAGGCATTGATATGTTATTTTGGCTTATTTGTTTGATTTTTTTTCATTATCAGCTTAGTGTAATAGTGTCAGACACTGGAGTGCCACCTCTTACAAGTTCTCAGAGAGCCTCGGTCGTCATCAATGTCATTCGTAACCAGTTTCCACCAACGTTTATCAACACACCCTATGCTACCACCATCAATCGTACTGTCCTACAAGGCACCACCATCTATACAGTGTCTGCCAGAGATCAGGACACACAGGTATTGAATAAGGTCTTAAAAGAGAAAAAGAAATCTTTTATTTTGATTTTAAGTAGAGCAGCATGGAGTATCTCTATGCTTTACGACATTCATTACTAAGATATTTTTGTGCAAGAAATAATTTCTTGAGCTGTAAGCCTTATTTATATCTATGGAACTAATTTGAAATATTTTTTTAAAGTAAATAACGTGTGAATAAGACATCGATCTTCTCATTTGCATAAAGTTATGTCATTTAATTTTTTTCCCCCAATATTGTTTCAGGCTCCGTTCAACACTGTAGAGTATGATATTGTTGGGGATGACAACAGTGTGGTGTTTTTCAACATTGACAGAAATACAGGATTGATCCGACTGACACAAACTCTTTTCAGTGAATCACAGACTGTGTATAATGTAAGTAATATGTTATAGAAGGATTGGAATGTCTAAACCAGCATGATGACTACTTTTCAAAAATTATTGACCATTTAGTGTTTTGTAAAATGCAGACTAAAATTGTGCCAGAAGAGATATTTTGTATATTCAGTACCAATACATGGATGGGACTTCATTTGTAAAATACCATTGATGCCTCATATCATGCATCAATGAATTTTATCAGTAAATCTGAATATAGTATTGGTATTATCATTAAAATGATTGGTGTTTGTAAGTCTCAGAATGAAGAACTTGTATTATAAAAGAATTGAAATATAAATTGTTAGATGTTATTATTCACAGAATTTTTATGTTTGTAGGTACGAGTTAGGGCTATGGATGGAGGAAATCCTAGGTTGTCCTCAACTGCTGTAGTGGTTGTCACTGTGCAGAGAAATTTGGCAGCACCTGTTTTTAGACAGAACAGCTATGCAATCACTATTCCAGAGACTCAGGCCCCAGGCTCTCTTGTTCTTACAATTCAAGCTGATGATAGTGATATCAATGTAAGTTTTAAGAGTAACACAAAAAAAGTCTATTTAAAGTTGAAATTTATGGCTGATTGTTTGATGAAAATTTGAGAATTATGTTGATTTGAAGTACATACGACACTTGCAAAGTGAGATTAGTACATAAGCTAAGGTTTCTTATTTTGATGTGACTTGTTTGATTTGTAGGCTCCACACAACACCTTTAACTATTTCTTCTCTGGAGTGAACACTCAGAGTGACAGATTCTGGTTGGACTCTAACACAGGACAGATCTTTGTTAGGAGAATCTTGTCAGGAGAAACACAGAGCACATTCACTGTGAGTAAAATGTTTGACAGAGTGTAGAAGCTTATCTTCATATTTCTTTTTACTAAATGTCTGTACTGTTGTGGACTAGCATTCTTGGAGATTTTTATCAAGAACATATGGTCTTCATGGTGAATCTGTGAGAGTTTTTCTTGGGGGTGGGGGTGTATTTGATGTCAACTAGTGCATCAACCAATAATGTTTAAATACTTTTTATCAAACAGTATAATGCATTTGCCCGAGATAATGGTGTCCCACAACTGACCAGTACAACCATACCAGTCACAATCAATGTGAGGAGGAATCAGTTCCCACCAGTGTTCCAGAATGAGCCATATTCCCGTGCTATCACATCAAGTGTTGGGTCTGGTACTTCTATTGTAACAGTCACTGCCACAGATCAAGACAACTTTGTAAGTCTCTTGTTCTTTGAATTTAATGTGCAAATTTTAAAAACTCAGGTTACAATATCAGAAAAATAAAGAATTTACTCTTTTTTCTGTTGAAAAAGAATTAAAGTACATGGTAACTGATGAAATAAAATAAGTTATGCATACGTGATTTATTTGATAAATTTTCTTTTGCAGTCTCCATTCAATGTTGTGACTTACTCTATAATTGGTGATGACCAAGCACCTACATTGTTCAACATTAACCCAACCACTGGCTTCATCACCATGAGTAGTAACATCAATAATGATGGCACAAGCTTTTACCAGGTATGTAATCAAGGGTGAAAATGTTGAAATAAGAACTTGTTAGTCTTTTCTTATTTTTACTTAAAAGTTTGTGTTTGAAAAATAATCCGGATACTTGTATGCATTCTCTTATGATCATATTTTTCCTTGCTATTATTTCAAATAGGTCCGTGTGCTGGCTTCAGATGGAGGTTTTCCACCATTGACAGATACAACAGTTGTATACGTAAATGTCACCAGAAACTTGTTTTCACCTGTCTTCCAACCTGACCAGTACAGCATTGCTATCCCTGAGTCAGAGCCCCTGGGAGAGACAATCACCACAGTTACTGCCCTTGACAGTGATGCCACTGTAAGTGGTTCTACTGTAAAATTGTCTGTTTTATGCAGAAATTGATTCAGTAGATACACATGTGAGATTCATTTTTTTTTTTACATGATGTTTGTTCCAGTTACAATTTTTAATTGATTTTTAGAATTTTCTGGGTTTTTTTTTCTTCACTTTATTGCAATTTTCAGCTACATGTATAACTTTAAGAATACATGATTAATATTTTTATTTCAGTCTCCAAATAATGTGGTTGAATATGCCCTGTCTGGAAACGCTAATGCCCTCAATTACTTCCGTGTGGACTCGAGATCAGGCCAGATTTCACTGATTCGCCCAGTATCTGCAGACACCAGCAACCCATCTGGTTACACTGTAAGACAAAGCAGATTAACAGTCTTAAAATATAACAAGAATTTAATTCAAAAATATTTTAAAAATTGAAAAAAAAAATGAGAAATTTATTTCACTTCATATCAAAAATGTTCTCTATTTTCTGAATGTATGTTTTCTGTTCTAACTTCTGTGAGGCATAATATTTAGAAGTAATAACATTATTTTAATTATGCCCTCTGATGATTATTTATGGAATGTTTTAGCTGATTGTTACTGGAAGAGATCTTGGTGTTCCATCAAGGGCAGCTACAAACACTGCCACTGTGCAGGTGTCCGTGTTTAGGAACAATAATGCTCCCCAGTTCATTCAGACCCCCTACGTCACAACTGTGGACAAGAATACAGTTGACAATAGTAATATCTATACCGTCAGTGCTGTTGATGCAGATCTTCAGGTACATGTAATTCCCATTTTCAAAATATTAGTTCACCTGAGCTAAAAGCTCAACTGAGCTTTTCTGATCACATTTTGTCTGTAGTCGGTCTGTCTGTCTAGCTGTCTGTCTGTAAACTTTTCACATTTTTAACTTCCTCTCCAGAACCATTTGGCCAATTTCATCAAACTTTTCAAGTTTGTTCAAATGAAGGGTCATGCCCTCGTTCAAGGGGATATAATTCAGAAAAAGTGAAAATTTGGTGGCATGTTTTAAAAAGGCTCTTCTCAAGAACCACTTGGGCAAAAAAGTTTAAACTTATAGGAAACCTTGTTTACATTGTGTAGGTTCAAGTTTGTTCAAATGATGATTCCTGGGGGGTAGGGTGGGGCCACAATGGGGGATCAAAGTTTTACATAGAAATATATAGAATTTTTTTTTAAAAATCTTCTTCTCAAGAACAGCAAAGCCATGATTACTCATCTTGAAATGGAAGTATCCTCAGGTAGTGTAGATTCAAATTTATTCAAATGATGATCCCTGGGGATAGGGTGGGGTCACAATGGGGGATCAAAGTTTTACATAGGAAAATATAGGAAAAGATCCTTAAAAGTCTTCTTCTCAAGAACAGCAAAGCCTTGTTTAGTCATATTGATATGGAAGCATTCTCAGGTACTGTACATTCAAGTTTGTTCAAATGATGACCACTGGAGGTAGGGAGGGGCAACAATGGGGATCAAATTTTTACAGAGGAATATATATATATATATATATATATATATATATATATATATATATATATATATATATATATATGAAAATATCTTTAAAAATCTTCTGCTCAAGAACAGCAAACAAAACCATTTCTTACTTTGATATGGAAGCATCCTCAGGTAGTTTAAAAATCAATACCCCCCCCCCCCCCCCCCTCGTAAACTTTTCAATACTGAACTGAATTGTGCTTTTTCCTATCCAATGTGCTCAGTTGAGCAATGTGGCCCATGGGCCTTTCGTATGATATTAATGCCTTTTACCAAAGTAGTTTCTCCTAATTTTGTTTAGAGCAAACATCTTATGTTATACTTAAGCAAAGCTGTGCACATGTTTTGTCGATTTTACAGGCTCCATACAACACACTGACATTGTCTGTGATTGGAGACGACAATGCCCCTTCCCTGTTCTCTTTGACCCAGAGTGGAAATAATGGTATCATTCGAGTTAGGTCCAGTCAGAATCTGGCCTCAGATACAGCCAATTCCTACAAGGTACAGTGTCCTCCTTCAACTCCCTCCACCAACTAAACTCCTATTTCTCTGACTCTGCTGTATTACTTTTCTTTCATTTTGTAATTTTACTTTGTCTTTTTAGCTGAGGGTGCTAGTTGCAGATGGAGGCTTCCCATCTAGGACTGCCACAGCTACTGTAGACATCACTGTCAGAAGAAACTTGTTTGCACCTCAATTCCAAAACAGTTTCATCAGGGTGACCATAAGTGAAAACACTGTTGTTGGGAGCAGTATCACACAGGTTTCTGCCACAGATCAGGATGTTGATGTAAGTATTATACACTCTACTATGAAAGGAGTCAAAGAACATTATAATCTATGGTCTCTTTTCAGGATGATAATCTTAATTGAAAATACAAGATACTTTATATGGGTCTTTAAACCATGGTGGTAGCTTGATAATTTTTTTAATTTCAGTAAGACTCATCTGTGGAATGAATAAAAAATGAACTTCAATTTCTTTATATAGTCACCCAACAATGTGTTCCGCTACGAGCTATTTGGAGAGGGAGATGCCCCTACATATTTCTTTGTCAATCAGAATGATGGGTCAGTTACACTAATCAGGAGTGTTCTCAACACAGGAGCAAGTGGATATAATGTAAGAACAAAAATCCCTTCATTCTTTAAATATTTTAGGACCATTCTCTAAAAGTCCATAGCATGTTCAGAGCTTGCCTTTCTGCATACAGTTGCATTAGTTTTATATAAATTAGTATGTTTAAATCTGATTAAATGGAAAATGTTTGAACATTTGACTTTATTAAACAGCTGAGAATTCGTGCAATCGACCAAGGATTCCCACAGCTGTCCTCTATTGCCACTGTGGAGGTGGTAATCACTCGTGTGACAGAAGTTCTCAACTTTATCCTGCCATCCTACACCCGAGTCATCTCAGAAAATACAGCAGTGGCACTAACACAAGTGACTCAAGTATCAGCTCAGCCAGGGGTAGGACATTCATGAAATCTGTAACACATTAGTCATTTTGCTGAGACATATGTTGATATGCATGTTTTTTGCAATTGATGTCAATGGAGTTTTTACTGAATAGACTTATGAAATAAAATAATGTGAACAATTTTGCTTTTCAGCCTGATGTTTTCTATGAACTGACAGGATTCAGTGATGGTCCTGATTACTTTAATATTAGTTCCGCGTCTGGAGGCATTTTCGTCAGGAAAGACCTGAGACTAGATCTTAACAAGAAAAGCCTGTATTATGTAAGTTTTGTGTGACAGTGTTGGCTTTCATTACTTAAGTTTGAAAGTTAATGCTTTCTTTCCATGGTATGTCTACTGACTCATTAACTTTGATATGATTTCAGCTACAAGTGAGAGCCACAAAAACAATATCAGGACAGGTACAGACTGCTTTTGCTACAGTTAACATTACAGTAACTCGTAATGAGAATGCACCAGTCTTCTCACAGAGTGTCTATGAGGTTACAATTCCAGAGACTGCAATTCTTGGTTCCAATGTAGTGCAGCTTACTGCCACTGATCAAGATGCTTTGGTAAGTTTGAAAAAAAAACACAACTTTGAAATGTAATTCCATTTCTTTATCAACTTCACAATGTGAAATGAAAAGGGAAATAAATAGGAAACAAATTATGCAGACCTGTGTATTTTTATGATTTCTCTGTATTTATCAGGATGTTGTACGCTATGACATGGTAGCTGCTGTAGGACAGACAGAGAAGTTCTATCTGGGACCATTCACAGGTTTAATCACCCTCCGAGCTGTACTGACAAGTGATGCCACCAACAGATATCAGGTATAGGTCTCTATAAATATCAAAGCTCTACAGATAGGTTTTGCAATGCAGTGAAATACAGTGGTTGATCATGATACGTCAAGATTTAGGTTGTTAATTACAGTGAACCTAGGTAATGTTTTTGTAAGATAAATTCAACTTTCTTTTTATATTTATGGATTAAAAATTCCTATTGGAAAGCCTTGAAAACTATTTAAATTGATATTTGTGTATAATCTTTTTAGTTTAATGTGCTCGCACGTGATCAATCCTCACCGGAAAGGACTGCTACTGCAACAGTCATAGTAAATATTAGACGCAGTAACTTCCCTCCAGTTTTTGTCAACACGCCATACTTCACCGGTGTCAATGTTGGATCATCCATTGGATCAGCCATCTACACTGTTACTGCAACTGATTCAGACCTCTTGGTATGTGCCTTCATAATTCTCTTTCATTTTATAAAATAGGTGAATTTGTCACCCAACTAACAATTTTCAGCATACCTGCATGTCAAATGTATGAAAAATAAAATCTTCTCTCTGTTTTTAGGGATCAATTGTTTATGAAGTGGATGGGTACTTGTCTGCCCCTGCTTATTTTGATGTGGAGAGAACCACTGGAAGAGTTGTCATTCGTAATGATTTCAGTTTGGATGTCACCACCACTTATGTTGTGAGTATGCTTTTTAGATATTTTTTCCAAAGAAGATTAAAATAAAAACTAAATTCTTTTGTGATTTAGCTTGCTGTCAGAGCCTATGATACCTCGTCTTGAGGAGATCTGTAAAAAAAAAATATAACTTTTATGTTTTAGCTTGGTGTCCGAGCCTATGATACAGGTGCCCCAGCACAGTTTGCCCATGAGAATGTGACCATCACTGTCAACAGGAATCCTAATGCCCCAGTATTCAATCCAGCCAGCTATAGTAGAACCATTGAGGAGACGCTGGCTCCCGGCAGTAGCCTGGTTCAACTATCAGCCACTGATGCCGATGGAGTATGTATAATTAAATGAATCATTTCAGTCTAAATAATTTTTAGAAAGTATTGAATATTTTATTTTCACAAATACATGTGTTCATTATATTCTCTGATTAAAATGTCTAGAGTAGAATCCCATTGAGAGTAAATTGGTAAAAAGATTTAAGTACATGTACATGTATATCGCAGTAATGCTGACTTCATTTGTTACAGCACAATTTGCGATATGCAAGGCTTTCCATTACCCCGACTGGATTAGAAGACTTTTTCTATGTGAACTTTGACACTGGTTTGATCACAGTAGCTAGGATGCTGACCCAGACTCAGGTGAACTCGATACAGATGACTTTTACTGTGACAGACAATGGTATTCCTGCTCGCTCAAGTAACACTCCCGCCATTGTCAGCATTCAGATCCTTAGGAATCAGTTTGATCCATTCTTTATCAATACACCATACATTACAACGATTCAAGAGACTACCCCGATCGGTACAAGTGTCCTCAGAGTCACCGCATCAGATCAGGACCAGGTAAATCTATACACGTAAATACGCACAATATCTAATAACGACTTTAGTTACAAAAACTGAAATTGTTCTTTGTTTCATATAAGCATAGTATTTCATTTTGAAACAATATGTATTTCAGAACACCGTTTTCTCAAACATCACATACTCACTGATTGGAGATGACACCATGCCATCATACTTCACTCTGAATTCAAACACTGGTCAGATAAATGTCAGGGCATCCCTAACAGCTGAAATCCGTGACAGTTACCAGGGCAGAATTGTGGCTTTTGATGGTGGATCACCCCCTCGCAGTGCTACAGCAATCGCCACAATCAACATTCAGAGAAACTTGAACTCTCCTGTGTTTAACCCCTCGAGCTATGAAGAAACAGTTCTGGAGACCTTGCAAGTTGGAACCAGCATTCTACGCGTAACTGCCACAGATGCTGACAGAAGTGTGAGTACTTTTAGGACACATGAGTCATTCAGTCACCTGTGTCATCTTAAAAATTTTAATAACTATCAATTTTTTGGTTGTGCAAGCAAGGCTTTTATAGGTTTTGAATGTTGTGAACAATATAAATGTTATCTATCTTGTAATAGTATAAATTAATGTCTTGAAGATATGTCTTAAGATGGATGTGTTTTTTTTGTTTTCAGTCTCCTTACAATGTTGTTCGGTTCACAATGTCCAACATCAACTCCGTGGCTTCTACATACTTCACGGTGGATAGTGTGACAGGCTGGGTTACTGTCAGAGTACCGCTCAACCTGGATGTGGCAGTCAACAACAACCAGTATATTGTAAGTTTAACTGTTTTGTGTTCAGTAAATATTTGATTAAAAAAAAGTATGCAGAACAAGAGCATGAGACTATATAGAATAATCTTTTAGTAGACATGCATGTACTTGAAGTGTAAAATGGCATGTCTTCTTTATATTTTTTTGATGTTGATCTTCACTGTTTTAGTTCAATGTACAAGCCACAGATCAAGGGAGCTCACCCAGGTCTGCTTCTTTACCAGCTACAGTTACAATCAATGTGATTCGTAATCAGTTCCCACCGGTCTTTATAAACACTCCTTATGCCACCAGTCTGCCTTTCACTGTCGCTGCTGGCTCCAGTGTGTACAATGTTAATGCTACAGATGCTGACACAAGGGTAGGTCTTCAATGGAGTCTTAAGTAAAATTGTATTTTTAATCTGATTATGGCTTGAGTTTTTTATTACTTTAAAATACGATAATGTTTTCTTTATCTCCTTTAGAGCCCATTCAATGTGATCAGTTATTCTATTATTGGAGATGACAGGGCACCTAGTTTGTTTAGTATCAATCCATCATCTGGTGTCATTGCCACATCTTCACAAAGTCTTTTCTCTGACTCCAACACATTATACACTGTAAGTTATAATAAACAGCTACTCAGGTTTGCAAATAATACATGAACTTTTAATATGTTTATTAAATAAAATGTTGGATTAAAATTTTATCCATATAAGTGATAGAAACTTGTAAGTTGTCCAGAGAGAGAGAGAATTAACATTTTTACTGTGTATCTGTGAGCTACATAGTGAGAATTATATTAAACAGGTACGAGTTCTTGCACAAGATGGTGGCACCCCACAAAGAAGTGCAACTTCCACAGTTCTGATAACTGTGACCAGAAATCTGAATGCTCCTGAGCTTCTTCAGCAGAACTACACTGTCAGTATCTTCGAGACGCAGAACCTCGGAGAATCCATCATACAGATCCAGGCCAGAGACAATGATATAAGTGTAAGTCTTACAGGCTTATATATATGTATTGCAGACTGAGACTGCTTTCCTTTCTATCCTGCAATTTTTATGTGCCAATACATTGTACCTTCCCACTAGTGTGTTTAATAATTCAAATCTGTAAAGTATTTTAAAAACTTTTTTTCAGGCTCCATACAACACCCTGACTTACAGTTTGGTAGATTCTTTGAACACAGGGTCTGCCCTGACTAGGGAGTACTTTGACATTAACCCAAGTGCTGGCTGGATCTATGTCAAAAAGTCCCTAACTCTTACACCCAACAACAACTTTGTGGTAATTATTTACATTTTGTTCCTCGGAACTTACATTTATATTTTTCAGACATGTTTAATGTAGAAGCAATATTTTTGTTTTAAAGAAGAAACTGAACATGCATTTTTTCTGCAGTTTTATAAATTGACTTGTTTATATTTATTAGGCTGTTGTATCAGTTAATGACAATGGAACACCCCAGAGATCTGCCTCTGTCTTCTCCTATGTGACAATCAATGTTTTACGTAATCAGTTCACTCCATACTTCATCAATGAGCCCTACAGGGTTGATCTGGGTAGTAACATTGGTATTGCCACCAGCATCATTGATGTTACAGCCAGAGACAATGACAGTCCAGTAAGTTTATTTCATAAGTTTTTAGCTCACCTGAGCCGAAGGCTCAAGTGAGCTTTTCTGATCACATTTTGTCTGTAGTCCGTCTGTCCGTCTGTCCGTCTGTCTGTCCGTCTGTCCGTCTGTAAACTTTTCACATTTTCGACTTCTTCTCAAGAACCACTGGGCCAATTTCAACCAAACTTGCCACAAAGTATCCTTGGGTAAAGAGGATTCAAGTTTGTTCAAATGAAGGGCCACGCCTTCTTCCAAGGGGAGATAATTAAGAATTTGTGAAAAATTAATGGCATCATTAAAAAATCTTCTTCTCAAGAACCACTGTGCTTGAAAACATGAAACTTATGTGGAAGCATCCTCAGGTAGTGTAGATTCAAGTTTCTTCAAATCATGACCCCCGGGGGTAGGGTGGGGCCGCAATGGGCGATCAAAGTTTTACATAGGAAATATACAGGAAAAATCTTTAAAAATCTTCTTCTCAAGAACAGCAAAGCCATAATTGGTCATATTTATATGGTAGCATCCTCAGGTAGTGTAGATTCAAGTTTCTTCAAATCATGACCCCCGGGGGTAGGGTGGGGCCACAATGGGCGATCAAAGTTTTACATAGGAAATATACAGGAAAAATCTTTAAAAATCTTCTTGTCAAGAACAGCAAAGCCATAATTGGTCATATTTATATGGTAGCATCCTCAGGTAGTGTAGATTCAAGTTTCTTCAAATCATGACCCCCGGGGGTCGGGTGGGGCCACAATGGGCGATCAAAGTTTTACATAGGAATACATGGGAAAATCTTCAAAAATCTTCTTCTCAAGAACAGCAAAGCCAAGATTGGTCATATTTACTTGGAAGCATCCTCAGGTAGTGTAGATTCAAGTTTATTCAAATCATGACCCCCGGGGTTCGGGTGGGGCCACAATGGGCGATCAAAGTTTTACATAGGAATATATAGGAAAAATCTTTAAAAATCTTCTTCTCAAGAACAGCAAAGCCATAATTGGTCATATTTACATGGAAGCATCCTCAGGTAGTGTAGATTCAAGTTTGTTCAAATCATGACCCCTGGGGGTCGGGTGGGGCCACAATGGGCGATCAAAGTTTTACATAGGAATATATAGGAAAAATCTTTAAAAATCTTCTTGTCAAGAACAGCAAAGCCATAATTGGTCATATTTACATGGAAGCATCCTCAGGTAGTGTAGATTCAAGTTTGTTCAAATCATGACCCCCGGGGGTCGGGTGGGGCCACAATGGGCGATCAAAGTTTTACATAGGAATATATAGGAAAAAATCTTTAAAAATCTTCTTCTCAAGAACAACAAAGCCATGATTGGACATATTTATATGGTAGCATCCTCAGGTAGTTTAGATTCAAGTTTCTTCAACTCATGACCCCCGGGGGTCGGGTGGGGCCGCAATGGGCGATCAAAGTTTTACATAGGAATATATGGGAAAATCTTCAAAAATCTTCTTGTCAAGAACAGCAAAGCCATGATTGGTCAGATTTACATGGAAGCATCCTCAGATAGTGTACATTCAAATTTGTTCAAATCATGACCCCCGGGGGTCGGGTGGGTCCACAATGGGCGATCAAAGTTTTACATGGGAATATATGGGAAAATCTTCAAAAATCTTCTTCTCAAGAACAGCAAAGCCATGATTGGTCAGATTTACATGGAAGCATCCTCAGATAGTGTACATTCAAATTTGTTCAAATCATGACCCCCGGGGGTCGGGTGGGTCCCCAATGGGCGATCAAAGTTTTACATAGGAATATATGGGAAAATCTTCAAAAATCTTCTTGTCAAGAACAGCAAAGCCATGATTGGTCAGATTTACATGGAAGCATCCTCAGATAGTGTACATTCAAATTTGTTCAAATCATGACCCCCGGGGGTCGGGTGGGTCCACAATGGGCGATCAAATTTTACATAGGAACACATAGTAAAAATCTTTAAAAAAAACTATTTGTTAAGAATAGCAGAGCCATGATTGGTCATATTTATATGGTAGCATCCTCAGATAGTGTACATACAAATTTGTTCGAATATCATGACCCCCGGGGGTCGGGTGGGGCCACAATGGGCGATCAAAGTTTTACATAGGAACACATAGTAAAAATCTTTAAAAAAAAATATTTGTTAAGAATAGCAAAGCCATGATTGGTCATATTTATATGGAAGCATTCTTAGATAGTGTACATTCAAGTTTGTTCAAACATGACCCCTGGGGGTCGGGTAGGGCCACAATGGGTGATCAAAGTTTAACATAGGAATACATAGGTTAAATCTTTAAAAATCTTCTACTCAAGAACAGCAAAGCCATGATTGGTCATATTTAAATGGAAGCATCCTCAGATAATGTAGATTCAAATTTGTTCAATTCATACCCCCCCCCCCCCCAACCACTTTTATATTTAAACTTTTTAACCTTTCAAGATTGAAGTGATTTCTGCTTTTTCCTAGCCATAGTGCTCAGGTGAGCGATGTGGCCCCTGGGCCTCTTGTTATGAGGATCTTGTAGCAAAATAACCTCCAATTAATGCTGAACAGATATTTCGGTATCAATTTTTAGAACTTTATAAGAATTGGATGAATAATGTTTCATATTGATAGAGTCTTTAAATATTACATTGATAATTATTAATCATCATTGATAATTGATTTTTTAATAATTTTATATATTTTTTTAGACTACACCCTTTGGACAAATCACTTATGACATTATCGGAGATGATTCTGCACCAAGCTACTTCTCCATTAACCCTGGCTCTGGAAGAATAAGCATTGCAAGGTCCCTTACAGAACAAAATGTAGAGGAATATAGGGTAAGTAATAGTGCTGCTAAAGATTTGGTATTAAACTACTACTGGTAATTATTATTAATATTTATGTAATATTTGACTAAATCGTCATAATGGTTTTAAATTGTCAGGATTATAAATATATGAGTTTGTACAATTCTGGTTCTGGCTTATACACTTATGTTTCTCTAGATTCGTGTCCGTGCCAGAGACGGTGGTGTACCATTCCGGTTCAACACATCAGTGGTGATTGTGACAATGAGGCAGAACTTCCAGGCTCCAACCTGGCGTGTGCCCAACTATAGTCAGACAGTTGTGGAGAGTCTGAGCTTGGGAACAGTCATTCTTACTGTTAACGCCACAGATGCTGACCCACTGGTAAGTGCATATGTACTGAGAGCCTATTGATCACCCTGATCTTACATGTACAAATAAACCTGAATTCTTCAGATACCCAAAAAGCTGTTTTTTTTCCTTTCAAAATGTAAGAAAAAGATCATTTATATCACTTTCACAAACTGTTTTAGCAGGCAAAATGCAAATGAAAAATATGAAGTATTTATTATTTTAGAAGTATGTTTTTTTAATAATTGGCTTTTATATGCTATTTCTTGTATATTGTGCTGTACCTTACATTGACTTGTATTTTAGCCACCACACAACACAGTCCGATACTACATCACAGCTGATGCTGAGGATCTGGAATGCTTCTTGGTGAATGAAGTCACAGGAGACCTGGCACTGAGACGTTCACTTCTGTATGACCCCTGCAGGGCACAAGTCTTCAATGTGAGTTTCCTGTTACTAAAATTTCTACTACATTTTAAACTGTTTTTTGTTTATCTGTCACACTACTGTTGATGCTTCAAAACTGATTTGTAGAAATACATGCAACATTATCAGTTATCAAAAAGTGTATTAAATATAAATATTTATAATCCATAGAAAAATAATTGATTGAAAATACAAATTTTTCCCGCAGATGAGGGTAACAGCTAGAGATTTAGGAACCCCTCAGTTGTCTAGCACTCCCATTGAGGTGTCCATTTTCGTGGTGAGGAACAACAATCCTCCAGTGTTTTTGAATCTGCCCTACACTACACAAATAGAAGAGACATCTAATATTGGACGCTTAGTATACAGAGTAACTACTACAGATGCTGATGTCCAGGTATTGGTTTTTTAATCATATTATTGTGATTTGTTACAATTTTGTTGTTTCGTACTGTTCATTTTATACATTTACTTAAGTTAATAATATTGCTAAAATTTATATTTGCTACATGTATTTTGTTATTGGTAGGTTTTTAGTTTACTGAAATCTAAATTAATATGAAATTACAGGTGCCTTTTAATGTGGTTAAATATCAAATCATTGGAGATGACTCGGCCACCACTTTTTTCAATATGGATGAGAACTTTGGAAATGTAACCTTGAAATCCAGTGTGAACTTTGACACCACATCAAATTACAAGGTATCAAATAGTTTGAAATGTGTACTTTTACTTGTATCTATGAATTATATGTAAGATATATAAAAAAAAAAAATCAATGTTCAGGAAGCTGACGTTTTATTGGAACATTTCAAAAACTATAAATACATGCACAGTAGTGAATGAGAATTGTTGAAAGTATTTTTTTAAAAATAAATGGTGCATGGAAAGTGTTATTAGTTTTCTTCTTTTTCCTTTTTTTTTTTTTTTTTTTTTTTTTTTTTTTTAATAAGTCTTTAGTTGATATTCTTAGTTATTTTGGTATTTTATTATGTAATTTTGAAATTATTCTCTAAACCAATGTTCTGTAATATTTATTTTGGAAATTAATTTTGCTAAGTGAGGAAAGCACATGGACATATTGTTATACTTTCATTGTTGATTAATACTTTCTATCCATTCTACCTGTGTAGATCCGAGTCCTTGCATATGATGGAGGATTACCCTCTCTGTCAGCCACAGCCACCATTGATGTTCTAGTACAGAGAAACCTCTTCTCACCTGTGTTCTCTCCCTTGAATTATGAAGTGACTATAAATGAGAATGCTGCCCTCGGTGTTCCTTTTATCTACGTGAATGCCACTGATGCTGATGCTAGGGTGTGTTACCTTAATTATTGTAATAACTTCTAAGTAATTTCAGAAGTGAAGAACTTAAAAAAGATTTTCATTTAGATAAACTCGGTCATTTCAGGTGTACATTTTTCTAATTTTATTGTTATTCTTACAGAGTCCACATAATGTGGTTAGGTATTCTGCCACAGGTAATACTGCAGCCCTGGAGTTCTTCCAGATCAACTCTATTGATGGAGGAGTCTCTGTTAAGAAGGCCCTCACTACTGTCTCTAACAGGAACATCAACCAGTATACTGTAAGTATAAATACATTTTGCTCAGTTTCACAATGAAATGAAGTGGAAGTATGCAGATGTGTAGTATTGCCTCTTATTTTGATGTAATAGATGACAGTGCAAGCCACTGATCAGGGAGTCCCTAACCGCGTCAGCTCCCAGCAAGCCACTGTCCGCATCAACATCTTGAGGAACTTGAATTGTCCAGTGTTTAACAACCTTCCATCCAACATTACCATCAGCCAGAGCACTGGTATTGGAAGCAGGATCTACAATGTGTCTGCTAATGACCTGGACACTGATGTATGTACATGTACTCTACTCTCTGAACACTGGGGGGGGGGGGGGGCATCAATATCAAATGTGTTTCTGTTGTTGTTTTAAAGGGAAAAGATTATTTTTGTCTCAAGACTGATTTCCATTTTAATTTTCTTTATAATTATTGTTTATCATACAAATACATTGTAAATGCAGATTCCTTTACCAAGGTAATTATTCTGCTATCGTTTGTATTCCTTTTAACTTTTTCTATGTCGATATTTTCTTACAGCCCTCTTTCAGAGCCATTACTTATGACCTCATTGGAGATGACAATGCCCCAATCTACTTCAGAATTGATCCTAACCAAGGTTTTGTGACTCTCCAGACTGGTCTATTCTCAGACTCGGGTGTTCAATATAAAGTGAGTTAATTCTATCAGTTACATGAAATGACTTTGTACTTTCCAACTTTGGGTTTACTATACCATACTGATATGTGGATACTTTCCTAAACTAAGATTTAAACATCCTGAAAAATTGATTATGTTCTATTTTCAGTTGAGAGTACGAGCACGAGATGGTGGATCACCGCCTTGTGAAACCTACAATGTATTGACAGTCTCTGTCCGTAGGAATGAGTTTGCACCACAGTGGATTCCATCAGCTGTGTACACCACCACCATCCTAGAGACCCACAATATACTGCAGCCTGTCTACACTGTGACAGCTGTGGATTCAGACACTTCTGTAAATACCTATTACTTAACACTGTCAGGATAGATTTAGCATTGTACATGTAGCTATCAACTCTTCATCCTGTTTCTTTAGAATTACATGCACATATATAACAGATTTGCTTTGGATTTTTGTCAGGGTTTATAAGAATTGCTGAAAATTGATCTATTAATTTAATGTTTATTTTTCAGTCCCCTAACAACATTGTAAGGTATCAGGTTGTGTCCCAGACTCTGAACAGTGATTTGTTTACAGTCAACGATCAAACTGGTCAGGTTTATCTACGAACAAATGTCCTTGGCAACAATGTCAACCAGTATAACGTGAGTTGACTTTCTTCTCATATTACATCAGTTTTGCATACAGTCATGTAAAATCAAAATAAAAAATGAAAGCATTGATACAGAGTAGTTTGTAAATAGAAAAATAGAATAAAAAATGTTCATATTAAAAAATAATATTGAACAATATAGTTACTTTTTAGAAATGTTTAAATATCCAATGTATATTCATGTTTATTTCTCAATTTCACATAAACTTTTAAATGCCTGTTGTAGGTGAGCCTCTTGGCCCGAGATCAAGGTTTCCCATCATTAGGTAGTGTTCAGGCCCTGTTGATTGTGAACATCCTACGTAACCAGAATCCACCAATATTCATTAACGAACCCTACAGCACAACAATCAGTCAGAACCAGGGAACCTTCCAATCCATCATCACAGTTACAGCCACCGATGCTGACACAACAGTAAGTCAACACTGAGCTATGACATCTGAAGTGTGTATTTTACAGAGTATGTGTGCTCCGATTATTAATTAAAGCAGAAAAAATTATACAAAATTTTTTTTTTTCTTTTTAGAATCCATTCAACCAGTTGGAATACAGTATTATTGGTGATGATGCAGCTCCAACTTACTTCACCATCAACAATGCAGGTGTGATCAATCTAAGGCAGTCTATTCCATCTATCAACACTGATGTATATAATGTGAGTTATCCATCGACATCTATCTGATAATCAGCACACCTACAGCAGCCTATTTCATAAATCAACACATATGTGTATAATTTAATAGCTATCCCAAAATGAGTTAAAAATTCTGAAAGGAGAACAAAGCAAGCAAACAAACAACAGATGATTCCTGTATATGTAAAAGAAGATTATTGAGTTTTGATCTTAACCATGTTCATTTGATTGACAGATTCGTGTCCTTGTCCAAGATGGAGGTAATCCTCGCCTGTCTGATGTCACCACAGTTACTGTATACGTCAACCGTAACTTGTTTGCACCCTCTTTCGCTCCAACTCAGTATTCCCAGACTATTCTTGACACTCAAGCAGTAGGTGTCCCCATTGTCAAGGTTACCGCTCTAGATGCTGACACTACGGTAAGTTTTTGAGATGAAAAACCTTTTTTTTTCAGTGGAATTGTTTTAAAACCATTTCTGTTGGTACTTCATATTCATTGGATTCTTTATTTTACTAGTCTCCCCATAATGTTGTGAGGTATTACCTGGGATCAGATGCCACCATCACAACCTACTTCTTAGTTGACTCCATAACTGGAGATGTAATGCTCCGTCGCTCGGTGTTCAACATAACATTGGGAAATCAAAATCTTAACTCTTTTAGTGTAAGTCATACATTTTATAACTATAAATATTATTAAAAGAAGTTTCAGATTTTAGTGAATTTAATAAACATGCCAGTTTTTTACTTGGCTTAATCATTGATTATATAGAAAGTACATGTAGTTGTTTTGGAAGATTTAAAAAAATCACTCTTAGTCTAGATGTTATATTTCAGTAAGATTTTTAATCTTTTTTTCAACAGTTCAAGGTGTTTGCCAATGACCTTGGAACTCCCAGGAGGAACTCGTCTAATGCTGCTGATGTTTTTATTAATGTCATCAGAAACAATTTCCCACCCCAGTTCATCAACACTCCTTATTCTACTAACATAGCAGAGACAGTGAGCGGAGGTTCCTCCATTTTCCAGACCTCAGCCATCGACCAAGATACAAATGTAGGTGATAATTGACAGACTTGTGAAAATTACTGTTAGAACATGATGGATCTTTATTGTTGAAATATACTTTATCTTTGCTGGAAAACGTCAATTACATGTATCTTAGCAGATTTTGAATGCTTAAATTGAACACACGATTTGCTAATGTAAAGGTTAATATCAATTCCTGATGCCCTTGAAAGTTTTGATAATGAGAGAAGCTAATTAGTTAAATGGATAAATACTGCACCTGGTACAAAAGTCATAGGATGAAGATAAAACAAGTGTTTGAAGTAATCAAATAAAAATAAGAGAAGTTTAAGTTAAATGTATAAATACTGTACTTGGTACAAAAGTCATAGAGAGAAGATAAAACGTGTTTGAAGTAGTGTTGTCAACGAGTACCCGGTTAACTGTCAAATGATGTGAGTATCGGTTATTAAAACTGCTACTCGGTTACTCGAAAATAATGTATTTTACCTTGTAAATCAGTAGGATAAAATGTATTTTGTTAATAAAGTCCCAATTTTATTTACCGTTATTCAACGTCAGTCTCGATCTAGCATTTTACAAATTGGTCTGTTTCGATTAGTATTTCACAGTTTATCTAATTGATTGTTTTGATTGCCAAGGGGTATAAAAGTGTTGAGGACTTGAGTTAATTATAATTACCTCACATAAACTTATGCTTGCCACAGTTCAAGATTAAAGAAGATGCCGCCACAAAAATAAAAAAAACATTGAAATATTTTGAAAGAATAACTGAAATTACGACCGTGAGGTATAAAATATGTGAAATGGAATTAACATACATGGATGTGACAACAAATATGCTAAACCACTTTAAACTGAATTTAACTCTGAAACCAGTTATGAAAAGGACATCCCGCAAAACAATCATTTATTACGGGTATTCTAGAATGAATTTCTTTAGATGTGTGTTTGTAATTATAAATAAAATTCATATGCAGTGCATTTGTGTTTTGTATGTACACGTACCGTTATACAAATTATGAAATAAATATACAAAGTGTAACGATGTTACATGGAATGTTTATTATACTTACTACTGAAGTATATATAAGTCACGTACAAAAATGTTTTAGGTCTAAAGAAAATCTATCCGAATAACCGGTTACTCGATCGGAAAAGTAAGCGAGTAACAGGTTACTAAAAATCGTCCGATATGACAACACTAGTTTGAAGTAATCATATCAAAATAACAGTGTATAGAAGCAGAATTCAGTAAGATACATTAAATCATGGTTTTCTTTACCTCCCACAGGCACCATTTAATACGATCACTTACTCCCTGATTGGAGATGACAGTACACCAACCTTTTTCACTGTGGAACCAAACACTGGTTTGATCCGATTGAAGACTAATTTGGACTTGACCACTGATCGTGTGTCTACCTATGTAGCTAGAGTTGTGGCCAGTGATGGAGGTTTCCCCTCACGCAGTGCTACAGCAACTGTCCTCATCAACGTCCTGAGAAATCTCTTCTCTCCTGTGTTTTCCAATGTTAACTTCATCCAGGTCTCCATTCGAGAAACTGTTCCTGTTGGAACCTTCATCACAGACCTTAATGCTACTGATGCAGATAATTCCGTAAGAATTTCATTTTGGCTGTAAAAGTTTATGTAGTGTTCTCAGAGCAGTAATAGATTCTGAAAAAATTGCAATTTTATAATTTTTTTTCTTAATTGTAGATTTGTTGGACATGTAAATGATATATGAGAATTTTGCAAACACAGAATAGGAAAATATTATAAAAACTGTTTTTTACTTTCATGAAGATTAAGTGCATGCCTTAATGTCAGGCATGAATAAAAAGTCTTATGCCCTTACTGAACAATTGTTGCAGAGTCCAGAGAATGTTGTGAGATGCAGGATTGTAGGAGATGGCAATGCACCAAGTCTCTTCTTCATCAACTTTGAAACCTGTGTCATCACACTTTCTGCCTCGGTTCAAAATACTGGAGTGAATTTCTACAGGGTAAAAATTTTAGATACTTTACCCCCCCCCCCCCTTCCTCCAAAATAAAATTAAAGATGATAAAGATGTATGCAAAAGAGTTTAATACCTCTGTGTTAGAAATAATTATTTTCATGCTTTGTTGAGAAAGAATTATGCAAATTTCCTAATAGTATGGAATGTTAACACTGATATTCTTCCCATCAGATCCGTGTAGAGGCTTATGATCAAGGAACTCCCCAGAGAAGCACATTTACTTATGTTGAGGTCAATGTAATCAGATCTCAGGGCACACTGGCATTTTCCCTGCCTTCCTATGCTACCATCATCAGCGAGAATCTGGAAGTCAACCGAAATGTCATCACTACCTTAGCACAACCAGGGGTAAGCATCTTCTGTACATGTTATTTTTGTATGAACCTGCTATTTTAAATCTTGAATATGTCTCAGAGTTTTTTTACCAAACAATTTTAGTCAAATGAGTGCACTATGGACTGCACCAAATGAAACAAGTTTGAAAGAATGAATCTTCATAACACTGCTTTCTCGCCCCTTTTTAAATGCAGAATTTTACCTTTTCAAATCAGAGCATTGTTATATTATAGCTAAAGTCTTCAAGCATAGTCTGTATAGATACTCATAAAAGATTTTTTGGGGAAAGAGACTTTCAATATATACATTATATCAATTAAATAAAATCGTATACTTCACTGTAAAATCCCGGTTTTGCCATTACAGCTATGTAGGTCATTGTATTATTTGAATGAGAAGGCGGAGCGTCTATCAAGCGTGCGATTAGTATGAATACATTAGCATGTGTTCGAGGTGTATGAAGTTTTATGATTAACTGACACCTAAAAAGCCTTTTTTTTCATGCTAGAGACCGACAAAATATAAGCATACATTTTTAATTTGGCTGGCTTAACTTTGATTTTTTTTCCCTGCTTAACTTAAGAGTTGTATTTGAAATGATTTACTAGAAATTCGTTAAATTATTTATACATTAAATACACAATGGAATTTTGAAACATATAACGAAGGATACACTATTTTTCATACTTTAAAGAAACCTTTTTTTTTTTTTTTGAAAAAAGAGATAATTAATCCATTCAAGCTTATTACATAATTAGAAATTTTTCATACATATATATAATTTTGCAAAATCCGAGTGCAACAACAAACACACGTAGGCGGTTGAATTATGACATAAAACTACACTTGGTGTATAAAAATAGATAGTTAAGAAAGTGAAAATTTAAACGTTTTAACGTCAGTATCATCGCTGGTGGATAAAGAAATATCAGTGTCACTGTACTTTGTACAGTCAAAATTGCATTGTTTCAAAAATCCTGTTTATACATACCAGACAAGTTAATATGATCTTCCTCATTTAGGAATTCATTAATTGTCGATATCCACTCTGGTACTTTTTGATTTTAATAAACTCTCTCCCTGTAGTAAGATAAATAATAAATCACTCCAAAGTATTTTTAACGCCCTTTTTCATTCGACTGATTTTATTTTACTAATATCTACGTTGATCGGACATGTGAAAGGGTCATACAAATGCATGTTCTTGCTTTTAAACATTATGCTTTAAAAATACCTGCGAACATGGACTTTTTTTTTTACATGATCTGCAAAATAAGTGAAATTTTGTGCTGATGTAAAAAGTTATAGCATTTGCTTCAGAAGAAACCCGTAGCTTCCCTCTTATCAAATTAGGGGTGTTTTTTGTGCAAATGTATTCATCCAGTGACTTTTCATCCGATACACAGGTATTTTTTAGCGCTCCGTACTTCAATTTCTTTCCCTGAAGGTTTCTTCTATTGGAAGTATGCATTTGTGCACTTGTAACAAACAATTTATTTTTCTAAAGATATGATGAATTGGTGTTTTTCAAATAACGGACTATAAAATTAATAACAGTTTTAAATGAAAAAAAAACCTTTCATATCTTCCAAGTCAATGAACGGAGCACTGATGTATACATGTATTTAGGGACAAGGGCAAATGTATAATATATACCCACAGTAATTAAAATTTTAGAATTCTGTATTTATGAGACACAAGCAGTAAGTGCAAGCTATATGCTACAGGACTTCAATATAAATTGATAGATACCGAAAAAAATCAATTAAAATCGACTGAAATACCGTTTGATAACAAATAAATCAAAAATCTTAACACATCTTAATCATAAAAAAGTTTTCTTCCAGAATTTTAATTACCCATTTGAAAAATGATTTGACCATCGATAACTCGCAGACACAATGTCGCATATATAGGTGTGCTCAAAGCGTGGAAGTGATTAGATTTGAGTCACGTGTTCAGTGCTTTGTTATTCATGAGGTCAAAGACAGGTTGAAATTTGTAAACAAGGTGCCTTTACTATGGAGACAAGCACCAGTGATTTTGCACCTTTTTGGAAAATAACAAATGAGCGCAAGACTGTTTCAATTTCTTCAATGAATGTAAATGACTAGTATAACTCTTTACATTGACCGTATTTACGACAACTTGAAACATCCATGCGCTCATATAAAAATGGGCTTGCAAAATGGTGTGGCCTAAAGTCTATGAGAAATCGATGTAAACAACATACCCCATAATATTAATCACATAAATACCTCATTACAGTGCAAGGAAGTAAAAATTGAAATTAAAATTAATAAACTACAATGTTTGATGGAAAGATTGAGGCAAAAATGTGTAGAAAATCTTTAATTTTTTGTAAATTATGGGGGGGGGGGGGGGGCAGATTTGGACATTTAAACGATTCATCCTTTTAGAAAGTATACACTCAGAATCTAATCCTTATGAAGCTGGAGAACATTGATTAAAACTGAAAAGTAACACTTTCATTAGGAATAACATAAAATGTGTTTCAGACACCAACATACAGTGTGCTAGGAGTGAACCCTGCACCAAGCTACTTCACAATTAACCAGAATACTGGTGCCATCACAGTTATCCGAGATCTCAAGACAGACCCGGCCAGATTACAATTTTACCAGGTAAGACACTTCACAATTAACCAGAATACTGGTGCTGTCAGTTATCCAGAATTTCTACATATCCAGTTACGTTGAGATTAGAAATAGCCAAACAACCTGATTGGACTCAAAATTGTGATCAGTTGTCTTCTGGAGGAAAAGTGGTTTCATAAAATTCAAATAAATGCTTGGTTGAAGTTAGTCTTGACCTGTATGCTTTCTTTCAGCTTGCTATACGAGCTGTGTCCCAAGATGGACTTTCCACTGCTCAGGCCACTGTCAATATCACAGTGAACAGGAATGAGAATGGGCCTGTGTTTACATCCAGTCTTTATGAACAAACTATTGTGGATACAACTCCAATTGGAAATTCAGTACTGCAAGTAACAGCAAGCGATCTGGATCAGGTTAGTAGCTCTCTATTATTTACTTAATATGTAACATCTCACAATATTATTGATTGAACTGTAAAGATGGATTCTAAAGTTGACATTTCAGAACAAATATTTTATAACTGAGAAATTGGATTCAAGCATTTAAAAGATTGTTGTTTTTCCCACAATTACAGGATGTTCTGGAGTACAGGATCACCACTGTTTCTAATGTCACTGATTTCTTCTACTTGAACCCAAGGACTGGAGTTGTCTCCCTCAAAACATACCTGCTGTCTACCCTACAGAATCAATACACAGTAAGTGACTTGATGATTTCTACTGTAGTTATCTTTCTTCATATCATTATAAATACATGAACTTTGTATTCCATACCTTTTATGGAATTAGTTTTAATTGGGTGTGATTTTCTCTGCCTAGTTTACTGTGCTGGCTACAGATCAACGCATTCCAGAAAGGACTGCCACAGCAGAAGTAAGAATCAATATTCTTCGAGACAGATTCCCTCCAATCTTTGTGAATGAACCCTATGGAACATCGGTATCTGAGAATACTGTGAATGGTACATCAGTATACAGGGTCACAGCCACTGATCAAGATCTCAGGGTAAGTTTATTGCTGATTTAGTTACTGTATACCTGTACACTGGTTATTTTCGCCACATTATTTTTGCCCTCTCACACCTGAAAATACGTGTAATTTTTCCAGTTTTAAATTTGCCCAGACACAGTGTGTCAAAGAAGTAATCCGGTCTTTTTTTTTAATTCATCCCATTTTAAAATTCTCCCTTTTGCGAGGAGGGTGAAAGTGGCAAAAATAAAACGGGGGCAAAAATTTCCCTGTATACAGTATTTGAAAATTATGTATTTCTACAGGACTGTATTTTGTGTTTGAATCCGGAATTAATGAGCCATTTTTTAAAATGACAGGGACAGATATATTATGAAGTGATAGGCTTCAGTGTGGCTCCAGCATTCTTCAGAGTTGGTCTGTTGACTGGCATCGTTACTGTTTACGATGCAGTTGGCTTAAAAGTGGATCCTGGACTTCAGTACACAGTGAGTAATCTAATGACATCTTATGCATCTTTTTCTTATTTACAGTCAATCATCTTGAATTTAATGTCAAGAAAAAACGTATCTGAAGATTCAGGATATTGAGGTTAAAGTACTTAAAGATTAAGTAATTGGGGCTTCCAACTCACTTCAGCATGTCCATAGTATATATCATTGTTCAAGCTATTGAAAGTCAACTGTGCCTCAAATGTTTGTTTTTCTTAATAATTTATTTAAAAAATCTCTATCATTTTCAGCTACGTGTAGTTGCCTATGACTCTGTGTACCCATCAAACCGTGACACATCAGATGTTCTTATAAGTGTCACTAGAAACGAGAGAGCTCCAATCTTCTCACTTCCTTCCTACACTCAGACCATCCCAGACACATTCTCACTTGGTCAGATGATCTTAGATGTCACAGCCACAGATGCTGATGGAGACATTGTCAAGTATGAAATTACTGGAGGCACAAGAGCTCTGGAGTTCTACTACATCAATCCAGATACTGGATCCATTTCTCTGAAAAAGCCACTTACAGAAGGATCCCAAAATCAGGACACCGTAAGTTTTTCTTCCCCCAATACTACAGTATAGTATCATTTCCTAGTAAGCTGGATTACAATATTAATTGTAATTTCATTTAGCAGCAGATTAGGGGTACAAACATTTAAGATTCATACACATTTAGATTACTGTAAGCAAATATATTTCACTGCAGTTTTTCAAGGCTAATAAATGGCAAGTACATGTATAATGTGCAAGAGAAAACATTTTTGAAAACTTGTAATAACAATGAGCAAAACCAAAACTATAATATTTAGAATTTACAATAACAATGGTAATAGGTACACATAGTCTATATTTTATGTGAGGAAGTAAATATAAAAAAAAAAGAAATAGCATCATTGCTTTTGATATCTATAGCTTAACTTGAGAGCTAGAGATCAGAGGAACCCAGAGAGATTTGGAAATGCTATTGCTGTTATCAACATTCAAAGAGATCAGTTCCCACCAGTGTTCTTCAATCAGCCATACATTACTACGATACAGAGGAACATTGGTGTGAATGCCTCCATTCTACAGACTACTGCTACAGACAGTGATTTAAGGGTAAGCAGGTTTAAAGATATAACAAAAGTCACCTATTCCCCTCTAGATGCAGTGAACATTATTAATTGTAACAAAATTCTGAGTTAATTATCAGTTCATTTTATGCATACATGGTACACCACTCAGGCACTGTGAGAGAATTCTTGTTGAAAACAAGTGTTTTTCACAGTAATGGTAAGAAATTATTCTTTTTTTCTTTAAAACCAGGGAGCAATTAGGTATGAAGTAACTGGTAATTATCCTGCCCCAACCTTCTTTGATGTCAATCCCTCGACTGGTATGATCTTCCTGACGCGATCAGTGGCTTTAGATGGACTGCTGTCAAACACATACTTTGTTAAACTGATTGCGTATGACACAGTGTATCCTAACATCCAAGCCACAGCGACAGCTACCATTAATGTCAACAGAAACCCGAATCCACCCATCTTTAATCCCAGTACCTACAGGGTCACTATATCTGAGAGTCATGCCCTAGGCAGTGCAATTGTGGATGTCAATGCAACAGATGCTGATCTTGTATGTTTCATCTGCAATTTTATTTATTTAAGAAAGTTTGTGTACATGCTATTCATGATCATATTGTAATAATTTAAGACCAAAATAATGTTCATTTTGTAGATAAGAAATATTGTTTTGAGAAAATGTTCCCATACATCCTAAAGATTTGCAAGATTAATTTGCTTTCTTTGTAACATTTCAGGATGTCCTTGCATATTCCATCGTTGGAAATGCCGATGATTTCAGCTATTTCTACATTAATCCTGAATCTGGACTTATTTCACTGAAACGCACACTTACAGAAGCTGTCGGAAATCAGTTTGATGTAGGATATTATTTTTTGCTTTGAATCATTCAACCCCTCTAAGTGAATTTTGAAATAACATGATGAATTTTGTCATGTGTGTTCATAATTATTTATTTGCAGTTCAATACCATTGCTCGAGATCAGAGTAACCCTGAGAGAACAGCTACAGCCTATGTTGTTATTGACATTTTGAGGGACAATTCCCCACCCATATTTGTGCGAGAGCCTTATGTGGTGACTAATCTACCAGAAACGAGGGCCGTTGGTAGCTCCATATATACTGTAACAGCTACAGATAATGACCTTAAGGTCAGTATTTATAGCAATCATTTGAATTTAATTATTAATGAAGGGAGAAACTTTTGCTCATGAAAATTGAAATTTATTTATATTTCAAAAACTAGCAACTTCGTTCTGTTACATTCAGTATTTTCAGTGCATTTGAAAACTGAACGTGAAAAAATTAGTGTTAGGTTTCTATTATATTTTATTAAATGTATCCAGCAAAGATTTATCTTTTAGGGCACCTTTTAATTAAAACAATTAAAAACAAATAAACAAACATTAATCCAGGGATCCATTCCTATGAAGTATCTAGGTTCCTCATCTAGGATATGTAAAAAACAATGTAGTGCTTGGACATTTAAACCTGAAATGTTTTGTGTCAATGATTCCTGCCGACTGCCTATCTAGTGTGCCCACTTTCTTTAGTATATCAAACAGAGCAAATATCTTACGAAGGAAATATTTAGAGTTATCTTTTTAGAAAGGGTTGAATAAGGAATATTATATAAATGAAATGTAAGAACACTGTTTATTGTTTACAGTCAATACTTTTCCTTCCTTGATAGAGGGTCTGATCTGAGTCAGATCTAAGGAGTTTGTAAGAGCTTATAATTCAAATAAACATCATTTTCAGCAGCAAATATAAAATCAGAAGATTAATTCTTATACATTATTCAAATAAGGGTCATTTTCAGTAGATCCAGTTAAAACTATGCAAGATCATTCCCCAATCAGAGGAGAAAGACTTCAAAATTGTTTAAAAAAAAAACAATTATATACATGTATAGTTCTTAATAATAAACATATGGGATGTTTTTTTTAACAGGGTGAGATTGTGTATAGTGTTATTGGAGACCTACAGACTCCATTCTACTTTGATGTGAACTCAAGAACTGGTATTGTCACTATCAAGAACAGCCTGGTACAGGATAATGCTCAGACCTACATTGTATGTATCACCTAGAATTCTATCAGAATGTTAATACTTTTGTTAGTAAATCCTTTTAGCTTGTTTGAACCATCGCTCATTTGAACACCAATAAAAAGCACTGTTTTATTACACAGTTGAGAGTAACAGCATATGACAGTCTATCTACATCAAGAGTAGCCACTTCCACTGTGTCTATCAATGTTATTAAAAACCCCAGCGGACCTGTGTTCACTCTGCCAGCTTATGAGGTCACCATCCCAGAAACCCACTCTCTGGGTACCACAGTTGTCAATGTGACAGCCATTGATAGTGATGGGGTAAGGTTAAAATTTACTTCAGCTTTCAAATGCAAAGTGCCTTATTTGAAATTTATTTTTTGATAAATGTATGTAAATTGATTACATGTATCATTAATCTTTCAGGACTCTGTGAGATATTCTTTGCTGGATAACTTAAATGGCAACAACCCACTGGAATACTTCTTCATCATCTCTGACACTGGATTAATCTATCTTTCTCAACCACTGACAAACAATCCAAATCAGATTGACAGGTACCAGGTATGTACAGGTGCAATTAAGTCAGCTAAAAACACATAGGTCATTATTAGTACCCTCTAATTTCGGAAAAGAAATTTTCACCAAGAATGATTCTCCAGAATGACAAACTTTTTTTCCTGGGGTTTTTAGATGACTGCTGTTGCCACAGATCAGAGAACCAATCCTAGGACAGCTACTGCCAGGGTTACAGTCAATGTTTTGAGAAATCGCTTCAGGCCCGTGTTTACTAATACACCCTATGGATTCAGTCACTCTGAAAATAATGTGATAGGCACCAGTCTGTACAGAGTAACTGCTGTGGACAATGACTTAGTTGGCAGGATATATTACGATGTCATTGGTGATGGCATTGCACCATACTACTACAATGTGAATTCCCAAACTGGAGAGATTACCGTCAGAAATGCTCTTACCACTGATAAACTCAATGTCAATTACATTGTAAGTATCATTTGAATCATCATTTTTCTGCTATGATGTGTAAAGGAATTTTCTAATTGTACAGTAATAGCATCAAGAATTTTCTTGACATGTGTATTGACTTATAAAGTATTGTATATGAATTTTCAGACTTTAGAACAGAAATACCTTCATGGTAAAAGAAACTGGCAATGACTCTTTAAATCTACTCTAAGTACTAGTATACATGTACCTGTATCTTTTGGAACCATCTTTTGTGTACATACTAACCAGATGCTATTTTTCAGCTGAGAGTGCGAGCCTATGACACAGCCTACCCCGCCGAGACAGCCACAGCCACAGTCAATATTGGAGTGTCTAGGAATGAAAATGCTCCCATCTTCAGCCAGAACACTTACCGTGTCACCATTAATGAGACTGTAGGAGTTGGCACCTGTATCTTGGATGTTAATGCTGTGGATGCTGATGGAGTATGTTCATTACTGTATTTACCATAGTTAAAAAGCACCTGTGTCTGTTCAAGCAAACACACTATTTCAAAGTGAAAAGAATAAGCATGCCCTTTCATGACTTCGTAAAATGAAACACAACATTAGGGAGATGCATGTGTTTTGCTAAACTTTAAGGAAATTAAATACAAAATAGTTGCTTGATATGCAATTGTGAGAAATGGTTCTCTAAATCAATACATTTACATTTAAATGTATTGGACACTTGAATTAATTGATAAAAGGCAGATCTGATAAAGTGCCCTCTCTCTTTCCAGCTTTTGAAGTAGGCAAATGTTAGATTGTATGTTTCCTAAGCAGCTAATTTTTTGTAAGAATTGTTTAATATTTGGAAGATTTCCTATTTTTAAAAAGATGCAAATGTGTTGTTTCTCTTCATTTCATTTATGCAGAAAATGTATTAGCAAGTTCTACATTCGTCCTGATTGGAAAAACTCATGAGCTTATGTTTTATAGGACCGAGTGGTATACAGCTCAAATGGGGAGAACTCCACATTATTTTATTTCTTCATCTCGGTTGACACTGGTCTTATATGTGTACGTCAGCCTCTTTTTGGACCAACACAAACGGAGTACAGGGTAAGGACAAATTTATTTATAATCAGTAATCTTTAATTTGCAAATCTGGTGTTTGGATTGATGTCTGTCTTTCTATTCATCAATATGTCCATGTGTCAATTCATCTGCTTCAATAATATTTGTTACCTGTTGTGTTTAGAACTGTTGTGGATGTCTAATTTAAAATCAAGTCTTCAAACTTTTCACAAAAGAAAATCTTTGTAATTTTTTTTTTTCACAGATGAGATTGATTGCTAGTGACCAGTCTACCCCAGAGAGGTTTGGCTTATCTGATGCTTTCATCACTATCGTAAGGGACCAGGGACCCCCCTTCTTTATCAACCAGCCATACCAGACCACTATCAATGAACTGGACGCTGTGGGTCGTCAGACATTTGTAGTCACAGCAAGGGACAATGACTTGATTGTAAGTTCTTGGAACTTGGAAAAAGAATTGATGCTATCTTGACATTATATCTCCAATAGATAAAGAATCTCTGCAGTAATAAGGATTGAATAAACCTGGGTTTATCCTTCCATTTGATTTTAATGGGAACTGAATTTATTTTCTGCATCTAATAGAAAATGATTTCAAAGTATTTAAAGTACTTACCTTTGTTTGTAGGGTTCTATTAGATATGAAATGATTGGAGACTATCCCACACAAAGCTTTTTCCGAATTGATCCATTCACCGGAAATATTACCAACTCAGTCAGTCTGAGGAGTGACAACTTAAGATCCCAGCAATATGTTGTGAGTCTTTCAGTCAATAAAGAAAAACAATTGATTTCTTGGAAAAAATTACTATTGCTAATGTTTCTTTTGTTTTGCATAGTTATCTTACTTTGTATTTTTTTTTCTTATACATTTGTACAAAGAAAAAAATAACACTTCTTCCTTAAATGTATTGCAGGCCCGCATCATAGCATATGACACAGCTAGGCCAACTGCAAGCGCCGTGGCCACTGTGAACATCTTTGTCATCCGCAACCCCAACTCACCCCAGTTCCTGTTACCTTCTTACTCTACAACAATAAATGAGAATCAGGCTATTGGGCAGTTTATTCTGAACGTGACAGCAGTTGATGCTGATGTCCAGGTTAGTGTTTTGTTTAAGAAGAATCTCCTGTGATTTTTGTTCTGTTTTCTCTTTATGTGCTTTTGTATTCACTGATTATCTGTTGTTTTACAGGACACAGTCTCTTACTCTATCATCAGCCAGCAGTCTTCTCCCATCAGTACAAACAAACTCTACTTCTACATTGATCAGATCAGTGGTAACATCTGGCTCAGAGAGACACTTCTCTCCACCTCATTCAGTCGCTTTGTGGTAAGTTCAGGATTGTGTCTGGTTTAAAGAGAAGGCTTTGGATGATATTCTGGCAATTTTTTTGGTTTAATTCTTACTCACCTACTCACCTCTAAAGTATAGTTTTATAAAAGTATAATGCATATTTGCATTAAATCTTGACTATGCTGCACAACACTTTACCATCATTTGTACAAGTGTTGAAGGGTTGTAATGTTTACATATTTTAGAAGAAATAATTGGACTTGAATCTTTTATGTGTTTGTTAACTTGTTGGATGTAGCTGTATTAGAAAGCAAAAATTACATTGTACCAATTGCAGTGTGCAAAAGAAAATGGATACAAGTTCAGATATGGCTACAGTGTACGATTTTTTCTTAATATGAATATAAACAATATACCACAGTAATCTACATGTACAATTGAATGAACATTTTTTCCACAGCTTCAGCTTCGAGCCTGTGATAATGGTTTCCCCCAGAGGTGTGCCAACAACACAGCCTTCATCACAGTCAATAGAAATCAGTTCCCACCAGTCTTCATCAATGCTCCATACTTCCAGAGGATTGAGGAGGATAGAGCTGTCGGCAGTAGTGTCCTTACTGTCACTGCCACAGATCAAGATCTGATTGGGGCTATTGTGTATGAAGTGGTTTTACCAGGATCTCCATATTTCTTAGTGGATCCAGCTTCTGGTGTGGTGACATTAGCATCATCAGTAAAATTGGACACCAGTGTACAATATAGGGTATGTTGGGATGTCTGAATAACTTTCTAGATTATCTTGAATGTGTTAACCATAATATTTATGAGGATATGAACTAATGGATGTCATACTCTGGCATATTTTTCATGAAGTGCTAACACATTTTTTAATAATTTAAAAGGAATTTTGAGGCAAAAGAAGGTACTTGCATAAATATTTCTAATATTCTTAAAAGGAATTACTAGACAAAAAACAGTACTATTGTAAATTTTTATATTTGAATTATAGTTCCAAGTGGCAGCCTATGACAACCAGGATCCGACCCGTAGAACCACCAGTCAGGTCACTGTGGAGATTACCAGGAACCCTAGTGGTCCAAACTTCCTCAGTGCCCAGTATGAGACTACCATTGCTGAAACTTACCCACTAGGAGAAGGGGTCATAAATGCAACCGCTGTGGACCAAGATGGGGTACGTATCTTATGAAGCTTTGAGTTGAAGTATTAACATAAAAAATACAGATAAAAGTGCAGCTCTAAAAAGTATGTCATAAGGAATGCATTTATATGTTGATATGATTCTTTTTAGGATCGCTTGAGATACTCCATTCTAACAGATGATATTTCGAAACAATACTTTTACATCAATCCCGACACAGGAGTCATCTCTCTAAGGAGGGTACTGACTGACAACAACATTGCTAGGTTTACTGTAAGTAATATGTGCACGAAACAAAAGATGTTCAGACCAAATATTGGGTGTATGAAAAGTTTGAATTTTGTAAATTCTTCCATTTCATCACTGTTTCTGATTTCACATTGTGATAACTAAAATCAAGTTCTTAAAACCTTTAGAAAATATGTAGCCACTGAATTTTTAAGTTGTATAATACTTTAGATGAGACTTCAAGCCTCTGACCAGCGGGTGCCTGAGAGAGTAGCCACCATCCAGGCTTTTGTGAATGTTCGTCGAGACAACCAACCGCCCTTCTTTGTTAACACTCCCTATGGTAGATCCATTCGTGAGAATCAAATCGTCAATTCCACCCTCCTTACTGTCACAGCTACAGATACAGATCTAGTGGTGAGTATAGAAAATAATATACTAAGGTTGGAAACATCAGGAAATTTTTCTTGGAGCTTTCCATTAACTGATTTAAGAAAAAAAAGAAAACAATTTGATACATGTAATACATTTAATGAATAATTTTTAGTGCACTCCCTTTTGCAATTTTTTTTAATGCAGGGTTCGATAAGATATGAATCTATTGGCATCTTCCCAGCTCAGACTTTCTTTGAAGTAAACACTGTTTCTGGAGCTATCAATATTATTCGTTCTGTTCGGGACGACGTCATTCTGAGGTCTTCATACACTGTAAGTATTATGTAGGATCTTTATCAATTGATTGCATCCCTTTTGAGATGAAGAATTTTGTCTTTTCTTAAAATTGTTTCATTTGAAATGGAATCATTTTCTTTTTTCAGTTACGACTCATTGCATATGACACAGCATACCCAACAAATCGTGCCACTTCTGATGTGATCATCACCGTCACAAGAGATGAGTTCGGTCCAGTCTTTACTCCCTCAGCAACATATGAAATAACTATTCCAGAGACAACTAGTATTGGTAGTCAGGTGATTACCGTCCTGGCTGTGGATCAGGATGCTAATGATGTCATCACATATCAGCTGGTAAACTCCACCTCCAACGGAACAGAGTACTTCTATTTGGATAGGGATAACGGAGCTATTACTCTCAGGAGGAGTCTGCAGGGAACATTTATCAATGCTTACACAGTGAGTGGGAGTTTTTGAAATTTTCAGGTTTTAACAAAGCACAACTTTCTGAATCCCTCAGATTGTACTTGTTTAACTTTTACAGTAATCATTATTCTATTGCTATTATGAAGTCATTTTAAGATTTAAATTTTCTCTAAGCCTTGTAGTTGAATGATTCAATTGAATCAGTTCCTTTAACTGAAAAAACTGATTTTCTTTAGCTGACAGTTCGTGCTACAGACAACAGAATTCGTTCTGCCTTGGCAACTGTTCGTATCTTCATAACAAGACAAGTCAACCAACCTCCAGTCTTTGTCAACACACCATATGAAACTTCAATGGAATTCAATCGTGGAATCAACTCCACTGTCTACACAGTGACTGCTGTTGATGCAGATTTACAGGTAAATTTCATTCAACAATTAAGGATTTGTTTCTATTTTATAGTTTATAAGGTATTGGTCTTATTTGACTTAAATTTTTAAATGTTTGTTTCAGGGTTCCATTCGATATGAAGTGATAGGGTACTTCCCAGCCACTGAATACTTCAGTTTGAACGTGATCACAGGACGCATCACCTTGATAAGAACTGTGGCAAATGACCAGTATTCCTCTCTTCTTTATGTGGTAAGAAATCAGTTTTATGATACATATAGTTACATAAACTCTAGATATTAAATAAATGACATTTTCTAGATTCTAAACTGTATTATTATTATATACATTTAAGTGGTTTGTATGTGTTTAACTTGTATCATGTTGATGTATACATTCTGGGTAATATTAAAAGTTGATATTTTGCATTCTAGATGCGTATTGCTGCATACGACACATTAGACCCAACCCGTAGAACTGAGGCCAATGTTCTTATCAATATTATTCGTAATCCAAGTGCACCAATCTTCAGTGAACAGTCCTACTTCATTACTGTCCAGGAGTCGGTCAGTCTGGGAACCAACATCAGGACAATTACAGCCACCGATGCTGATCTAGACACAGTCTCTTATGAAATCATTAACCAGAACACAGCTGGCACTAACTATGCTCGAGAATATGTCTTCTTGTCATCATTCTCTGGAGATATCATTGTGAAGAAATCTTTTGTGGGAATTGGAACAAGTCAGTTTACGTTCACTGCCAGAGCTAGAGATCATAAATATCCAGAGAGGTTCGGAACAGCCTCTGTCACCATCTCTATTGTGAGAGATCAGTTCCGTCCTCAGTGTCAGAATTCTAATGCAGTGACCACCATTACAGAGACCAGAGGTGTCAATGAGACATTCCCATTCTACACTGTTGGTGTCACTGATGGAGATCTAAAGGTATATCTCATATGAATACTTGTCAGTATTGACTTACTATTATTTTTCTGCATTGGATTATAATTATTAACTTATATGAATAGGCTTGCTAAATATGAATCCTTATGGTATATGTTATGAAGTTCTTGGGTACAATCTCTGCAGTTATATATTAATTTTGAATAATATTCAGTATTAAAGAATGACTCTTACAGGGAAGCATGGTTTACCGAGTAATTGGAGATGGGGCTGCATTGGCTTACTTTGGAAATATTGACTCAAATGGTGGACTGTATGTAACCAGAAACCTGAAATTGGACAGTCTTACTCAGTACACAGTTCGTGTTGAGGCTTATGATTCTGCCTATCCTAACAACCCCACAGTGTGTACAGTGTCTATCAATGTCATTCGTAACCCTAGCTCACCCATCTTTATTGGAAATTATGAAACCACCATCAATGAGAACTACCCTGTTGGTGATGTCATTTTGACGGTAACAGCTAGAGATGCTGATCTGGTGAGTAAATTTAATAGCTGAAATACATGTATGTATTTTCCTTAGTTATATGTGTATTTTTTAGCTTTTTTAACCATAAGTGTACAGGAAGATACTGCTAAAAATTTTAGTTATTATTTGTTTGATAATTTTCAGTTAATTTTGTCATATTTGAAAATTTGACTTTATTTTCAGGACACTGTGACCTATAGAATTGTGGCACAGGACTCCAATAATTACTTTTACATTGCTCCAGAGTCTGGTGGAATTTATCTCCGCAGAAGTATTGTCTTGTCCAACACCATCAATAACAGATATGTGGTAGGAATCCTATGAAGTTTTTGATTGATTGGTTACGAAAAAACTGAAATACCTGTAAATACAGATTTCATGAAAAGGAAATAATATAGAAATCAAGTAAGATACATCTGTAATTCGAGTTTAAGCTTAAGTTGGATTTTGTAGATGACAGTTCAGGCCTCAGACAACCGCCTTCAGCCCAGACTGACCAATGCCACTGTTATTATCAATGTTGTAAGAGGACAGCCACCATTCTTCATCAATACACCGTATTCCACCTCAATCAATGAAAGAGTTGCCATTGGAACATCAGTTTACAAAGTCACAGCCCAAGACAATGATCTCATCGTAAGACATCAACCACTTGCTGTTTTAAAATTAATTTCCAAGCTTATTTAAAATGGGTATATTATTGATAATAAAATCATACTTGATTATTACTCTTAAAAATTAAATGTATTATATTTGTAGGGAAGCATTCAGTACAACCTCATTGGAGATATTCCAGGCTCCAGCTATTTCAGAGTCAACAGTACGACAGGAATTGTGTTCGTCGCTGTTAATCTCCGTCAGGATAGTACACAGTTCTACCAGGTTTGTTGACATCACATCGAAGTATTACGTTTCAAAATCTTCTGACTATACATGTATATTTGCACCTATGTGCTGAAATATAAAGTTTTAAAATTTCTAATAATTTTCTGTACACTGTAGTACAATGTACATGTACAGATGAATGTATTGGTTTTAATCATGCATGAAAACTTAAAAAAATATTTTGCTGTTTTATAGCATTTGCTGATTTAAAACAATGAATTTTTTTTAACAGTTGAGAGTAACTGCGTTTGACACAGCTGTCCAGTCACAAGTAGCAGAGGCACTAGTCAGTATCAATATGATCAGGAACGAAAATCCACCCATTTTCATCAATGAGCCATACACAACCACTGTTCCAGAAAGTCTTGGCCTGGGATCCAGTGTATACAAAATATCAGCCACAGATGCAGATAATGTAAGCAATGAAAATGCTTCCATAGTTTTTTTTCTATTAAAAAAATTTGAAGAGACTTATTTTAAAACCATGAAACTTTTTTTGAAGACAGCCTTTCAGATTTAAAAAAATATGGAATCATGCTAATACCTGTACAATGAAATCTAAGTTCTTGATTTGAAATGCTTAGTGAGCTGTTTGACCATGTATTTTAGGATGTTTTGAGGTACAGCATTGTGGGTGTGACATTTGCCAACCAGCAGATCTTCAATAACACTCTTCTGGACTACTTTTACATCAACCCTGACACTGGAATTATCTTCCTTACAAAGTCACTGACAAACTTTGGATTTGCCACTCTTAACCAGCTACAGGTACATGTTGGAATTTGAATTCTTATCAGCGCTTAATCACAGTAGGGACACATTGACTGTTTTGTTTCAAATTCAGATATGATTTTTTGTTTAAAATCAGAATATTGTATTTTCTACTGTACAATACTTTTAAGATTACTGTGAGAGTAACTGACCAGAGAGTGACCCAGGAGAGAATTGATACATCCACTGTAGTGGTCAATATCCAGAGAGATCAGTTCCCACCAGTGTTCCAGAACACTCCTTACAGTGTCTCCATCACTGATGGTCAAGCTATCAATTCCACCATCTACACAGTGACAGCAGTGGATGCTGACTTGAGGGTAAGCAGGGATGGATCTTGTATTCAGTTTATCTGGCATGATACAAATTTGTTCTTTATGTGTGAATTTTGAAGATTAAGTAAAACAAAACTCATTTGTTACAGGGAAGAATAGTGTATGAAACTGTTGGTGTGTACCCTGCACAGACCTTCTTTGCTGTTGGTAATGTAGATGGGCATGTCCGAGTCATTGATAACCTGATGAATGATGGATTCTACAGGTCTTCATACACTGTAAGTCTACTGAAGTTCAGAATTCTCTCACCAGTCATTTTAAACAATCACCCATCCCTGATTATTTTTGATAAATTTTCTAATAATTGTAAGGATTTCTTTGATGAGCATTCACAGTTGCCATATGGATGACAAGGTAAAAGCATGGCTTATTTGTCTTTTTACAGTTGAGAGTGATTGCATATGACAATGCATCTCCAGCCTTGCGAGCCACTGCTGACGTCCTGATATCTGTCGCAAGAAATGTCAATCCACCCCTCTTTGATCAGCAAAATTACCAGCAAACCATCCCAGAAACATTCGCCTTTGGTAGAGGAGTACTCAGTGTCAGAGCAACGGACAGAGACAATGTATGTTCATTTTACAATAACATCCATTTTTTTAAGCTTGTATTGTGTACTTATATATTCAGATTGATACAGGCTTATACACATAACTACATTTTGACTGGTCTTTTTTTGTTTTAGGATGCTATTACCTACTCTATCATAGGAGATACACAGAATGGAATTTCACTGTCCTACTTCTTTATTGAGCCAGCCAATGGAACAATCTATCTGCGACAGTCTTTGGAGACTACAAGTATTGACCAATTTACTGTAAGTCAATTTCTTGTATTTTGAATTTTCTCATAAAAAGAAAAACAAATAACTATCTGTATTAAAAGATTATGATCACTTGTTAAAATGTACTTGTACAAGAATTCTTGCATGCATATTTGATTTTTTTTTTTTCAGTTCACTGTTCAAGCCACTGACAATGGTAGACCTAGCCGCTCTACCACAGCACAGGTGATTGTGTTTGTGACCAGGAACCAATTTGCCCCTGTCTTTATCCAGACCCCATATGTGACCAGTGTTCAAGAAAACAGTAACAATAACTCTTTGATTTACACTGTAACAGCAGTGGACCAGGACTTACAAGGCAGGATTGTGTACCAAGTCACTGGAACTCTCTCTGCTCCCAGCTTCTTCAGGGTAGATCAGGATGGACGTGTCTACACCAAAGGAAATCTGAGGACTGATGTCTCACTTACCTATGTGGTAAACTGTCATTTCTATATTTTTTGCTAAGCGTTTTTTTTTTTTTTTTTTTTTTTTTTTTTTTTTTTTTTTTTTTTTTTTTTTTTTTTTTTAGCAAAATAAAATTTTTAAAAATTCAAAGCAGAATTCAATCAACTAAAATTTCACTTCAAAGGGAGTTAATTTTTAAGTTATATTTTTAAAGGCATTACATGAATATTATTAAATACTGTGTTCTACATTGATAGCTTCGGGTGCTGGCTTATGACAGTGCAGTCCCATCTCAGACAACAACTGCTGATGTCACAATCAATGTCCTCAGAAACATCAACCCGCCCATCTTCTCTCAAGACACGTACTCTGCTCGTGTCAGTGAGGCCACCAGCATTGGTTCCAGACTCATAGACACTGTTGCTACAGATGCAGATAATGTAAGAATCTGTATTTAGTGGGTTCTTTTTCAGTATGGGGAACATGTATTAAATGTTCACGGTTTGATTGTGAGAAGTATTCAGTGAACTGAATTAAACTACTGCTAGCATAGGATTTTCTACCACAAATATAAGAAGGCAGTCATAATTTCTCTATTTGTAATTGATTAAAACTATGTTGTAACTTAATAATTATATGTATTTAATGATTTGTGTGGTCTGTGTTTTAATTCTTTTTCAATTTCCTGCTTTTTTAATAGGATCGCTTGACCTACTCCTTGACAAACACAGAACAGAGATGTATTGATATGTTTTTCATTGACACTGCTAATGGTGATATTTTCCTAAAGAAATCTTTACTGGACACCTCAGATGTTACATTCACAGTGAGTAATGCCAGCTTTCAAAAGAACCAATATCGTATAAGCAGAATTTTTAGCAAGGATTCAATTTTGGCATTATAAGTGAGGGTTTTGAGATTGCTAAAATTGAATACCCCTAACAATTTAACCTGTATCTGTTGTTTTAGATATCTTTCTTGACATTATAAAATCACTAAAATTACTTTTCGCTAAAAATATCTACCAGTTTTTTTTGTAATTGCTAAATTTGTGTCTTGCTAAAAACTCCACTTATATGGTATTGTTTTGTGGTCAAAAATGTTGTACATTGAATTTTGTTTTCCCTTATTTCTAAAAATCTCCATTATTTTGTAGTGTACTGTACGAGTGACAGACAATGGCTATCCCAACCCACAGACAGACACATCCACAGCCATCATTACTGTAAATCGAGATCTGAACGTACCCGTGTTTACAAGCAATGCTCGATATGCTGTGACAATTGATGAGACTACCAACATCAGAGCCTCCATTCTTAATGTGCAGGCTTCCAGATTAAACTTAGTGGTATGTTAATCAGGGTATAAGTCTGTGAGCTACTCATACTAGTACATGTTTGAATTAAAACTCCACATATTTCTATTGCTTACTTTTCACGTTTTATTGTTACAGGGTCGTATTTACTATGAATCAGTGGGAGATTATCCAGCACAGAGTTTCTTTAGAGTACAGAACACCAGCGGTGCCATTAATGTGATTCAGGATCTACGTCAGGACAACTTGCGTCTAAATTCCTATGTGGTGAGTTTGGTATTCAATAAAATAGAATATTTTAATGATGCCATCATTTAGAAGAAATTATAATGTATTGTTTTTGTTTAATTTCAGTTAAGAGTAGTTGCATATGACACTGGTGTTTCTCGTTTGAGAGCCACAGCTGAGTGTTACATTACTGTAAGAAGAAACCTGAATGGTCCCATTTTCAATCCTGCCACATATGAAGTGACAATCCGAGAAGAATTGGCTGTCAATACCTACATCCAGAAATTGAATGTCTCAGATCCCGATGGAGTAAGAGATTTCTTTTGTTTACCAATCTTCAGTAATTCTTTGTACATGTAAAATAACATAATGAATTTATGAATATATCTGTCTGTATTTCTTTAACTTTAGAATCGAGTGACTTGCTCAATGTCTGGAGACCAGAAAGCTTTGAACTACTTCAGTATTGATTCTCAGACCTGCTTTGTTAGAGTGAGCCGACTTCTGACCGAGGATACCACCAGGGATATCAGATATACTGTAAGTGTATATTTACTATAACATTAATTTTCAAAAAGTGATAAAAGATGTTTTGAAAACTATGAGAGGAATGATTCTGTTCCTAGGAAGCTGTTAAATTGTGGTGCCATTGGGATAGCTAGAACATCGATGTTTCTATGTTGAATGAAAAGGTCAGTGTTTAATGAAAAGTTTGGTTTTTTTGTCAACAGGTGACAGTGACAGCCACTGACAATGTCAGCCCCAACCCTCAGTTTGCCACTGCCACCGTCTTTGTCAATGTTCTCCGGGACCGCTTTGCCCCTCAGTTCACCAATCTTCCCACTGTGATCTCAGTCCAAGAGTCTGCCAGCATTAACACCACAGTATTCACTGCTACAGCTACAGACCAAGACCTGAAGGGATTTATTGTGTATGAAATGATTGGCATGTTCCCTGCTCAGAGCTTCTTTGACATCAATCCTAGCACTGGACGTGTGTTCCTGAGGAATGGTCTTTTGTCTGATAGTCTGCAGACCTCATCATATGTGGTAAGCCTTAAATATTTATGCAGATATTGTAACAGCATGGCTGTTTAATGGCATTGTTTACAAGCAAGAGATTTATTGCCTGAAACGATAAAAAGCCTTTCCAATTTTTTTTTTAGGCCCGGTTTAGAGCGTATGATTCCGTCTACCCCAATAACAGAGCCCAGGCTGACCTGACCATTTCAGTAACTAGGAACCAGAATGGACCTGTCTTCAGCCGGGCCAGATATGAGATTACCATCTCAGAGACATTCCCTCTTGGCAATGAAGTGCTAGTTGTGACAGCCACTGATTCAGATGGGGTATTGAGGAACATTCTATGACTTTTGCTGATTGAATGAAATTTGAAATTTTTTTATTTAAAATAATCTTCATTTTAAATTCATTTGAATTTCATAATTTTAGGATAAAGTCATTTTCTCACACCTTGGATCCACAAACGATCAGAGCTACTTCTACCTAAATCCAGAAACCGGAAGAATTACTCTGCGAAAGTTATTAACTGGAATCAGTCAAAACCAGTTCACAGTAAGAAATTAAATTTGCCTCATTATATTGCTTTTAAAAAACTAAAATTAAATTATATAATACAGATTATTTGAAGTTGGTTAAAAGAAACTTATCTTTCATACAAAGAGTGAAGAGACTTGCAAATGTTCTCTATAGGTTCACTGGTGGAAATAAATAATTTAAGATGTGAAGACTCTTGATATTAAGATCTTATTTAAGGTCTAACAATATTTTTTTTTTTTTAAACAGTTCGGTGTAAGGGCCACAGACAACCGTCCTTCCACTGTCGCCCGTACTGCAGAGGCCACTGTTATCATCAGCATTATCAGAGACTCTGGACCTCCACAGTTTATCAGCACACCATACATAACATCAGTGGCAATCAACAAGGCTGTCAATACCTCCTTCTTCAATGTTCAGGCCATTGATAATGACCTCAGAGTAAGTCATTGACAATCTAGTGAAAAGGGAATTTGTCTTTAATTTTTTGGTGCTTTTTATTTTGATATTGCATTTTTCTTCGTAAATAATATGATTTTTGGGAGAAAAAAAATTTTTGCCTCCATTTTATGTGATGTTTTTGTTTGTAGGGAGTGATTCGCTATAGACTGGATGGCTACAGTCCAGGTACACAGTACTTCTTCCTGGATCAAGCCACAGGGGCCATCTTTGTTAGACAACCCCTAACTCAAATCTCAGGCTTGAATATCTTCACCACATTCACTGTGAGTACAGCTTCTTGAGATTCACTATAACAGTAATACTTTTCTGCTAGATGATTTAAATATTGTTTAAATTCTTGTAAATGCATGATAGTAGGTTAAGCTATTGAAGTTGGAAAGAGCATACCTTATCACTGTAAAAGTTTGAACATTATACTGATATTTTTTTGTATTCAGCTATTGGTCACTGCCTATGACACTGGTGTACCTGAAATCACAACTTCTACCATAGTAACCATCACAATCACACGAAACCTGAATGCTCCCGTCTTCTCTGCCAATCGTTATGAGGACACCGTCTATGATTACCTGGGATTGGGAAGTAACGTATTACAAATCACGGCTACAGATGCAGATGTGACAAGTCCTGAGAATTCAGTCATCTATGATCTTCAGGATAACTCTGGATTCTTCACCATCCATCCATTTAATGGAATGATCACTGTGGACAGAAGACTCACAGAGGACAACTCAAGGAGAACAGTCTATGTGGTTTGTCATCATATGCTTTATACTTGTATCTATCTGGAGAAAAATTAGAAAGATTAATCTTTCTTAATAATTTGTTGAATATTATAAGTGAGAAAACAGGGGGCAATTTACCCCCAACCTACAATTGATTTTTTCTTAAATATTCCCCATGTAATGCCTTTGTACAGATTTTCTTGATAAATTAACAATAAATTATCCTAATATCATAGAAATAACCCCCACACATGAACAAGAAAGGTACATGTACATGAAAATGAATGAATGTTGTTTTTCTCAGTTTGGTGCCACTGCTAGAGATCAGGGAAGCCCAAGCCGAACTGGAACTGCCACTGTCACCATCAATGTAATCCGCAATACTGGACAACCTACATTTGTTACCTCCATTAACTATGATGTCACTGTCAGTGAGAGTACATCTGTACTAACCACCCTGCTCCAAGTGAGAGCAGTAGACAGTGATGATGCCAGCACACCTAATGGACAGATCCGTTACAGTATTGTCAGTCCAGCCCTGGCATTATCATACTTTACCATTGACCCCATCTCTGGTAACATCACATCCAGACTATCTCTTGTTAATGTACCAGATGATATTTACAGAGTAAGTTATATGCGATTAAACTTTTAAAAACTAATGATAAATAATTTTTATAAGGTTTGCCAAGAGTGTGGAAGTCTGCAAAAACTAATTGCTAATTTAACATAGTAATTTTGTGTGAAGTACTGAAGATTACATTTAACAATTTAAATGTACTGAAAATGATTTTGCTTGTTATCTGTAGTTCACAGTGCAGGCCACAGACTTGGGTATACCAGCTCTGTCCAGTCAGATTTCTGTTACAATCCGAATCCAGAGGAAAGGTTTGCCATCATTTGACCAGGATGAGTACACTGTCACCTTTAATGAGGATTACGCTGTTGGCAACAACATTCTACAGCTCCAGGCTACCGATCCGTTGAATGCACAATTGCAATACGATATCACTGGAGAGTCCAACTCTCTGATCATGTTCAGAATCAATTCCCAAACAGGACAGATAACTCTGGCACAATCTTTCCGATCAGATCCAGCCAACTCTTTCTTGATCCGTGTGGAAGCTTTTAGGACAAGCGATCCCACCAAGAGGGCATCCACTAAAGTGAGGGTGTTTGTAACAAGGAACACGGGGGCACCTGCTTTCATTCACGGAAACCTGGAGATAACTATTCTGGAAGATCAAGCTTTAGCTCAGGGAATTGCTGATTTGAATGCCACAGATCCAGACTCTGTAAGATTATTTTTCAACATATAGTGGAAAGCTTTATTCCAGGAAGTAAAGTTCTTTAATTTTGGCAACTTTGTGTAAAATAAAAGAAGTTGTTTATTTATGAGTTCAACAAAAGATTTATCAATTTAAAAAGAAAATAGTTTTAAATATCACAGAGTAAATAAATATTTGTTTTTTAACAAGGGTGAAAATGGCCGTATCACATATGTATTGAGAGGAGCTGATTCTGTGCCTTCCTACTCGGATGTGTACTTCTATGTAAACCCAACAAGTGGTGTGTTGTATGTCACAAAGCGACTGTCAGAAGACACCCAGCGACCTTCCAGATATGTTCTCTCAGTGACAGCTTTTGACAACGGAATACCACAGCTTAGTGGAAGAGTCAGTGTAACTGTTAATGTCATACGTAATCGCAATGGACCAGTTTTCTCTGGAAATGCATATGAAACTACTATTGATGAATCATCTTCAGTTGGCACCAGTATTTTACAAGTCCAAGCCACAGATGCTGATGGAGTAAGTAAAAACACCTCTTTTTTCAGGTGTTTTCAAGGTTGTTGGGTGGGATGAAAATTTACATAGCTGGTTTCCAATAAATGGCATGTTTATTGGAAATGCCTTCTATATTGTAGGTACATGTAGTGCCAGTTTTATGGAAAGCATTTTTTTTTTTAAAGAAATTAACTTTCTAAAAATTTGTAATCAAAAAAAGATTCAAAAGTTGCAAGCAATTGAATGACACTGCATTATTTTTGATTCTGTTATACATTTTACTAGGACCAGGTACGCTATAGCATTATCAGTGGACTTCCAGGATCTCTGTACTTCAGGATTGATGAAGTCTCTGGTGTTATTGGAATATCATCAGCTCTAACACAGACAGGACAAGAACAGTTTGTGGTACAATCTCTTTTTCCAATACTTATTTGATAAATATTTCAGGAAGTTATCCATATGTGAATTAATGTAAAAACCTTGTTATTCTTCAGATGACAGTACAAGCCAGGGATGTTCCAAGCCAGATCGCCTCCTCCAGATATGCCACAATCCAAGTCACCATCAATGTCCGTCGTAATCCTAATGCTCCAGTCTTCCTACAGAGTCTGTACAACCTGACTATTTCTGAGTACATCAGCGTTCAGGACCTGATTGTCACAGTTTCTGCCACAGATGCTGACTCTGCTCTCACTGACAGTGGAAGAATTCGCTACAGAATTATCCAAGCCAGCTACACTCCACCCAACCAGTTTGCTCAATTTGTGATCAGCGAGTCCTCTGGTGGAATTTATCTGAGCCAGCCATTGACCAGAGATGGTGTTCCAAACTCCTTCCAATTAATTGTTCAGGCCCGGGATTCAGCAGCCAATCCAAAATCTGCCACGGCTACCGTTTCAATTTTTGTTGTCAGAAATATCTTTACACCAACATTCAATCCAAACAACTACACTGCTCAGATCTATGATGCATCAGCCATAGGTACCTCACTGTTTACAGTGACAGCAACAGATGCTGATAGGACTAATAGTTACAACAGAGATGTAAGTTATAGATAAATATGGCTCCATATCAAACAAATGTTAATCAAAAAATGTGATTATGAATTTGAGCCAAATAATACAATATCGTCAATTATTCAGTCTTAAAATCTATTCACTTCAGAAAAAAACTTTTTTTCAGACTCCTAATGCTGAGTTTGACTATGTAATGGATGCAGACTTTGCCTATGAGAACCAGTTCTTTGATGTCACCAAGGATGGTAAAGTTTATGTCAGAAAATCTTTGATAAATGGGGATGGCCGAACTGTGTTCCACTTCCGAGTGGTGGCCTATGACCGCAGCTGGAAACCAAAGGCAGGAAAGACAGACTGTTATGTAACTGTGATCTATTCCTCCCTGAGACCAAGAGGAGTTGGATTCACTCTAGGACTGTACAATACAACCGTGTTTGAGAATTCTCCACTCCAGACCAACCTACTCACAGCACAGGTTGAGAACCATGACCCAGATACCAACCTTGTCTGTTACATTTATTCTGTGTCACCATCAACATCATTAAGTAAGCTTCTTTCTTTGAACAAAATTTGGTCCATGCTTATGAACTGTAATTCATTGATGAACTCTGGCTTATTAGATTATAAGATTGACAAAGGATCTTTTCACCTTTTTATCAATAACAGAAATTTTACAACTTACAGTAATATACAGAGCTCTACCTTTTGTTTTTTATGAATGCTTTGCATGAAACCTCATTAAAAAAATATTGAATTAAAAATTACACATGTACAAACTAAAGCAATTATAATTCAATTTGAAATCTAGGTTTATTTGATATATCTGTGGTTGGAAATGCCTGTCAGCTTAGGGTGAGTGGCACTATTGATAGAGAAGCCAGTGGACAGTACATTATTGTAATTGGAGTAAGAGAGGAGGCCAGACGGACAAAACGTCAGGCAGCAAATCAACAAACTCCATATGGTAAGGATAATGAAATTGATGACCCAACTCTTCAACATTACTTACATGTATTTCATACACAATGTGCACTTCATAAAACTGTCATTAAAATTGCGTATATTTTGTCTTGTAGTATACAACACCTTCCAGAATGCTACAGTAATCTTAACAGTGCTAGACAGAAATGATAATGCTCCACAGTTCTCTTACCCAGTGTATCCACCACAACTCACCAACAGAAATTTCTATGTTGGAGCAATCTCAATCAATGCCCCAGCTGGAAGCAGCGTTCTTAGCATTCACGTAAGCTGACCACATCTCCTAAACATTCTAGCTTTAGTACAGAGTAAATTCATTTGGTATATATACAGTGTAGATAGTAGAATGATATGGGATTTTGCTAATTTGATTCTTGCAGGCTAGGGATATAGATGCTGGTCTTAATGGTCAAGTTGTATATGAAATTTTGGACAATACTGTTCCATTTGGCCTCAATGCTTCGACGGGAGTCATTTTCTCATTCCGTGAATTTTTCCGAACATCTAATGCAGACCTCAATCCATACACCTTCAACATCCGAGCATCAGACAGAGCTAGTGCTCTAGAGCAACAGGCCACAGAAACCACAGTCTATGTAAGTATGACATAATAATCAGGCATAACTATAGAGGATGAGAAATGTATTCATATTGTTACATGTACTTTCACCCACACATCAACAAATTATTTTATCCAATAATTAATTGAATCAATAAGGTTTTATGATGTGAGAGCTATAACAAAATAAAATTTATTACATATGTATTTAAGGATAAGTGCAAATTGGGCAAAAAAAAAATAAATATAACTGGGGTGAACATTTCTTAGTACCAATTCAAGATAGATCAATTGCAGTATATCTAGGAAATATGGTAATGCATATTTAACAGATGGTTTCCTTTTATTTTTTAATTGTGTGTATTGAAAATGTTTATGGAATCTTGAAGAATTGTGACATCTCCATGTAGATGGATAACAACCTTTTTACATTAATGATAGATTGACCTGATCGAGGACAGAAACAGATTTGTGATGGAATTAAATGTACCACCAAGAGATGCTGTGAGAGACATTGAAACCACCAGACGAGAAATCCAGAATGCCACGCAGAAAATTGTCATTATCGAGTCTATTCAGGCCAGGCGTATTTTACAGGGTGGACAGCTTAGCTATGACGAAAGATACTCTGATGTCATATTTGTGGTTTCTGATCCAAACATTGGATATAATTTAGTGGAAAATACTCAGTTGAATCTGTAAGCATAAGTTGATGTTTTGTTCAAAATTATTTTCTCTACCTTGACTTTACAAAAAAAGCTAAAACAAAATTAAATGCGGCAAACTAAAAAAAAAAATGAAATTGTCTTTCATACATTTCCAGATCATTAAAATTTCTAGTTGCTTAAATTTCAGGGAAATATAAGAAGCATATTAAAAGTAAAGAATTATGCTTAAACTTGAAAATTTAATGTTAATTTTATTTTTGTCATTACTTCAGGATTGGAGCATCAACATCCAGTGGAACCTTGGGACAGATTAACTCAGCCCTTAGCCGCACAGTAGAACTTGTCCGAGCTCCATTCAGCATCAGTAACATTCAGAGTGTAGCCTCAGGCCTCCAAGACCGCGGTAACATCGTACGCGTAATGACCAAATCCTACACCTGGTGGCAGGACGATCCTTGGGTGGCATTCGTTGCGCTGTCTGCCATTGTAATCCTGCTGGCTTTGGTTGGACTTATAATCCTCTTCTACTCATGGTCAAGGTAAAATCATTTCAGAAACTGAGAGAAGAATTGAATATTTGTAGAATTGGACTTTTACATTAAATTCATGTTCCTTCTATCAATTTTATGTTCATGCAAGAATTAAAAAAAAAAGAAGGGAACTTTTTTAATGGTATAAAACTCACTTTTTGGAGTGGATAGAATGTAGGAGACATTGTTGCATTAAGTGTGGGAAAAAATCTTTCATGATTGTATGTTTGTTTCAGATACAACAACTATTTGGCTAGCTATAGAGTTTACAGAAGAAATTATGAACATCAACCAGACTTTACTAATCCTCCAAGCTTTTTGAAAGAATATGAAACACAGGTAAATAAGTTACCATAATGCAATTTCCAGTAAATCTATTATATTAAAACCAACATACTACTTCTTTCTCTGACAAAACAGTGAAAAATATTCTGTTTTTTAGTAATCAATGTAAGATAGAAACTAGTTTCATGTTTGTACCTGTAATATGTTCAAGTTTTCTGTTTTTGGAGGATGTGTAGATTTTCTTATGCTTAATGGATGGGAATACGATCATCTTTTCAGTTATTGCTTTGGTTGATTTCACTGTTTTGTCATTTAGGTGAACATTATTTTGTAACATCTTAGAATAAATCATAATTTCTGAATTTAACATCCTATTAGCAGAATTCTTTGAGTAACAATATCATTTCTTTTCTGTCAGAGTTTGAACATGTATGTTCCTCCTGATGAAACTGGACTTCAGGACCTCGGGGAAATTAACATGAGTTTTGATCGTGATGCTTCCACCCGTAGCCAAGGGGCCAGGGTGGTAGCCCGCAAAAATCCAGTGTATGACAACCGCGAGCAGTACGTTCATTATTAGTACCTCTCCACAAAGTCAGGTAGAAATCAAATTTTTGTCCCAATCCACTTGCACAAGTAGTAGCAGCTTTCTAAAAAAATTATATTTGTTCCTCTGGTGGTTGTAATCTTCTGGTATTTATATATTTTAAAAGTGTTCGTCATATTGGGTGCTTAATGTTGCACAAGAGATAACCAGATAAAATTCCATTTATTTTGATTTCTACCTGAGTTTGCTTTCTTAATATTTTCAGTAAAGAATTTTATTCCATATTTATACAACAGAAATTTGTCTTTTAACTATATGACTTATTACTGTAAAAAAATTACACTTTTTCTTTTTTTGTTTTGCTCAAAATGGAATTCAACTTTTTGTAGTAGATATGAAGTTGATGTTTTGGTGAGCATTTTTTAGATTTTGAAATTCATTTCTCTAAAAAAATATAGCTTAATTTAGAACTTTGTAGATTTAATTTCTTAGAAGTTGCTGATGTTCTTAAGAAATCAAACCCTTTTGCCTTTTCAAATTGCTTTCAGTCTTCATTATATTTTTTTGTTGCACTTGCTTCATCTGCAGTATTTCTTTATGTATTCAAGTTAAATTATAGATATTTTTTTTTTTTGTATTAAAATTCTGTCATTGCTTTATATTTTCTGTAGATTTACACATTTCTTAGTTATTGCTTATTTTGGTGAAATTTAAGCATCAAAACTCTAGAATTGGCTTTTAATTTATACATTTTGGTTAGTTTAGCTATTTATTGTTTCTTTGTTTGCCAATTATGCATGCCTAATAGCATTAATTTACTCCGAGGTACTGCCCATCTACTTTATAATTTAATCTTCAGTCTCATACATGTATTTGCAAACCATGGGCATCTGGTACATGTATATAAGTGTGTATATTGAAAATATAAAATTTAGTGTAGATTTTAAGAAAGTTTATTGGAAGAAAAGTTGTTCCAGTTGCAAAGGTCATATCTCTTTTGATAAAATATTAGCTGTTTGAAAATTTTATCTTGCATTGCTTATTGTTTTTTTTTTTTTCTTTTCTTTCAGAATTAGACTTGTCACTGGTTTTCAAGACACAAGAACCAATTTATAACCAAAAGAAGACAACTACTTACCCAAAAGACTATTAGCTATAACCTCAAGTGCTATCCAATCAAATGACTTTATAGTTTACATTTTTATTAACAAATTTTTTCTGTATACTCTAATCTTTACAAAGTTTTGATACTTTTGTAATAAACCCTTAAAAAATGTGATTTTTTTTTCATTTGTACTGCTGCTACTACATGGATAGCAGTGTACAAAATTCATTGAAAAACTCACTACCCTTGAGGCCAAAATGAGGCAAATGATGCTATATTTTGAGTTTCTAAAGAGGGTGTCATACCATTCCAATGATTTAAAAAATTGACCAATTTAAAGTCATCATCACAGGGCACAGGTTTTGGTGTCCATTTATTTTCAAAATCTGGGTTTTTGGAAACAGAATGGACACAAAACCTGTGGCTCGCGGCGAAGATTTAAAGGCTGCAAGTTTCATAGTACCGGATATTCATGTACATGCTGGGTGTTTAGCTAGCTTTGTTGTTCTTGTGCAAGTCTTAAATTCCCGTTGTGTTTGTTTGTTTGTTTGTTGTTTAACGTCCCTCTCGAGAATTTTTCACTCATATGGAGACGCCACCACTTGCCGGTGGAGAGCTGCAAATTTTTGTCCTATGCTCGGCACTTACGGCCATTGAGCAGTGAGGGGTCTTTTTCGTGCCAAAACCTACTGCGACACGGGACCTCGGTTTATACGGTCTCATCTGAAGGACCGGTCTCACATCCCACAGTGGGATTCGAACCCGCAACGTAAGGATCAACTCCTTACCTCGCGACTCTAGAGCAGACGCTCTAACCACTGCGCCACGCGGGCGACTAATTCCCGTTGTGAAACACGACTATAAATACTAAATTGGAATACTTGTGTATCAACAGGACTGATTTTGGTGGTGCTGACGAGATTTTGTTCATTTATATAATTAAAGCTCTGTAATTAAGTTGGGCAGCATTACCTAAAGGAAGTGTTCAAAAGTAAATATGGCCCATGGGCCACAATGCTAACCTGAGTCACTTTAGCCATGCAGATTTTTTTTCCAAATTCCCGCCTTTGAGGAAAACTTTGACTCTATATTGTGGATCATAATCTAGCCCAAAGGAAGCTACAATATCAATACGATCAACATGGCTCTGCTGTTCAAAGATTTTTTTCCTGTACATAAGCATAATGTAAAATTTAGATCTCTATTTTAGCCCAACCCTAACCCAAGGGCTAATAATTTAAAATAAAAAAAAAAGCAAACAATTCCACTGCACTTAGGAATGTTTTCCTTATCAATATGATTACCAGGTAATCTTCGGGTGGCCTTGCCACTCTTCTTCCCCTATATACTACCTTGTACACCCCATGGCTTTGCAGTTCTTGATCACTTATTGTGGCCCCACCCTAAATTTAAACAAATTTAAATCTACCTACCTGAAGATGCTTCTGAACTATTATTACTAACCATGGCTTTGCTGTTCTTCAGAACAAGATTTTTAATGATTTTTCCCATATACTTTGATCCCCTGTTATGGCCCCTCTCTACTTCTGGAGCATCATGATTTGAACATATTTGAATGCAAATTAACTGAAGTTATCTGTATAAGACTAATCATGGCTTTGTTGTTCTTGAAAATGAAATTTTTGGTCACCTGAGCTGAAAGCTCATGAGCTTTTCTGATCACACGTCGGTGAACTTTTCACATTTTTGACTTCTTCAGAATCACTGGTCCGATTTCAACCAAACTTGCCACAAAGCATCCTTGGGTGGAGGGAATACAAGTTTATTCAAATGAAGGGCCAAACTATCTTTCATGGGGAGACAATCCTGAAATAGTGAAAATTTGGTGGCATGTTTTAAAAATCTTATCAAGAACCACTGGGCCGAAAAAGTTGAAACTTATAGGAAACCTTCTTTACATAGTATAGATTCATATTTGTTCAAATGATGACCCATGGCCTGTGGGGGTAGGGTGGGGTCACAACATGGGATCAACTTTTTTACATAGCAATATATAGGAAAAAATCTTCTCAGGAACAGTAAAACCATTGGTCATATTGATATAGAAGCTTTCTCAGGTAGTGTAGATTTAAGTTTGTTCAAATGATGACCCCTGGGGGTAGGGTGGGGCCACGATGGGGGATCAGTTATTATGACCTCCGGGGGAAGGGAAGGGCCACAATGGAGGATCAAAGTTTTACATAGGAATACATATGGAAAAACTTTTTAAAAATCTTCTCTCAAGAACAGCAAAACCATTATTTGTCATTTTGATTTGGAAACATCCTCAGGTAGTGTAAAGTTTGTTCAAATGATGACCCTTAAGGATAAGGTGGGGCCACAATGGGAAATCAAAGTTTTACATTGGAATATACAGGAAAAAATCTTGTCAAGAACAGAAAAGCCATGTTTAGTCATATTGATATGGAAGCATCCTTAGGTAGTGTTGATTCAAGTTTATTGAAATGATGACCCCCAAGGTCACTGAACTGATTTGTGCTTTTTTCTAGCCAATATGCTCAAGTGAGGGATGTGGCCCATAGGCCTCTTGTTAGATATATTTCCTATATATTCCCATATTTAACAACGATTGCTTTATTGTGACCCAACCCTACCCCTGGGGGTCATGATTTAAACGATTTTGATCTATACTACTTGTGGATGCTTCTGTATTAAAGTGACTAATTATGGATTTGCTGTTCTAGATAAGATTTTTAAAAATATTTCCTATATTCCTATTTACAACTCTGATCACCCAAAGAGGCCCCACCCTACCTTGGGGGGGGGGGGGGGGGTTGTTGTCTTGATTTGAACAAATTTGAATCTACTGGTAAACTTCCTGAGGATGCTTCCATATTCATATGACTAATCATGGCTTTCTTGAGAAGACTATTACGTATATTTTTTTCTTTCATATTCCTTTGTAAAACTTTGATCCCCTATTGTGACCCCACCCTACCCTCGCGGATCCTCATTTGTACAAACTTGACTCTACACTATGTAATGATGCTTTCACATCTTTGAGTGTGTGGCCCTTCAATTGAACAAATTTGAATTCCCTTCACCCAAAAATGCTTGGTGGCAAATTTGGTTAAAATTGGCTTAGTGGTTCTGGAGAAGTCAAAAATCTGAAAAGTTTACAGATGGATGCTGGAGAAAAATGTGATCAGAAAAGCTCACTTGAGTTTTCAGCTCAAGTGAGGTAAAAACTGAATTCATCCGAGGGATGGTAAAGAGCTTCAAAAATTATTGTTGTTCAACATCAATAATTACTAGGCATGAGACTTTTTGTTTGAAATGTTTACTTGAATAAACAAAAGAACCACTGGGGGTGGGGGTACTATTAAATTTGAATCAACTTTCATCACATTTATTTGGGAGGGGGTGTCTTAATGAAATTGTGAAGATAATGGGTGAACAAGGATATCCTATAATAGCCACTGAACGAGTAAAAAATATATTGAAAATGCATTAAATTCTTCACTTTCCTGAACATTTAAAATATATTAACATTTATACCAATGGTATGACTGCACATACATTTGCTAGATTTATAAAATTTCAGTGATTTAATAGAAGGAATTCTAATGTAATGCATTTTCAATCGTCAACTAAGCACAACTTGAGAACACGGTACCCTGTGGTCATGAATTTCCCATTCTCAATATTATCTAGCAAACAGCTTTCCTGCTATGGGTCAATCATGGTGAAGATTTCAAAAAATAAAATGCATTTCAGTATTTGACCAATTTATATCTTCAACTGGGACTTTGATCTAAACATTAAACAAAAACAAAAAAATCATCATTAACTTCAAAATTTATTTTATGGGCTATGGTCAATTCCCTGACCAAACAGAAACTACAAAATAAAATGAATAAGGTACATGTAGAATATTGTCATAAAACTTACAAAAGGTAATGAAGACAGATGCAAAAATATAGGAATTCCCTGCAATACAACAATCACTACTTGTCATTAAATGCCAAATTTTGACATGTTGAAGTATTCAACTTCCTAATACATACACTGCAATTCAGTGTAAGTTAATTATTCCTGTATTTAACTAATTCATTACATACTCGTTCGTTGTTACATTGAGTATATGATTTCTTGTACCGGTATTTTTTTTTTTTAACAGAGTAAATTTTTTTTACACAGAAAAATATGTCTCACTAATTTATATCAACAGTCTCACAAGAAGATGTTGAAAATTGACAATTCAGCTGAATTTCCTCAGAAGATACTGAAAAATTGACAATTCAGCTGAATTTCCTCAGAAGATGTTGAAAAATTGACAATTCAGCTGAATTTCCTCATGCACAAGACCCTGTTTAACATTCCTTCTCAGTCTCTTTTTTTTCTTTTTATATTTCAATTAATTTATAATATATACAAATATTGCCACTTTCTCTCTTTTTTTCCGCAAGTCAAGTATTCTTTAACTGTGTATAAAAACAAATTCTTATTCATTTATCCATACATGTATAAACATCTACTTTTCTTTTATTTCTGCCAAGTTTGAAGAATAATCCTGAGATCACCGAGGAAAGAAACCTCGCGGAGAATAAAACAGCAACAGCTCAAAATAAAGAAACAATACTGAAAACCTTGATATCGGCAGTGAGAAGTAATATACAAAAGTATACAAATGAAGACTACAAAACTATATCTGTTGCTTAAAAAAGTCTTACAAATTTCCACTTAAAAAACATTTCACTGGAGAATAAAAAAAAAGAATATACATGAGAGAACACAACTACCTGCTGCCCCATCATGATTCACAACACATAGATAATGCCCAGGTCCTTGCCTTTTTCTTGGCTTAATGAACACAATAAAAAAATATCAAAAAATGATACATACAATTGTTCCCAAGAAAATTTATTTAAGATGTATATTCTACCTGAAATTTTGTATCTCAATGTTTAAAATCAAAAGTGCCTCTGACTAGAAATGGAATTTCTCTGTAAATTTTACAGATCAGCATTAGATTTGGTTCTTTCCAGAAAGGCTCTTCATTACTTGTTCCTTGGCCTTCATAGCTGAGAGAGACTTTACCAGTCCTGTAAGAATATACTGTAGTATTAGCATCATGCATTGTATTTTTATATATTTCTTAAGTAGGTAAAATACACAAAAAAAATCACTTCAAAACATAAGGGGTGGAATGATACAGGTATCCTTTGATATCATATACATTGTGGTAGAGTTATTGTGATAAAATACAGTTGAATTTTGTATCTGGAACACTGATACCTCGAATACCGTGGATACGTCGAAGTGATTTGGAAGTTCCTACCACTTATTCTTTAGGTATTTTACCCTTGATATTTCAAATCTTCGGATATCTCAAAAGTTTTTCTTGGTCCCATCAACTTTAAGATAACGAGGTTTGATTACTCAAGCCTTATATGCAAACATTGCCCCCCCCCCCCTCCAATATATAACTGTAAAAGGAAAATTCTTTTTAAGGGGAACAATTATCCAGATACATGTACTGGAAAGTTATACTTTAAATAAAAAGAATTTAAACAGCATCATATAATTCCAGTAACATTTGAATTTTATTCATATACATGTTTATACAGATAGGCATAGTCATATCAATGAATTTTGTTTGCCAAATACATTAATGTATCGGAATATCATTTTAGCCCTATGGCAAAAATAGTAACAAAAAGATAATTTTATTTACAGTAATCTTCGTGTATGTTTATTTTTTCATAAATATTTAGAACAAGTAATCTAAACATCGCTATTTACACATGCAATCATTTCACCCTTTGTAATGTATAGACATCACATACAACATAGTGCACAAATGAACACCGAAATGTACACCATAAGCTGAATACATTTATCTGTCATGCAAGCTGAGTATTAATTGTTACTGCAAAATACTACTTTAAGATACATGAGAAATAATAGTAATTACATGTACATACAAGGGCGTATTACGACTTTTACACCTGAGCTAGTATTTTTGACAAACAAAATAACATCTTTACTAAAGCGAGCTAAATACTAGGTGTAGCCTTTTTATTACTTACCTAACTTTAAGGTGTAATTCAAACTGATAAAGAGAACATTAGTATTAGTATAATAAAAACGCATGCAGTTAGTTTTGTTTAAAGTCAATCTTTTCAAGAAAATTGTATTTTAGTAACTATAGCACATTGTTCATTGAAATAAAAAAAATGTACAGAATAATTATCTTGCTGTAATCTATTTGTGTACCAATCAAACTAAAATTGAATGAGTAACATCTGAAATGTTCCAGATGGACCTCATGCATAGATTTCCAATTTCCTTATTTACAGTACTTTTCCAATATTATGACCCACATGCATAGATTTCCATGTTCAAATTTATATCCCAATGTAAAACTAATACTGATTTAAATGAATAAAAGAAACTTACTGTCGACATTAGTTTTATATTTCTCTGGTGTCATTAATCCTTCAGTCAATGATGACTTACTTAAGGCATCATTTCGATCTGTTGTGGGAACTTCACTTCCTGGTCTGGGGCTGTGGAGTGGTACTCCACTATGTCCATGAGAAGCTGCGCTGATGTCATCATGTTGCACTGCCTTCTGTTCCAGACTAGCTGTCTGACTTGTTGTGTAGCTTTCGCTTTCTTCATCAACCAATCCTACAGGGTTACTTGCTGGTTCCTTATGACTAGGTTCTGGATAAACAAGAGAATCAATGTCAACAGTTTGTCTTGTTGTTTCATCCATTTCAGGATACTGAGAGATGGAGTCCACATTACACTGATTCTGTGTCAAGGGAGACAATTTTTCTTCACTGATTAAGACACTCTCTGTTTTAACAGTAAGCTCTTCCAACATTTGTGAACCGTCATCTGATACTTCCCGAGTCTCAATATAAACTTCTTCAGAGAGGATCTGGACTTCAGGGGATTCCTCTCTGACAAGGTCAGCATTTGAGGTAAGGGTACTAGCCCCGTGTGACTGGTCCTCTGTCTCGTTAAGTGATGTTATCTTCTCCTGTTCCAGACCATCACTTGTAAAACCTGAATTACTTTCCACGCTTGCTTCTAGAGGTGTGTCTGGCATAGGAAGCTGTCCTCCATCTGCTATTTCCTGAGACTGACCATAGGACTCCTGCACTAGTTCATGGCTGAAGTATGAATAACTACGTCAGTAAAATATTCAATATTGAAATTAGACATGGTTATGTTCTTGATAAATCCTTTATAATCTCTCTATTCTTATCAATTTAGCGCTTTCATAACAAAATATGCTGCCATTCCAAATTAAAATTGTGGACATCTGTCCCTATCATTAGTTACTGTAGATTCCTAAATATACGCGTGGAATAAATTATCGCATAATTACACGAGAAGCACCCCTCGTGAAATAAAATTACTCGCTTTTATTTTTATGGTGCTTTAATGTATGTAAAATCTCTAGATAAATCAGCTATTCGCGAAATATTGTTCTCGTGATTTGACACCCTTAGGCCATTTCGTGATATCAAGTACTCGCGTAAAATAAGGAATTTACAATATTAAGGTTGTTAAATCAAATCGAGACCAGCAATGATAAACTAAAGAAATTTTAACTATACAAATATGCACACAAATGTAATTCCACAAACTATAAATGTTTTTAAAATATTTGTGATCTCTACTTGTTTCAAGATACTTCAAATTTATATGTCCCAGTTACTGATGATGCGGGGGCATATACATGTACATTCTGGTCTGTAAAAACTTGAACCTTGGCCATAACTTTTGAATTGTTGGTGCAATGTCTTTTATATTTCATGTGTATGCATTGTAACAATATCTTTCTTAGAGTACCAACCTTTAGGACTTCATGACCTCGACGTTTGACCTACTTTAGTGAAACTTTAAATTTGGTCACAAATTTTGAATGGTTTGTGCAAGGGCTTTCATATTGCACTTGTGTACTCCTTGTGAGAAGACCTTTTATTTGGGTACCAACATTTTTATCCAACTACCATCACTTTGGACTTAAAATTTATAAGAGAATTAGCAGCCTATGATGAGATATAAACAAGCTGAGATACATGTATAAACAAGCTGCCATATCCATCTATCAACATACTGCCATAGTCCTAACTACTATGCTGACATCAACCAAGCACTTTGAATTGCTTTTGTTCAAGTTAAAAGAATTTTAATTGAATATCAAAAACTGCAAGTTTTTTTGTTTCTAGGTAAATCAGTTAATGTAGCAATTCTGATACTCAGTTATTGGACCTACCATCAATTTTCTAGTTAACCAAGTCCTTAATGGCAACCCTATCATTTATTCATTATTCTCTGTATTATCTTTGTCAATACCTTGTATCCAATGCTGGGGAAAGTGAGTGGTCTTTCATGGTGCGTGTGAGATAACCTGACTTTAATATGTGACCTGCTGCTAATCTCATTTCAGGTTTTCCACATAGTAAATTGTACAGCAGAGAACCAGTCTCAGGGTCCTACAAGATACAAAAGAACATCTTTTATGCAGGTTCACACCCTTTAAATTGACATGTCCAAATACATGTACAATATGATCACATCTTTATACTCATATTCAAATACAATATCTATTTTAACTTTTTTTTCACTATTTCTCTATAATCTTAAATCGTAAATAAAAACTATACATTATTTGATACATGTACATTGCTTAATTTAGTTACCAGTGAAAGGACAGCCAAGTTTGGAGTTCCATCTCTGGATGCCGGAATTACAGATCTTGGATGATGAAGCTAAAACAGATTTCAGGACTTCATTTCGAACATACCTTCCAAGGACATATATCAATCTTTGCAACATTCACAGAAATATCTTGATAACCAGGGGCCCATTTTACAAAAGAATTTATGACCAAGGCAAAAAACTTAAGTTGATTGTAAAATTTTGTAAAATTAATTATGTTCCCCAAACGAAGTTGGGGAACATATTGTTTTTACTCTGTTTCTTATTATTATTATTATTTTTCTTCTTCTTCTTCTTCTTCCTGGGTACTTTTTTGTCCGTGAGTGATCTTGTCAACTACTCATCCGATTGAGGTGATACCTTTTTAGGGTTAATGGGCATGTTATGTAGATTTGTGGAATCAAGGTCATTTTGAGCGCACCTGCATGCACATGCGTGCGCGTGCAATGTGTAAAATGACCAATATACTTGATATAGCTGTAATTTTTATATTTTTTGATGAAATGCTTTGATACTCAGAATATAAGGATATATTAAAAGTGTAAACAAGATGACATGGTCAACATGCGCATGCATGCACGTGTGCGCACGCGCAAAGCGTAAAATGACAAATATACTTGATATACTCGTAACTATTATACGTTTTGATGAGATGCTTTGATACTCAAAATATTCATATATATTAAAAGTGTAGACAAGACGACATGGTCATCATGCACATGCATGCATGCATGCACGTGCGCGCGCGTGCAATGTGTTAAATGACCAATATACTTAATATAGCCGTAATTTTTATATTTTTTTATGAAAAGCTTTGATATTAAGAATATACAGATATATTAAAAGTGTAGACAAGATGATGTGGACATCATGCTCATGAATGCACATGCGCGCGCGTGCAATGGGTTAAATGACCAATATACTTAATGTAGCCATAACTTTTATATTTTTTTATTAAAAGCTTTGATACTAAGAATAAACAGACATATTATAAGTGTTGACAAAATGGCATGGTCATTATGAACATGCATGCAGGTGCGCATGCGTGCAATGCTAAGATGACCAATATACTTGATATAGCCGGAACTTATTTATTTTTTGATGAAATGTTTTAATACTGAGAATATAAAGATGCATTAATAGTATAGATGAGATGACATGGTCATCCTGCACATGCATGCACGTGTGCGCGCTTGAAATGCAAAAAACTATCAATATACTTCATTGGCTTATTAAATGAAGCTTACAGGAAATAAGAAACCAAAAGGGTGTTGGGGAGCGTTTGGGGAACATCTGTAACGGTCCCCGTTACAATTATAACTAGTTCTTTTTAAAATTGCTAGCATATAAATATCTTCATTAATTCTTTTGAAAAATATTAAAACCATTTTCAATTAATGCAAAACAGAAAGTAATAAGCAGAATTAAATTTTGGTCTTAGTTGTAAGTTCTTTTGTAAAACAGGCCCCAGAATAGCTTCTCTAGACTTACATATAGGATGAGTAGGCCTAATAGATAGAGGTCAGTTTTAGCAGTGATCTGGACTGGTGCACTCTGATGAGCATTTGAGATTTCTGGAGCCTGGAACATCATTCCATGGCTGGTCATGTAACCTCTCTTAGTTCTGTCAAACTGTTAAAAATACTTAAGACTAGGTCATATTTTTCAGTGACTTGATACATCATAAAAGTAAGACATTCCATAGATAGGTGTTAAATTCTAAACCCATCCCCTATCTACAACCTGTTATTACTCTCAATTGATGCCAAGATTGTTTTTGTATACTCCCTCCTTTTTATCTCCCACTCTTACAGCCTTTTAGAACAGACCAAATAGACAATCCTTACCAATGACCTAGAAAAGTCTGGACACAGCAGTACAGCTGAACCGTCCAACTTTACACCAACATTTTGTGGATTCACTTCACCATGTACAAAACCATGCTGATGTAGGGTGTTCAATGCAGAGGTTACTCCTCTAGCTATTTTCTGCCTTCTCTGAAAATCAAAATCAAAAAAGTTTTCAGATGATGTGAAAAAGTGCAGACCAATCTTTAAAGATTTTTTTAAACCACAATTTTGAGATATTTCTACCAATGTTGAAGGAACTTGTACCTTGTCATCAAATCCTGGCTCATTCATAAATGTCTCCAAATCTTGCATTTGTTCAACACTTATAACTACATATCCAATTCGCTCATTCTACGAAGAAAAACATACATGTATATACTTTAATTCAGCTAGGCAAATAATGTTTTATAAAAAGATCAACCACTTTTTTCCTTGCAGGACTTGTACCACTGTAGGGCCGGTCAAAATGTACATTTGAAAATCTGCATTAAGAACTTAAAACACAGTTATTTTGTGCAGCTTTGAACTTTTCCAAGAGTTTCTAAGCAACCTTCAAGTCAAGCTTTTGAAATCCCTAAATAGAAACACTACAACTTTAACAAAACTAAGTACAATTCTTTAATATTTCTCCATTTGCAGTTATGGCCTAAGACAAGAATTTAGTTTGGGAACCCTGTGACTTAGGGTCTTGGTTTTCGATGCAAAGCAAACTTCATGTTATGCATTATTCCTCCAATTTTCAGAGAAATGAATGGCATAATTAAGATTTTCGCACTTAGGATTAGGAACTTAACATCTTGTCACTGCCTCATGTTCATGATACACCTTCTGGTCAAAGGCAAAGTTTCTGCCAAGTATGAGCTTCACATGGTTCTCCATTTCAAAGAGATGGATTGGACAATAAATGTTCATTCCAGAATCATGTGACCTAGTCCTAATGACTTTTGTTGGTCAAGATTTACTCATTAGCAATAAGCAAACTTATTGTGCCAAGTTTTAGATACTTAAGTTTCTCTGTAACAAAATAATGGTCCTGATATAAAGACAAACAAGAACATGGACATGGTGATTTCTATGTACCCCTCTCCCTCCAACTCTGTTTGCTGGGGGGAGGGGGGTTATAAAACATGAACATGTATTGAGTAATTTGGAATGTCATTCTTTTCAAATCCACCTTTACCTTTGTGAAGAACACTGCCTGTATAGCACCAAGACAATCCGAGTCAGAAGATATGCTACAATAAGCCATGATTTGAGCAAGGAAGTCTTCCTTCCTAAGATGTTCACTGTCACCAACATGATATTCCTAAAAAGAGTGGGGGATGCAAGATCTACATATGTAACAAATTAGAATAATTCTTTAACTTTTATATCTCATTTTTAAAAAAAAAAACATTATTATTATTATTATTATTGAGCCCCAAAATAATTTCCTGATAAGTATTACCTTCAAGGTAAGGCCTTTTTTTTCTAAATCAATGTTTACCTGCACATAAACTGGGTCGCCACAAAAAGTGCTCGAGTACATTCCTGGTCTCACTGCTGGAGACAAAGTAAAATGTTCCACTTCCCATCCTGTTTTCACTATGCCATTGTAGTTCTATAAAACATCGGATAATCTTTAATGAAGATTGTTCTTTGTTAGATATACATGTATCTTTTTTGAACATTAGGCCCCAAAACTTCAATATCCTGGCTCCCTACACACCCTAAAATAAACTGAGCATAACATTAGAATAATTTTTTCTTCTTTTTCTACATAATTATCTAATATAATCTTTATCTAACTTTCATTATACAAGCACCTCTTAGTACTTCTGGCAAAAGATAGGGAATACCTCCTCCCTTTTAAATTATTCAACACTGCAAAAGGGGAAGAAATGAAATTTAGAAATCAAATTCTGTAAAGACTTACCAGATATGTTCTAATTCCTGTATCCTGATGCTTGATCAGCAGCTCTGGGAAGTGTGAATCAGATACCTTGGCTAACTCAACCTGTAAATTGTCACATTGAAATTCATTTTTTTTTTCATCTGCAAGAAAGCTTGGAAATTTTTTCATTTAAGGACATACACAATGTAGTTTGAACTTTGTTGTCTTTTTCCCTGGAGTTGAAGAGTTCCAATACTTAAAGGAACTGTTTACTACATTTTAATGTCTATATATGCAGTTGTACACTTCTTCTAAAACAAGTTTGGATAAATCAAACACCTAGAATATATGTTTAGTAATTTTTGTATATTTTTCTTTGAATTATACAAGAATTTTCATCAATTGATATCTTTTCAAAAAACCTGGTAATGCATGCTGATTTTTTGTCTAAGAACATCTGATGGCACTATAATCTTAAATTAAGAATATCTTGAAAAATTATCAGCAGGTAAGGTACGTTGCATATGTCCTTAATGATATAGTTTCAGCTTCATTGAGCTTTTTATTGTTTTTTGTTTGTTTTTGTTTTTTTTTTTTTCTAATCCAAGTCCATTTGGTCCATTTTAAATTTCTTTTTGTTATATTTATTTATTGTTTCAGTTACAGTACTGGTATCATGGCAATCTGCCTTACTGCAAAAATTGTGAAATAAAGCTGTACAGGGTTGTCAGACATGGAATCAATTTAAAACTTTTCTTTACATAAGATGTTTGTAAAATAAGACTACCCTAATGCCTGTCCATGTTGGAATGCTGACCAAACTTAAAGTTGTATAACTCACCAAGGGCATATAAAAAGAGTATTTTTGAACAAGAGGCCCAAGGGCTTTAACGGTCACCTGAGTACAACAATTTAGAGGATCCATAAACTAATAAATGAAGCTTTGTTGCAAAAAAGCAAGAAAAATAGTACGACTAAGATCAACAAAATAATTGTTCTCGTATCTATCTATCTGTCCCCTACTTATCACTATTACCATGCAGACTTTTAACAAAATGTCTATTACCTCTAACATTGACCTCACTTGGCCTTTGAAGAACATTTAAAAAGATAAGTTATTTTTGTTTCATTTTTATTCATTAATTATTATTTCCAAGTCTACCTGATCATTTAGACAAGAAAGTACTTTTTGTATTATACAATAAATGTTCTTTCATAATTCTCTTATTCTATTAACCTTTCAAATACATTATCTACAGTGATTAATTATCAAAGGTGAATGGCAAAGGGGAATAACTTCACTCAGTAGAATACAAATTATTAGAGCCCTGGCCAGGACCAGAACACTTGACTAAACGGTCCAGATGTTCAAAATTCTGGTAAAAATACCCTTGCTTATTAAAACTTTTTACTATGTTTGCCTCCAATATGCCCAGGAGCAGAGAAGATCTTCAAAGAAATATTGCATTTTCACTTTTTAACACAGCCCTACCCTAACACCAGAACCCATGACCCAGGGTCATGAAATTTAGAAATTTGGAAGAGGTACCCTCATCATCATAACTATGCAATTACATGTAGTTGAAGATTTTCAAAGAATTCACCCATTTTCACTATATTATCAATAGAGCCCCCCCCACCCCCCCCCCCCCCCATAGACACAACAGAACCCGTGGGACAACAAGTTTTAAAAATTTTGTAAAAGCATCCTTGCTCATCATAACTATACACTTGCTTCTTTGCTATATAACCAGGAGTAGAAAAAATATTTTGAAAGAAATTAGGCCCAAAAAATTAATCAATAGTTTCTCAGGCAGCGCCGCATCAGGTCAAACACTGCCGCATTGATCAATTTTATTGACATAATGAAAAGGGAAATAACTCAATTGTCTGTTTTTCCAAGTTGTAAAAGAAAATTGAGTTATTCCCCTTTTCATAAATGCTTATAGATAGACGTTTTTATTAGATAAACAGTACATTTCTTGTTAATACAGTATTTTGTGAATTAACTTTGTTTGGAATAACATCATTTAAAGTTGAATACATATTATAATTAATGAGAGAACAAAAAAAGTAAGAATCAGTTGATATCATCATTTTGTTGAACCACTGACATGAAAAAAAGGTATAACACCTGCTTCAAAAAAAAAACAAAAAAAAAACCTGCCTGCCACACTGAATTTTGAAATTTTTGGCCTGAGAAACTATTAATTAATTTTTTATGGCCTTATGAATTTTCACTACAGTAAAACTTGTTGAATCCGGATGTTGTGCATTCCGGCATGTTGTTCAGTCCAGCATAATATTTTAGACCCTTGAATTTTCTTTATAATATACGTTTAATAAATGTTGTTCAATCCGGATCTTGCATATTCTGTAAACGGCCGCTATTTAAAGAACTAACTGCTCATAATTAGTACAAATTATCTCCTCTTATCCGGCCACTTATTTTTACCTGTGCCTGCTGGTCATTAGAGAAGTCTCGCGTGGGGTAATTATTGTCCCGTTAATGATCTATCCTGTGTCGACAGTTTAGATTTTAACAAGCGTGATGAAAAAAATCATTAATGGCTCAAGTAAGGCGAGGAAACTCGCAAAAGAACGTGTGATGGTTGCGTGTAGCATGTCTGTAGAAAAACATGGAGACTTATTCATGACCTCACTATATTTTATATATTATATTTCACTATATAATCAATAGAGCCCCGCCCTAACACAAGAACCCCTGATCCAGGGGCCATGAAATTCATGATTTTGGAAGAGGCAGCCATGCTCATCATAACTATGTACTTAGTTTATTTAAATTTTAATACCCAGGAGCAGAGAAGAAGATTTTCAAAGATTTAATTCATTTTCACTATAAAATCAATAAAGCCCAACCCAAACACCAGAACCCCGACTCTGGGGCCATGAAATTCACAATTTTGGAAGAGGCAGCCAAGCTCATCATAGCTATGTACTTAGTTAGTTTATTTAATACCTAGGAGCAGAGAGGAAGATTTTCAAAGATTTAATGTAGTGTTGTCACGATGATTGATTTATAATCGATAATCGATCGGAAAGGCTGTCGATTTTAGACAATCGATTTGATATTTAACAATCGATTATAATCGGTATATTACAGCACTTATCTTTTTATTGTTTTCTCACTTTTATTTCAAGAAAAAGATCTTGTTATCAATATATATCTTCCATATATATCCTCCAAGTGTTGTCATTTACCATTTTAACATACTTGAAATCTGGTTTAAAATGAAAAGTTGGTTTCTTTACAAATAAGTACAACTATGCTTGAATTTATAAAAATAGATTATAAGATAATAATGATATTTTTTTTATCTAAACTGAAGAAACTAAACTGCTTGTATAACTAAAACATATTGGTTATCAGTATTTGGGGGAAATTCACCTTTCATTTCATACGGAATTACATGTATTTGCTATATCAACTGTCTAATAACAGTTAAAAAACTTAATTCCATATTTTACATGATCATGTTAATTAAAACTCTGTCAAGGTTTTTTTTCTTAGGTCAAGTAAATCCTAATGAATCAAAAATCTGTATTACTGAAATTGTTAATCAAACTGCATACTGTATTCAGAGTTTTAATCTGTATAATACACCTTTACTTACATTATTACAAAATTAAACTTCTACATTTTATATAGAATTTAGTGCTCATTTTATACAAATGGTTACCGATTCGATTATTGGCCGATGATCAGTTGGTTAGAGTCAACCGATGCTGCTGATTAATCGATTCTGATTTTCAACCGATTTGACAACACTAATTTAATGCATTTTCACTATATGATCAATAGAACCACACCCTACATGTAACACCAGAACCCCTGATCCGGGGGCCATGAAATTCACAATTTTGGAAGAGGCAGTCTTGCTCAACATAATTATGTACATACAGGTAACTCTTGATGGCTCGAACTTCGATCTCTCGAAGTTCTTGATCGCTCGAAGTGAGTCTCCGGTCCCGAATTTTTCCCCTATATAACTAAGCAAATTTACTCTTGATTTCTCGAACTCTTGATCTCTCGAAACCCTTGATCCCTCGAAGTCAAAATTCAGTCCCGCTATGCATATTCTATTAGATTTTACCCTCGATAGCTCGAAGTGGCTATGTGTATACAAGGTTATATAATTGGCACCTTTACCTGGACATTTAAATGGCCCCAGGCAGAAGACGCGGGTCTCGAGGAACGGGATGTTTATTCAGGTGACACACATGTTGCAAGGTGATAATTGATTTATAATTAATCATTTTTGCCTATATGCTATTAAAATAATTATCATCGACTGTCTTACGATGATTCAGAGACGGAATGTCAGTGAAAAGTAGTAATTGATTACAAGACGAAACACCAATTTAATTTTTATTTCGAGTCAGTGTCAAAGTTAAACGAAATATGAAAAAGCATTAACAGCCTCAATGTCAATATGATGACTATTGTTGGACAAATACTTACAGAACTCCGTTCAATGATCATGTTAATATGGATTTATAGTCAATGCTACATGTATGTATGCGACGTGGTAAAATGTCGTTTTCATGTAACGAATGCGTAGTATGATGTCCATATTACAAAGAATAAATAAATATACATGAAATGATTTACATATTTTGCTTTACTCAGTTTAATGAAATATTCATCTAAATTACGAAAAAATATCGTTGTTTTATATAAACCACGTGTAAAAGGTTAGCACTGCATGAAAATCATTACATCCGGTAAGACTAATTTTAAAACCTGTCAACAAACCCGGAAAATTCCGGACTCTTGAAAACTCGAACTCTTGATCTCTCGAAGTTTTTCCTCGGTCCCGCGGACTTCGAGGTATCGAGAGTTACCTGTAGTTTGTCTAATATCCAGGAGCAGAGAAGAAGATTTTCAAAGAAATAATGCATTCTCACTATATAATCGATTGAGCCCCACCCTAACACCAGAACCCCTGACCCAGGGGCCATGAAATTCACAATTTTGGAAGAGGAAGTCTTGCTCAACATAACTATGTATGTAGTTTGTCTAATATCCAGGAGCAGAGAAGAAGATTTTCAAAGAAATAATGCACTTTCACTATATGATCTATATATAGCTCCACCCTAGCACCAGAACCCCTGACCCTGGGGCCATGAATTTCACAATTTTGGTAGAGGGCTCAATGCTTATTACAATCATGCCATCAGTTTGACTGCTTGATGTCCAGGAGTAAAGAAGAAGATTTTTAAAGATTGCATTAATTTTGGTGGTTTTAGCCCCACCCCTCAGGCCCCAGGGGGACAGGGACCATGAAATTCACAATTTTTGTCTCCCTTCACCCATAGATGCTATATGCCAAAATTGGTTGAAATTGGTTGAGCAGTTTCAGAGAAGAAGCTGAAAATGTTTAAATGTTAATGCACGACGACGGACAAAAACGGATAGCAATAGGTCACCTGAGTGACTCAGGTGACCTAAAAATGCATACAAAAACATTCTCGCACTGTAAATTTCTGTGACTAAATTTCCTTTCTTCTTTTCCAATCCTCTGGTCATACCAAATATTATTTATTATATCAAAATTGAGAACATAATTCTTCCTATTTACAAATTCATGGAACAGATAATATAATTAAACACTTTCAATCCCTAGAACTTAACCAAATCCAAAATCATTTGGTCAGCTTAGATTGTAAGCAGCATTTATGTCAAGTACGAACTACTTATGTTTCAGGTCAAGGCACATTTTGTACTTAATTTAATCTATTTTTATGCTTTGAGAGAGCTTTCAGATTTTCCTTTCATCTTGTTCACATGACCTTTGTTCAAGGTCAAGAAAACACTAAGGTCATATATTTCCATCTGACTGAATGCAAGTCCTTTAAAGTTAAATGCATTGTTTAGGCTGTAAGCATAGACAGAGAAATATAAAGACCAGAAACCTCTCCCCTCCTGACTTCCACCTTTTAAAAAAAGTACAAATATTTCTGTATACTAACCACAAGCTGATCATGATTGACTAAAGCTTGGTGAAGCTGGTACTGCAGTCCCTCAATTTCTGTCTTTAATACTTTCTCCTCTTCATTATCTCCACTCTACAAAAATTTGGGAGCATAAGGTAACAGTTACTTACACTGGCTTTTCTATAGTGTTTTGTAAAACTTTCACAGGAATCAATGTAAAAATCATCATTCTATCAAATATCACGCTTGATATTTTTAAACATTAAAGTTCTCTATCCAAGCATACAAATGGTTATACAGTCAAACCCTGTTATCTCGAACTCAATGGGACTAAGAAAAACTTCGAGACATCCGAGGATTGGAGATATCAAGGGTAAAATACTTCGAGAATAAGGGGTTGGGACTTCAAAATCACTTCGACATATCCATGGTATTCGAGATGTCAGTGTTCGAGATACCGAAGTTCAACTGTATTTGTAAATAGTGAAATGTACTTGAAGTTAAATAATATATTGAATTTTTAATAAACATTTATCAATTTTCACAAACATTCCTCTGTTTATGAATAGCACACATTAATACAAGTACCTCCTCTAAATCCAGTCTGTCTGCCTCCATGTGGCGTAACTTAGACTTAAGGGACCTGATGTTCTTCCTGCACTCCTGAATGTCATCAAAGTTAGGCTTGGTGTCCAGCCAAGGTTCAATCCCTGCCTTCATTTGGGAGAACTCAGCCATAAATTGTCTACAATTATCAAGGACTCCTATTTCTCCATGGAGTTCATTTAAGATGGCTGTCAGAACTGTAGCAACCAAACTTGAATCTTGGCTACGCTCCTGCAAGACAAATTTTTAGGTAAAATTTACTCAAGAAAACCATAAAAAGCTTTAGGAATCTGTCTTTGTTTTTGAAATAACCAATTTCTCATAGAGGAAAGTTTGTTTTTTTTTTTCAATTTTTCTGCACTTTGCTAAAAAAATCTACATATTTCCGAATACTTACCATATCAGTGATAGCTATTTCCTGCTGAAGTGCCTGCATGTAGGTTTTCAATAAAGTGTTAATCTCCAAATTCACATTTTCATCATATTCATCTGCCTCCAAATCCAGCACCTGACAAGAAAGAATTTAAAATTCTTAAACTACTGGTAATTTCCAGCTAGAACACAGACTTGCTACAGAGTATTTTCTGGACATTGGACAGGAAAAGCCACCGCCCCCCTTTCAAATCCTTTTATTCTTCTTGGAAAATAAGCCGCTCTTTCCAATGAGCTTTTCTTGAAAAATAAGCCTTCGTTTTCTCTGTTTGAATTACATGTACACTTGTGAATATTTTTTATTTAAGATTTTAGGGTATCTATATTAAGAAACTGTAGGTCATAAAAATGATGACAGCCTTATCTTTCACTTACTCCCTCTAGCTGATGCAGTGCTTTGGTGACTTCTCGCTGACAAATGTTGGTATTTTCTCGAACATGGCAGAACTCTGCTTCCTTCTTCTTCTACTCAAATTAAGAAAAAAAGTCACTAACATATCAAATCCCGTCAAAATGATATATTTTATTTAACTCTTGCTTAACTTGGCTAAAACTTTTCAGCAAAGGTGGAATAAATCTCATTTACAGTAAAACATGCTTATAGCAAACACACTTGTAATGAATTGATACTCCGGCAAATTGAATTTCTTTCCCTGTGGCTTTAAAATATATTGTGAAATTCAAACTTTTATAGCAAAAGGAAAATTGTCCATCCCTGGCAATTATAACTGGTTCTACTGTACTTATAATTTTACATTGTACATGTATAAGCAATCCCAGATTGACCAACCTTCCAATCCCTGAAGCCATGAATCAAATCCTCTAAACTTGGACAGCCATGTACACTGATGTGCATAAATGCTTTGTAGTTACTGGTCACTTTGGCCTCTGCTTTCTGCACACAATTATTTTTTTAAAATTATTTACTGAAATCTGCATTCTTAAATATTTTGATACGTAATACACAGCTTTAAAGTGCTTATTTTGACTCGATAAATAGTGTTTATACTTCTGTATGTGTACGTACATAATAATTAGAGTTTGTAAATACATCTACTTAATTAGAAGTAATTAAAATTTCATGATCATAAAGGAAATCTTTAAATAAATTGCCAAGTTTAGGAAATTCTTTGGATGTTTTAGAACTTAGTGTGACACTGTCAGTTCTGTCAGAACTTACCGTGACACATTCATGTCTGACATCGAGAGGCATGACTTCCAGCTCCTGTACACACTCTGTCAGTTTGTCATACAGGTTCTTCCTTGCCAGGTCTCTAGTCTCCACTAAAGAATCCAACTCACCCTGAAGATAAAAAAAAAATCATATTTACTAAATCAGCGAGAACTTAAAACTAAATCAGACAAATTTAATAGCGTCTTCAAAATCATTTACAAACACTTCCTTCATAAGTCTGTGCCTACAAATACAATGTACATCACAAACACAATATTTCATTTTTCCCCCTTACAATGTCTTTGGCATTGCATATTTCCTTTTGTAATGCTCTGTATGTTGATACAGCAGTGATGACATGTTGTAATGTTGTCACAGAGGAATTTGTAACTCTTTCTGATGACAAAGCTAGTTCAATAGCCTCATCTAAACCACTTGCTCGGCCTGTTGGAAACTGTAATCTGGAATATAAAAGACAATAATAATTACAGCAGAGAAATCTATAAACACCTTTACTTGGACATTTAATTTTGTTTTAGAATACTTACATAATACACTATTACATACTTCCCAACTTTTTGAATACATTTAAATTTCAAGAAAAGTGGTACATGTGAAATTACTCCTTCCAGATATGGACAACAAAATGTTTACCTGAGATTCTTTACTTTCTTTGCTAAGTCAACCACAGAGCGAACCTAAAATATTAAAAAGATACCTATGGGTTTTAGTCACCAGTTAATTTTTTTCTGAGCCATATTAAGCTATATAAAATTGAAATCATGGTTCCCAGGCCTGCACACATCCATTTTGAGGTAGCCGCATTTCAATTTTTTATCGTATTTTCATTACAAGAGGCCCAAGGGCCTTGAATCGCACTTCAGATAAACTGCACAACCTATCACTTCTATTTGAAGTCTCTAAGTATCCTGTATATTTAGATAAACCCTTGAAATTCCAATTCACACTCTGAGAACCCAAGATGATTCTAAGCCAACTAGTACCTGAGAGTTGGATAGGTGACCTACTTATCACTTGTCATTCTCTAAGGACCCATCAACTAAGTTTGATGATTCTAAGCCAATTAACACCTAAAATATTTTTTTAAATCATAACCATTAAATTTCAAAAGTAGATCACTGTGACCTACTTTTCAGTTGTCATACTCCAAGGACCCAAGATGCATCAGCTGACAAAGTTTGATGATTCTAAGCCAATTAGTACTTGAAATATTTAATTAATGCCATAAATTTTCAAAAGTAGGTCACGGTGACCTACTTTTCAGTTGTTGTACTTCGAAGACCTAAGATGCATCAACTGACAAAGTTTGATGATTCTAAGCCAATTAGTACCTGAAATATTTAATTAAAGCCATAAATTTTCAAAAGTAGGTCATGGTGACCTACTTTTCAGTCGATCTACTCTGAAGACCCAAGATGCATCAACTGACAAAGTTTGATGATTCTAAGCCAATTAGTACCTGAAATATTTAATTATAGCCATATAAATTGAAAAGTAGGTCATGGTGACCTAATTTTCAGTTGACCTACTTCAAAGACCCAAGATGCATCAACTGACAAAGTTTTATGATCATAGGCCTTAAAATGTTCAAATTATGCATCTGAAACGCTTTGAAATCGAATGCCTGCAAAGTTCAAAAAGTAGGACACTGTGACCTACTTTTTAATACATATGTTTTATGGCCCCAAGATGCATCATCTTGCAAGATTTCATGATTCTAAACCTCTCAGTATTCGAATTATTGACCTTAATTGTTTTGCAAAAGATTAGCCATAAAATTCAAAAAGTAGGTCAAGGTGACCTACTTTTTAGTTGATGTACTTCGAGGACCCAAGATACATCAACTGACAAAGTTTGATGATCACAGGCCTTAAATTGTTCAAAATAAGAATCTAAATCATTTTAAAAACGAATTGCCGCAAAATTTTTAAAGTAGGTCACGGTGACCTACTTTTAGGTCAACATGATAGGACGTCCTTAGATGCATCAACTGACAAGATTTGATGATCCTAGTCCTTATAGTAAGCAAAATATCAACATTTTATTAAAATGTTATTTTTGGTCAACTTTGAAGTGACCTTGAGACCACGCCCTTTGCCCCAGGGTGAACATATCCTCATCCTTTTGTTAAAGTTTGGTGATAATCTGCCCAGTGGTTCTTGAGAAAAAGATTTTTTAGCAACCAGTACTTTTGTTTCTATTTTCCTAATTATCTCCCCTTGTTAAAAGGTCACAACCCTAGTTTTAGTATAAAACGGAGCTCTTGGGCCAAGGATACCCTGTGACAAATTTGACAATAATTGGCCAAGGGGTTCTTGAGTTATGGCCCATATTCTAAAAAGTTTACGCACACCGCACAAATGGCCATAGCATAAGCTCTTTGAGCCTTTGGCTCAGAAGAGCTAAAAATAAAAAGTCAACAAGGTGGAAACCAAGCCAACCAAAAAATTCTGTCGTCGTTTTCTCTTATTCGATTTTTGTTTCCGTTTTCTGTTTACATAAGCTGTATTTTATAGTTACCTGTACTTTACTGGCTGATACTTGCTGTAATTCCAGCTCTTTACGAGCCAAGTCAGTTCGAAGTTTGTCAATTTCTCTTTTCTTTTTGTTGACATCACTCTGCAGTGTCTTTTGGATTTCTAAATGGCGAGCAATCTCCTCTGCCCTAAATTTTAAAAAAAATTCTTAAATTTCATTTTATCAATATTCATAGTTTGAAAGTTATTATTTTCTTAATGTAATAAAATAGAAATGCAATGTAATAAATGCGAACTTTCTTCTAGCTTATCTTTTCAATTACCTCTGTTGACTTGTACTGTTGTCTGCTGGACTGCCTTTGTTATAGAAATGATTCATTGCTGCATTAGGTGAGGTAAAGTTTGTGTTCATAAGAGGTGGAGGTACACTGAAGGATGGAGGCATGTTCATACCCTGCGGAGATTTTCCTGGGTACTGTGATTTCTTTACAGTTTGGTTCGCTTTCATCGGACTGGTGTTAGCAGACCTGTTATGATTGCCATATCCCGACTCGTTGGTCATGTAACTGTTTAAGCTGGTATTGCTTCCCACATTGCTTATATCCCCATTTCCAATATTACTGCCAGTGGAAACAGATGTAAGACTACGTGCTGGACTGACACTTTCCCCTCCCCCTCCTCTCACCATCCCCATTGATGGCCGCTTACTGGCAAATCCTTCGTTGACAACTTTATCATTAATATTTACAGGATCACCTTCAAATGACAAGTAGCCATAGAATCCTGTTCCATCCTGTAATGGTCTTGTCTTACATGTTAGCAGCTGTCTATTTTCTGTTTGTTTTCTGAGGAAACGAATGCCCTGAAAATAAAAAATTTTGTAAATAGAGTAAAATATTATTTGAGCCTTTAACATTTTCCAAGTGTAAAACAGAGCATACTCCACTTTTACTTTTATAGTAAACACACTTGCATCCCACACTTTAGCACTGATTTCAAAAGCACTTCCTTACTCAATTAGGTAACAACAGTTTATATGACAAAAGAAATATGCTTACATTTTGATCTGTGACATCTTTAGCCTTGGTATTGTGCAGCACAATCTTGTAAGCTAGAGGTTTGTGTGCTGCTACAGTAGGAGGGATTTCCAGAAGCTGGTCTGCATGAATCTCCTCTGTATTTCCATAATCAATATACTGGACTTTGAGCTGAAAAATTTAACCAGATTATGGTATGTTAATAGCTCTCCTTGACTGTTTCAATTTCTGAGTCTAGTAGAACAGCCACTGCTGGCTTTGTATCATTTCTTCTGGAGTTTCACATTTACAGAACTGTTTGTAAACACATATATTCAAACCAAAAATATAGATTTTAACAACGAAAGCAGCAACATAAATTAAAATTATTATGTGTCTTGAAGTACATTTATTATTATACTAAGCGTTAAAATGGACCAAAACTACAACAGGAATAGAATTTCGAACAAATGAAGATTTCATTTCAAAAGATGTAGTGGTTAATACATACATGTGCATACATGTATATCTCTTCATGTTCACAAAGTTTAATTAATGCTCACAAGTTTTCATTATGGTACTTACGGTTTCACTACCAAATAAATGTTTAACTATACATCGATACCACTCTCCATCTTCAGAGAACATAGCAGCATAAACCTGTCCAATAAATTATTCAGTTCTTTAGAAGAGGTCTCTTGATATACACCAAATTTAATACACAAAGAGAAAGCCAGCCTTGTAACATCAAATGATACACAAAACACACCTAAGTTAGAAAACTCATAAAAATTTCATGCATAAGCTACCTTGCCAATCTGTGGAGTGCCTTTGACTTTGGGTGCCGCTGGACAACAGGCAGCTAGCTGTTCCGAGATGTTTGTCATCTGTGCCAAGTTTTCTTCCGTCAATGTCTGAAGCCAAACTGTGACAGGATTCTCTACATAAGTTACCAAAGCCATTTCCTTCTGAAAGGGTATAAAACCGTCAAATGAATTGTCTTTATATGCTCAAGTCAAAGCTAAGTCAAAGCACAGCTAATATATGATACATGTATAATTAAAGTTCTCAATTTCTATCCAATGCTTCCAAGAAATGACTGAATGTTTTTCGTAAAACAGTCAAATGGTTTCAGGGCATGGACTTTCGTTCCAAGAGGCAAATACATTTATTATATACTGAAACGCAAAAGAAACGCAACTAGCAGTAATCTACAAATATTTGAACCTTTTAACTAATGATTTTCAAAACTGGTTTCAGTTAAGTTAAACTCGATTTAAAAGCATCAAAGATTTGATAACAATGTTAAATGATTACCTTTTAACTTTAGAAAGTAACACATGACTGTTAAAACACCCCCCTTCCCGGCCATTCAATTATAGCGTGGAAGACTGTCATGCACAGCAATTGCAGCTTGATTTCCACGATGCAGTAAGTTCATCAATCTCGGGATCTGAGCGAAAAAAATATTCTTTGCCATTTTTAAATGTCCGTTTTTCAGATGATGAAGTCGAATTTTCTCTAACCTAGCGCAGTGTAGTAACACTTGGACTTCCGGTCCACGGACTATCATTCATGCTAATGATACGTATGAGCCTGTTGAGGCATGTTGTCGGGCATTTTTGCATCTGCAATTCTCCATCACCTTTATTTTCAGCTTTTCCAGCTAGAGCATTTGAAATGCGTACTTAAGTCATTTTCAGAAAGCCTTGGCATCTCTTCCGGAAACGAAAGGAGAATTTATTTTGCGAAATATTACTGCATTACATATGATTAACAGATACAAACCCTTAAAACCCCATATTTTTGTCAAATTTTTTGTTAAACATGCAATTTTTTATTTCTGTTCAGCGGGCTCAAACTTAACTTCCGGTTATGGCATGAAAATCATTCAACCGTTAAATTATCGATACTTACAATGTTGAAGATATCTGTACTTTTTAGATACAAAATTATATCCTTTATGTGATTTTCCCCTCTAAAATAGGATGTTGCGTTTCTTTTGCGTTTCAGTATATGATACATCCACAACAAATTATACCATACATATAGGGAATAAACTGTCCTTAACTATACCTCTCCTGAAGGACCTCGTCCACCAAAACTGACAGGAGCTGGATCTGTTTGTGAAAAAAAGAAAGAACAGCTGATCTTCAAACTTTACAACTGTATACACACTATATATAAGAATGTATTTGTATTCATTGATCACTGTTTGCAATATTAACAGCATACAGTTATTATATAAATACTGCATGTAGTTGAGTGTAACATTGAAAATTTTCACCCCTCGAAAACCATTGTCAACCTCCGCTGCGCCTTGGTTGACAGTGTGTTTTCGAGGGGTAAAAATTTTCAATGTTACACTCAACTACATGCAGTATTTGTTATATTATACTGAAAGTTTTATACAAATACATATTACAGTGAACCTTGCGTGCATGAATTCTGCGCAGTCAATATTTTTTGGAATAACACCTGTCGTCAAGCAATGTTAACTGTTGCTATGCTGGTGGGCGTGGCTTCATTATTCAGCGGGTAATACTGTTTTTTAACAAATGTTTCTCGACGAATCAGATTCAACTAATTTACATGAAAGTATAATATTACAAGATATCAATGTATGCACTGTTAAATCTCAACTTGTGTAATTCAATGACAATGACATACATTGTAGTAGTATTGTTTCAACAAATTTACAGACTTGTCTCATTTTTGCCTGGAAATTCAATGGAATGTTCTATTTAGCAACATTTTATGCAAAACCCAATTGTATTACTTCATACGTATTCAAAAAGCTTAGTGATTGGACATTGACCTAATTACAACTACAGCTATAAATTACTTGTACAATTGCAGTATTTGTGTACCTTATAAAACATTGTATTATAGTAATCCAACTTAATAGCAAATACCTGCTTCTTTTTGTAACCAAGAAGTTTAAAGTATTGAAAGATCATGAAGATATAATAAATTACCTATAAAATATTCTTACTGATTTTAGGGATGTGCGATTTTATCGGTATACCAGTATATCATGATTTTTAATTACGTGATACGTATCGTGATACGGAGACTAAAATACAGGTATTTTTAAGTACATGGTTATAAATTCCAGGTATTATTCATTTATTTGTTCAATCTTTCAAATTACAATTACAGGAAGTGTAAAAGATGTTGAAAATGGTAAAAGAACGTCATCCTAACATTCGAAATTGCTTGATATTATGTTAATAAAAAACATAGGTAATCAGAGATTACAGAGCTCACCTCAACGAATGTTGTCTTTAAGAAGGCAAAGTCCCACACTAAACTAATAATCTAGGAGTGTGCATCCCTAGATGCAACATTTATGCAATTTTGGTCTGATAGGGCTTGCAGTTACTTGGGAATAGACTTATCTGAAAACTTAAAACTAGTCACTCATTCAGAAAATGCAAGTCAAATCCAGCATCCAAAGCAAGTTTTGAGATTGTTCGTCCCTTGATGCATCATCCATGCAAGTTTGGCTCAGATAGGCCTTATAGTTACTTGGAAATGAGATCAGGGCTCGACATTAACGCTTGTCCGCATGTCCGGTACCAGTGAAAAAAAAATTACGGACAAGTGAATATTGCTGGGCACTTGTCCGATTGGACAAGTGCATTTTAATGTAAAGGAGTCTCTAAATAATAAAAAGAACGACTGTTGAAAGTTAATCGGTAGTTTCAAGACGGAAGCTGTACATAAAAACCGGACTTCGATTCACATTCGATCGAGATCGAAGTTCACTAATTGCATACTACTGAAAAGGCATGGAACTTACGAACTTAACAAAGTTTGGATTCTGTTTGATGTTGAAAGGTTCACTTCTTGTTGTCAGATAAAATTTCGTTTTATGTGTTTGTTGTATTTATCAATAACATCACAAATAAATCAAGCACATGTCATGTGTAATGGACTTTATTTTAGTTTTCACTTTTCAAGTTGACAGTATTAGATCTTTATTGAAAAATTTTCGGACAAGTGAAGTTGAAGTTCGAACAAGTAAATGTCTTGGTCACTTGTCCGAATGGACAAGTAGAGAAAAAAGTTAATGTCGAGCCCTGGAGATCTGCTCCAAAAACTTTAATCTGGTTACTCATCCGGAAAATGTAGGTCAGATCCAGCATCCGAAGCAAGTCCAGTAGTGTGAACCCTTAGATGTATCATCCATGCAAGTTTGGTCAATATAAGGTTTATAGTTACTTGGAAATGACATCTGCTCCAAAAACTTTAACCTGGTCACTCATCCGGAAAATATAGGTCAGATCCAGCATCTGAAGCAAGTCCAGTAGCAGGGTTCTCATTAACGCAAGAATCTGCGTTCTAGACGCAGCAAATTTCCTTGGGACGCAAGGTTCTTAAAAACGATGCGTCCGCGGACTCGTGATCGGACGCGGACTCGTTAGCAAGAAAATTCGGGAGATTTCGAAAACGGGGAATTTAGATGTTAGGATTTGTCAAAGAAATATTTAATCGAAACCTTCATGTAACTATCATAAAGTTTATCCAAGAAACAACTTTTCTTGTACTTATTTCACTTTTTTTAAAAAGGGATTGATCATAAGATATTTCATGTTTATTAGTCCAGTCATAATAGTGTCGCATGCCAAACTTTAAAAAAAAAAAACACTTTTGAATCTTGAGTGTTATCTACATGCAGAAACCATAATTACTGCTTGTATACACAATGGGGCTTGATTATCTCGTGAATTTCACCCAGTGCAGACGACCGACAGGATTAGTTACGCCTCATTGCACATGACACCTGTGATTGTACACAGTCAACTTTTGGGTACTAGTTGATTATGCAACAGTTAATTTTAGCTTTATAAACACCAAGTTATTTTTATGGCAATTGATTACGCGTGTATTTTAGAATATGGCTTGAATGCATTACCAGTTTATATACTTGAATATGTTAATATTGCGTAAACAAACTGATAAAATGATAAAGATTTTTATTGATGTTTGGATGGAAGAATACTGCAATATTTTAGTTGGGACTCAACATAATTTTTCTGGGACGCATCAAATTTAGCTGGGACGCAACCTTCTCAGAAAACTTGAGTCCTGGGACTCAAGTTAGCAAAATCCTAGTGAGAACCCTGCCAGTAGTGTACATCCTTATATGTATCTTCCATGCAGGTTTGGTCAATATAGGGTTTATAGATATTTGGAAATGACATCTGCTCCAAAAACTTTAACCTGGTCACTCATCCGTAAAATATAGGTCAGATTCAGCATCTGTAGCAAGTCCAGTAGTGTTCATCCTTAGATGTATCATCCATGCAAGTTTGGTCAATATAGGGCTTATAGTTGGGAATGAGACCTGCTCCAAAAAATTTAACCTGTTCCAAAAACATTAACCTGGTCATTCTTTAGCTGAAATTGCAGCATCCAAAACCTTGACTGGTACAATGAAACACACTAGAAGCATCCTCCATGCATCTCTGACTAATATAGGCCATAGAAGTACTTGAAAAGAAAACTGCTCCAAAAACCTTAACCTGGGACGCCAACGCCGAGGGTATTACATAAGCTCCCCCAACTTCGTTGAGGTGAGCTAAAAATGAAACAAGAGGCCCAAGGGCCTTAACGGTCACCTGAATATAATACAACAATTTAGAGGATCCACAGAGTATAAAATGAACTGAAAGGTGGAGCTTTGTTGCCCAAAAGCAAGAAAAATGGGATGATCAGGATCAACAAATTAATTAATCTATTATTCATTGACAGTTTATAAATTAGGTTCTAATCTGTTCCCTATTTATCACTATCACTATACAGTATATTAAAAAAACTATCAGTGCTTCTGTACTATTTTAATTTCTTGTTGAAATTTCTACATTGGCCTTTCTTGGTCTTTGATGAACATTTAATAAGACAAGTTATTTTTGTTCCATTTTTATTTATCTATTACTTACAAGTCTACCTGATCAGTAAAACTATGAAAATACTTTTTATATTATACAATAAAAATTCTTGCATAATTCTCTTATTCCATTAACCTTTCAAATACATTGTTTACAGTGATTAATTATCAAAAGTAAACAATAAAGGGGAATAACTCCTCTCAGTAGAATACAAATTAATAGAGCCCTGGCCAGGACCAGTACACTTGACCAAATGGTCCAGATGTTCAAAAATCTGGTAAAAATACCCTTCCTTATTAAAACTTTCAATATTTTTGCCTCTGATATGCCCAAGTGCAGAGAAAATTTTTAAAGAAATAATGCATTTTTACTACAGATTCACTATATTATCAATAGAGCCCCCCCCCCCCCTCCTCACCGAGAAACACTGAAGTCTCTCACCCTGGGACCAGAAGTTTGCTCATCACAAGAAATCACTTTGTTTACCTGCTTAACACTAAGGAGCAGACAGGATTATTAAATAGAATTAATGCATTTTCACTATATCATCAAGAGCCCCACACTTACACCAGCACATCTGACCCAGGGTCATGCAATTCACTACTCTGGAAGAAGCACTCTTGCTCATCATAACTATATACTTAGCTTCTTTGCTTTTTAACCAGAAGCAGAAAAGAATATTTTCAAAGAAATTTTGCTTTTTCACTATATAATCAATAGAGCCCCCCCCCCACCCCCCTTTTTCCCTGGGGCCATGAAATTCAAAATTTTGGAAGAGGCATCATTGCTTAATATAACAATGTACTTATGCCCTGTTCACACGGAGAGTTTAATTCGAATTAAACGTAAGTTACTGCGAATTAAATTTGATCCGCGTTCACACGGAGAATTTAATGCGAATTAGTTTAATTCGAATTAGTTTACTGCGCATTAAATTACTTCACATTAGCTCCGTGTGAACGCTAAGCGAAGCTAATTCGAATTAAATTTTGACGCATGTGTAAGTGCAGAATTAAGTCACAGGCCACATGTCGGTGGTCAGATATAGGTATTTGTGCGATTTTGAGTGGAAAACAAAGGGAAATTATGATAATCACTAAAATGTGTACAGACACTATGACATTATGTCAAATCAGTGGTCAAATGTATCTGCTCAGGACAATGTGACGTGTTCGCAAAATGACGTCATAATAGCCTTACTGAATAGCCTTATTTTAGAAATAAAAATTTAATTCGTATTAGTTTACTTCGCATTAGTTGTCGTGTGAACGCAATTTAATTCACATTAGTTTAATTCGCATTAATTTACTGCGAATTTAACTCTCCGTGTGAACAGGGCATTAGTTTGTTTCAAAAATACCCAGGAGCAGAGAAGAAGATTTTTAAAGCATTAATGCATTTTCACTATATAATAAATAGAGCCCGGATCTAACATCGGAACCCCTGATCCAGGGGTCATGAAATTCACTATTTTGGAAGAGTCACCCTTGCTTATCATAACTATGTATTTAATTTGTTTAAATAATACCCAGGAGTAGAGAAGAAGATTTTCAAAGAAATAATGCACTTTCACTATATGATCTACATAGCCCCCCCCCCCCCCCCCTTTAGCAACAGAACCCCTGACCGTGGGGCTATGAATTTCACAATTTTGGTAGAGTCACTCTTGCTTATCATAACTATGTATTTAATTTGTTTCAATAATACCCAGGAGTAGAGAAGATTTTCAAAGAAATAATGCACTTTCACTATATGATCTGTATAGCCCCTCCCTAGCACCAGAACCACTGACCCTGGGGCCATGAATTTCACAATTTTGGTAGAGTCACTCTTGCTTATCAAACTATGTATTCAATTTGTTTCAAAAACACCCAGGAGTAGAGAAGAAGATTTTCAAAGAAATAATGCACTTTCACTACATGATCAATATAGCCCCGCCCTAGCACCAGAACCCCTGACCCTGGGGCCATGAATTTCACAATTTTGGTAGAGGGCTCAATGCTTATTACATTCATTCCAACAGTTTGACTGCTTGATGTCCAGGAGTAAAGAAGAAGATTTTTAAAGATTGCATTAATTTTGGTGGTTTTAGCCCCACCCCTCAGGCCCCAGGGGGGCAGGGACCATGATATTCAAAAATTTTGTTCCCCTTCACACATAGATGACATATGCTAAAATTGGCTGAAATTGGTTCAGCGGTTTCAGAGAAGAAGCTGAAAATGTTCAAATGTTAACACACGACGCACGACGGATGAAAACGGATAGCAATAATTCACCCGAGTGACTCAGGTGACCTAAAAAGGGAAGTTATGTTTTTCCAGCATATTTTTTGGCAAAATTATGACTATTCATTTAAAATCATTGTAAAAATTGCTTGTAAAACAAGAAGTCTGTGAGTCAATACTCACTAGTAATAACCCCGCTTTGATGTGAATGTACACAAGTTCAGTTATGGACAGACACAAGGACGAACAAGAAGTTGACATCAGATTTGCACAAAAATGAATCCCACCATATTGCAGGTCTAAACAAAGAGTGTGCTAAAATTTCAAGCATCTGGATGTAGTAATTGTTGAGAAAACTGCAACCAAAATTTGTTCTGTATGGTATGGACAGACGCACAGATAAACAGGAAGTTGACTTCGGATTCATACAAAAATGATTCCCACCATATGGCATCCCTAAACAAAGAGTGTGCTAAAATGTCAAGCATCTGCGATCGGTAGTTGCCGAGAAAACTGCAACCAATATTTGTAAGTTATGTATGGTACAGACAGACGCACGGATGAACAGGAAGTTGACAGTGGATTCATACAAAAACGAATCGCACCATATGGCATCCCTAAAGAAAGAATATGCTAAAATTTTAAGCATCTGCAATCAGTAGTTGCTGAGAAAACTGCGACCAAAATTTGTTATGTATGGTACGGACAGACGCACGGATAAACAGGAAGTTGAAATCGGATTCATACAAAAATTAATCCCACCATATGGCATGCCTCAACAAAGTGTGTGCTAAAATTTCAAGCATCTGCGATGAGTAGTTGCTGAGAAAACTGTGATGACGAAAAATTTGTTACGGACAGACAGACACACAGACAGCTAGACACATAGACAGACACACAAGGGTAAAACAGTATTCCCCCTCTCCTTTAAAGCGGGGGTATAAATATCATTGATATTACTGTGATATTTTGGGGAAAAATCGAGGTATATAGCAATACGAAATTTTTGGCGATACCCATCCCTACTGATTTTCCCTACAGATGTTTTTTTATTGGATGCTGTAGTCAAAGCTGTTGGAATCATCATGGATGGGACAACTTTACTTTGTTTACAAGAAGGCTTAAGTCTATTGTAGCTATTTTATAAGGATTCATGATAATAACAATAATATAGACACATAAATTTATTCTACATTAGAAGTATATATGTATAATAATTATACCATTGTTACTAGGAGCTGCTCTGAGATTGTCCTCATTCTCTCTTTTGTATGGACCCCTACGGTGGTAAATTATATAATGCATCAAATAATTATAGTGGCAAATATAAATAAGAAACTTAAGTGCAGAATATTTTATTTGCAATTAAATCAATTATTTTCTAATTCTCCATTCAAATAATCTGTGGGAAAAAACTTTGTTTACTTTTTCCTGAGTTCCTGTCTCCTCACGATCAGTTTGTTACCGCTGATTACAAAGTCATGCATCTCTTTTATTGCCTGCTCAGCATCTGGTTCACACATAAAATTTACAAATCTGCAAACAGATGCAGTTGTGTACAATAACTCTGGTGCAATTCAATATTAAATGTAATTGGATGTTAAAATTGTATTAGGTCCTACAGGCATACCTAGTGTATGAAGATTACTAGATTTTATAATATACTCACGCAAATCGCTTCTTTGGTGTGCAATTAGCATCCTTAACAAATATGCTCTTCGTTTCTCCAAACTTTGTAAACAATTTACCAACTGATTTCTATAATAAGAAAATGGTTTTACTGTATAAATAAAAGATGATACATGCTTAAAATTCAATAAAATAACAACTAAAAATTTGTCAAACAAGACTTTCATCTTAAATTCTATCATCCAATATTCAGTCTGAGTGATATATTTTGTCACTCTCTACCATCGGCTCCTACATTCACCTCTGTTGTTGGCTTGCATATATCACAATGTCAAGCACAAGAAATAGTGCGTTCGCTTCAATTCATTATAAATAATTCCCTGCCCTAATGTTTGTCTTTTAAGGTAGATATTTCCTAAATAGATATAGAACTATTAGTTTAATTTGAAATAATCCTTGAAATATCATGTTTTCTACTTAATGTCAAAAATTTTGACACGAGCCCATTGCAGAGGTATCTGAGAGAGGAACAAACAACAACTCTGCATAGGAGATTGATATTTTGTGTGGAGTTTTTGACCATAGATGACTTAGTTCCACAAACACCAAAATTTTATATGTCCAAGTTTTAGCATTTAAGTGTGTACATAAAAGAGGTTTGACTCCAGTTTTATAATAGTGGACAATTACCCATATCAGAATTGGTATTTACTGACCATATGGTAGAGAAAAATTAATCTGTTCAATTTCCTCACTCTCTGTGGAATGGCGCATAATTTTAACTAGTGTGGAAAAAAATTTATAGACATAGCTTGGTCCTTTGAAAGAAAAAAACTGGAATATGGAATTTCTTGCCCTACGGCATTCAAATATTTCACAAGTGCAACATGTCCATTCTTATAACAATGTCTCTCATTCCTGATCACTAATGCACACTTTGGTCACTTTCTCACTTCATATTTCGATCCAGACAACTGATCAAACAATTCAAACCATTAAAAATTGCTCATCTTTCTCAAACTTGGTCAAATACAGGTAAACTTCGGTATCTCAACATCGGATATGTCGACAACCTGGGATATGTCCACGTCCGTCCGCAGTCCCGTCAGTATTTACTATATAAATAATTTGCAAAAACTCTGATATGTCGACCTCGGTAATCTCGACAACCCTGGTTATCTCGACGTATATTCACAGTCCCAAGAGCAAAATTTACCTGGTATATGTCGACATCGGCAATTTTCTGCTCCACTGAACCTAACTGTTTGTCAGATAGGGTCGCTCGTCACGCACGGACAGCTCCGGGTATCTCGACCTCGTCAAAAATTTACACCTTTCACACCCATGTTTTGACTGCACGCTGCTTAATTAATTCTATAGACTGTGTTTGTAGGTGAATCCAAAGCCCCCCTCAGCGTCTTCGAGGGTAATATCACTAATAAATCTACACGATTCTGCTTAAATTTACAGGTGTTTATATATGTCGAAACCTAACATAACTTTTAAAACTGAAAAAGATAACTAAATTACAAAGAATAATAAACATATTGAATAAATTCAAACTAAAGAATTAAATGATGTTCTAATAATATTTCGTAGTTAAAATGCATTCAACAGGAAATAATCCGATTAACGACATGATTAACTGAATCATCTGTAATTCATGCATCTGTGATATCACTACGTTAGTTTAGATACACAAATCTCTTAAAAAATTAATATTAATGCACATTCTTCCTGAATGAAATAAGAAAAAAAAATAATTATGCACTTTATATGTTTTCATATCTCGGATGTCGACTTTAATTTATCATGTTTATACGGTTCGGTTTGAAGTTTATAGAGCGCATTTCGTATCCTGTTCTGACAAAAAAGCAAGTAACACGCGAATGCTGAATGGAAAACTACAAAAATTTAGAACGATTTCGATAAAGAGAAAGAAAAGGTTTTATAAATAAGATTTTTAAAAATAATTTCTTAGATTTTTAATAAAAATAGAGTGATTGCTGAAATAAGTTGACCTACAGTCTATACTGAAGTCATGTACGTATAATAAGTTTATACACGTGTATGTGTTTGGTTATGCAGTGAAATCTTGGACGTCAAGTCTCAACTCTGATATCTCGACACCTCGGATATCTCGACATTTTCCGATGGTCCCGTTGATGTCTAGATAACGAAGTTTACCTGTAGTTTAATTCAACTACAGAAGAGTATTTCTTCTTTCTTTCTTCAATTTTGTAACTGAAGTCTTTCTTCTTTTTTTCACTTTCTTCATTTTTGTAACTGAAGTCTTTCTTCTTTTTTAAATAGAACATACAATGAGATGATACTTTTTGTTGTATAAATTGATGTTGTTGGGATTAAAAACAAAAATAATTGCAAAAGTCAATTTGTGAATCTGTTACGGTTCCCTATTTATTCCCATTACTATTTGAAACACTTTCTGTGAAAATACACAGTACAAGTTAAACAATACTCCCTGCAACATATTGGACTATAAAACGACGAATAATATGTTTTATTAGTTGTATGTTTATTTCATCATCAATTGTATATTTACCATGTTCATCATTGGGACGAGGTCGGTAATTAGCATTACCCCGAAATTTCTTGACATTTACATTCCCAAGACACGCTTTAACTGTTTATGATTGCTTTTGTTTATGTTTACGAAGTTCATCAGCGATAAGTCCTTAATGTACCAAACAGTAATTATCCGCGCCCTAGGGTGCGTGATTCCTTTCGTTGGTCCGATCGGCATGGCAGTATATCAAAGCTTCTTTGCTACAACAAAGATGGCGGGTATTTTCACTTTGTCATGACGTCATGACAATCGAGCCCGATGCCTATATAGGGTGAATTCACCATGCATCGGACACCCTTGCACTTCAACAAGTTCTAGCGATATCGCTACCGACCGAATATTATCAAAATAGAACTTAACATGTAGTATGTGGTTAAATTATAAATTTTTAACACATTCGTGCCCTATTTATTGAGAAAATATCATTAAAAACCGATTTTTTCGGAATAAGTCAGAATTCACCATGGATCGGACAATATTCACCATACATCGGACATACGATATTTATACCAGAAAAATATCATACCTTGATCTCGGTGCTTTAAAATTACTGATATCGAAACATTTTTATCTTTTATTAAAAAATTAAACTTCTAATTAAATTTGAATGACTATTTAGATCCACAAATATGAAGAGATTTTAGTTGCATCACATCGCCTTAGAAAGGCTTTACAATGCTAGTAATATGGCAACTCGCGCCTTTGTCTCGTGGGTTAAAATCATCTAGTTTAAAGAAGTAAATTGAGTCCACTTCTAGTCGTCATATATCGAAAATTTGTATTTTCACTGAAAATTTAGAGTTTCTATTTTCTACTTCCGTAAAAAACAGCTGTCATTTTTGGTTTTACATGAAAATGGAAGTGATTACCCATGCATCGGAAAGTGTCCGATGCATGGTTAATTTGTGTCCGATATACGGTGAAATAAACATACTAGTAAAAGACAACTCTAAAAATTATTTTACAAACATTGAAGTAAAATTTTTGAAAATTTTTTGTAAAATTATCAATCATTGATAAATTTTACCTAGGTCCGACTCGTTCCGTTGAAGTCTATTTAAAAGAGCGACAACTCTAAAAATTGCAAAATCGTAAAATTCTGGTTACTCCCCTTTGATGATGCAAAATATGACGTAATTTCAAGGCCATTCTTGTGGTATTTTTATCACAACATGGAAATAAAAATCGGCATCATTAAAAAGTTTATATCTTTACCTTTAAGACAGAAACAAGTAAAAACACGAGGAGACTCGGGTTCAATGAAAGTTTATTGCTGAAAGTTGTCCGAAGCAAGGTATGTGTCCGATGCATGGTTAACTCACCCTAAGCCAGCGCAGATCAATCGACTAGTCAGTTTGTAAGTTTTGTACTTCTGCTGTTACAACTCGTATCGCCAGAATGTCTGGGAGCGAGAGCCGCTGGGTAATTACTATTGAACATTAATTAATTAGTGGGAGCTGATGAATTTTGGGATAATATTTTATTTTTACTTTTAATAATTATATTGAATTGTTCTGTGGGAGAAAATTAGTGGGAGGTGAAATAACTCTCCCATAACTATCAACTGTATTGTGAAGGGACTCCCAGTATTTTTGGGAAATACTTTTATACTTTTGTAAATTTATTTATGATTCCCTAAAACTTAATTCTCCCATTTGAGAATATTTTATTCCCATTTCTAATTGGGAGGGAAATAATATTTCTACGGGAGCAAGAAATAGGGATAATCGTTCAAAGAGATTATGCAAATTAAATACAACAAGAAATAATAAATATTTATACATTTTAATTCTGACTTAGAGTTCTTTTGTCCAATATACAGACTTGGGAGACCTACAAGTTACATAAGGGAGAAACCACTGAACGGCAACAAATCTTTTCATTAAAACCTTTGATTAAATATATTAGATTCCTCGAAAATATGCATACTGGACAGGGTTCTCATTAACGCAACAATCTGCATCCTAGATGCAGCAAAATTATTTGGGATGCAAGGCTCTTCAAAATGATGCATTCCCGGACTCACAAGAAGCGTCCTTGTTAGCAAGAAAATTCAGGTGATTTTGAAAACTGGAAATTTTAGATGTTAGGATTTGTCAAAGAAATATTTAATCGAAATCTTCCCGTAAATATGAAGTGTATCCAAGAAACAACTTTTGTTGTATCTATTTCTATTTTTTTTAAACAGGGATATGACTGATTATAAGATACTTCATGTTTATTAGTCCATAGTCATGATACTATCACATGCCAAACTCTGATAGCTGTAAACACACTGCAGCCTTTTTTTTTTAAACACTTTTAAATTTTGAGTTTTATCTGGAAACCATAATTCTGATAGCTGTAAACACACTGCAGCTTTTTTTTTTTTAAACACTTTTAAATTTTGAGTTTTATCTGGAAGCCATAATTACTGCTTGTATATACACAATGCAGCTTGATTATCTTGTGAATTTCATCCAGTACAGATGACTGACAGGATTAGTTACGCCTCTATGCACACGACACCTCTAGTTGTATACAGTCAACATTAGGGTACTTAATTGATTAAGCAACAATTTATTTTAGCTTTATAAAAACCCAAGTTAATTTTTATGATAATTAATTACACATGTATTTTAGAATATGGCTTGGATTACCAGTTTATATATTTGAATATAAAATAAATTGTTAAAAAAAAATATAGATTTTTATTGATCGATGCTTGGATGGAAGGATACTGCAATAATTCAGTTGGGAGTACATTAATTTTTCTGGGATGTTGGAACTCGCACACACAAACAAAAGCTCTGCATGTAAAAAAAAGTGCAGAAAACCAAGTGGGACAGTCTGACAAAGATACAGACAGATGAGGAGGAAACCTATAGATAGTTTTTCGTATGACATATTTTCCCTTCGAGTTACTTCCCTTGGCCGCCATCTAGGACGTCCAACTAGCAAATTTTCCTCTTTGAGCAACCAATTTTAAACATGAATGGCAGAAATATAGGGGCAAAAATCTTTAAAACACTAAAATTATGAATTAAAGGAAGCTTGTGTTAACATAAATTCGTAAGAAAAATTGTGTTATCTTTACCCAATTGCACAATATGACAAGTTTAAATTGGTTGAATAATGAAGGAATTCGGGCTTGTATACCTCCAATGTGGCTCTTAATTATAATAACTCTTCCTAAAATCATGTCTATCAAAAACTATCTATAGTGCTAGCCTGTTTCACTAGTAAGGAGACTAATAAGAAATAAATTTTACACTGAAATTTAGAACAAATGAATATTATTGCAATAAAGCCCAATATATCAATATGGTAGAAGGAGGTATACAATTTAATAAGGTATGAGGAATGAGGAGCTTGTGTTTAACAAAATTTTTATAGGTCAATATTTAAATGATCAAGATCAAAAGAGTGCTTGATGTTAAACTTCAAAACAGTGAAACCAAAGGATAAGATAGGAAAATTATCCAACTAGACAAAAGAAACATTTTGATTTCTTGAATAACAAGCACCATGGTTATCAACTGTTATATTACAGGTATTGATTTTACATTGGTCTGCAGTAATTCCACCTGGAAAATCAACCAAACTTTTAACTTGTACGAGGTATTTGTTCAGTAAATTTCCAAAAAACCTGTTCAAATGGGCATTTGGTTTCATAAAATGTGGATGCAAATAGAAATGATCACCATATGATCAGTGATATGTGTCCACCAAACATTGGGTTAGACAACCATTTGGTGGGCTAGCTGTGCCAAAGCATAAATAAATGAAATAAATATTAATGCAATTATGGTATTATATAGTATAACTGATGAAACCTACTTTAAACAAAGAACTGAACTGTCAGTAAAAATAATCAATCCGTTTCTCAACAAGTAAGTCTTTCTTTTGTGGGCTTAGCCATAAACTGAGGAAATTCGAAATATGCTTCTGCACTTAGTCAATATGGATAAATACTAATTATTTTGTTTCTATGCATCATGTACAATGTCTTGTCAACATGCTGTGTTATAGTTTTGTTTGACACTCTACTTCTCAGCATATTTTTTTCATCGCCCAAGATCGAGCGTTTTCCAAATGCTTACCGACGCGGGATCTGTCAAACGCAACCTCTTAAAACACCGAATGTTAACATACCCTAACGAATGATGCATTAAATGTTCCATGATTCAATAGCTAAAATACATACTTCGTCTGCATCCAGAGGCAAATTACCAACAAATACGTCGTAAGTCTGCACCTTCTTTCCAGATGAAGATGCCATCTTTTTTGCAATGTAGCTCGAGCACGTGGTTCAAACAAAACCCGCGAAAGAGCGCCCCCTAAGGGCAGGGACAGTAATTCAATGTTAAGGGTGGAAACCTATGCGCGGATCTAGCGGGAGAGGGTGTGTGTGGGGGGGGGGGTCGGGATCCGGACACTCTGGGATTTTTCTTTTTTAATTTGTATACAAGTAATAAAGTACGAAAAAGATTACCTTGGACACCCCCTAGAAAATACGAACGCCCTCATAAAATATGGACCCCTTATAACCATAGGAGCTCCGTTTCAGGATGGTGGTGTATTTTTTTGTATTGTGTGTTTTTCTATGTCTGTCTAAATACAATGATCATAATAAAAATCGAAAATCTCTGAAATTCGCAATTTTAAACAAATCCTTCTTCTCTCTTTTTTATGTCCGAGAAATACGATTAAAAAAAAAATCACATTCTTAATTATTTTCTCAAAAGGGCCGGGGAGGGGGGGGGGGTATCCGCATTCTGCTTCATCTTCAACTTGGGGTACCAGCTATTTACTCCACGGGAAAATTGTTAAAAGACAACAAGTGTTACTGAGCACAAACTACATTTACATACTTATATAATAAAAAAATGCATGCAAATCATGTGTTCAAACAATGTATCTTGCAGGCCCGTTGCAACGGTTTTAAAAGTTGGGAGTGGGGGCCAACTTCCCCCAAAAATCTGACAAGCATTAAAAAAAAAAAAAAAAAAAAAAGAGAGAGAAAAAAAAACCTAAACTGACCAAAAAAGTGATGGGGCCAGCTTCTCAAAATAGTCTGACGAGCCAAAAAATAAAATATACAAAAATATAATAATAAAAATATTTAAAAATATAATACATGTAATAAAAAAAACTAATTGACTGCCAGAACAAAAAGTGTGAAGCATATAAAGAAAATTTTACCATAACAAAATACTATACTCAGAAAAAGCCCCCCGTTCTACGGGCCTGTCTTGGTCTAATAATAAGGAGTGAAATGCTGGTGAGGGCCTAAGGGTGTTTCTCTGATCATAGGCGTCGGAAGCAAATTAAAATTGGGGAAGGGGCTAAACCAACAACAAAAACAACAAACGCTTGGGGAGGGGGGGTAACACCCAATTTTCAATGCTTATATTATGTCTATCTTTGCAAACTAAAAAAAAGTGGGGCTAAGCCCCCATCCCCACCCCACCCCACCCCAAGCCCCCCGGTTCCGACGCCCATGTTGGTCACGGAGATTCACCAACAAAAATTCGAGTTAATGCCCACCGTTTTCAATAGGTTCTGCCAGCAAGTTACCTCCTCCTTGAGGTCAGTGACCTTACAATTGCTACTGCAGCTGAGTGGCAGTCAGACACGTAGAGTCAGGGACCCCCTCCCTCTTTTTGTTGCAGTATAGTTAAAAGTTAATGTATTTGTAAAACTTGCTTGTGGAAAAAGCTGGACCCTAACCCCCTTCCTCGAATAGGATTTTCTAGTCTTGACAGATTCTAATTTTTATTTTCTAGTATATTTATTTACTTGCTTGTCAAAGTTTTTTTTTCAGGTAAGTTGGCATTTTTTCTTTTTGCCCCCCCCCCCCCTTCCAAAAACGATCTACGTGCTTGACAGTGTCAAAAGGCGAGTGTCCGGCGCCTTTAGATAACCGGAACCTGTGACTAAGGGAAGGGAAATCTGACAGAAAACCACTGGTCCTTCGAGTCCGGGAGTTTTGCTAAAGGTTAGCAACTCTAACGTGTAAAAAAAATTCTAATATATGAACCAAAGCCGAGGAAAATAGTAACATGGGAAGGATGGAAACTACTCAAGAAACTGAACACATTATGGATGGCAATCAAACCCAGGAGGAAAAAATGACATCCAGGTAGAGGACATCCTCCACCCTAAAGAGCTATGCAGAGTTAGCCGTTGGAACGTCCGCGTCCTCGAGCAGAAAAGAAAATTCCGGCCTTATGTGCTATAGGCATGAAGAGGACTTAGTAAATTATTGATTACAAATTCAGTACTTCAGGGAGAATCAATTTTTTTAAGTTTATTTTAGATCTGCAGATCGCACGCTCGTTTTTTAAAGTGGGAGCGGAAGGGGGGACAAAAATATTTGTTAACTTCAAAAAAGAACCTTAACTGCCGCATCTGTGTGGAGTTTCAAAATCACTAAACCTTGACATTGTGAGGATGTAACTGCCGATACTCAAAATACTTTCTCGTGGGTGGGTGAGTGATATAGCTCTAACAAGTTAGACCAAACTTTTTTTTTTAAATATGATACTATGAGAGAATTTCAACATTCTAAAACAAAAAGTAGGGAAGGTCAAGTGTTCTTTGGACCTTAAAAAATTGTCTATACTAAATTAACAACAAGACTGTTCTAAACTAAAAAAAAAAGGGGGGGCTACGGGCCTACTGTAGAGCTCTGACTGCATAAAAATACCCAGAAGTGTGCAATGTATATTTTTATACAGGGATATTAAAATGCATGCTTCATACTGCCTCATAAATTACTTAACACTTTCTTCTTCTGCATCATCTAAAGAGACACACTCTTCTTAATTCTGTGCAGGCACAAACATTGGCTTTTTGTGATGTGAACCACGGGGTATCAATTTTGGAGCGACATTTTTACTGACAATAAGAGTTGATTAACGCCTTTTGTCTTCAAGCACTTCAACAGGAAATCATTAAATGTTGTGAAAATGTCTCACTGGAAATCCAGCCTCTCTAATGTCTCTGTAAGCTATTGTTTCACGAATTGTCAAACCACCCACAATGGACGTTTAATTATACACTGTAAGGCCGGGGGGGGGGTGTCTGAGTACATGTATAGTCTTTTGCTGTAGTTTTAATATGGAAATTTAAATTTAAATGTTGGTTGCTCCCCACCTCACTCTTTCGTGCTGTAAGTTCAAACACTGGCAAATTCCAGCATTTGAAAAAAAATGTATCAAAGGTTAAAGACCCCCCCCCCCCCCTTGCGAAATAGGATTTTTGAATTCGGGCAGTTTATGTTTTTATTTCCTAGGCTCTTCAATTTCGTTTTGAGGCCCCCTCATCAACCCACTTTTCGAAACGTTGCTACAGCCTTGTTCTTTAGTCCTCACAGGGTCAGGGAGCTATGAAGAACAGTTTTTGGTGGAACAAATGCTACGAACACACGTTTTGTAACGCATTGAGATGGAAGTTAAAGTTAAAATTCTGGAGCGCATTCTGTCCGTGTGTACAATAAATACACACTTCCTGATTTCAAGGAACTCCAACTCCTGCTCGTCAATCCCAGTTTATTCTGACTAGTGAGCTACAGATCAACTGAAGCTAGATCAAATATAAATAAACTGCTTTGAAACATCTTATCATTCGAGTCAAATGGTTTTGTGTTCGGTTGATTTTACAGGGTCTTACATGTATATATGTATTTCCAGGTACATGTATTTACACTCAAATCCTGTTAACATGTCTTCAATTTGAGGCGGTTCCAACTTAAAATTTCAAATTCGAAGAAAGAATTATTTAGACTTTTGGTTGAAATAGTTTTTGCAGTTAAAACAGCTTTTTGTGTTTTCTACATTAAATGAATATGTAAAATAATCCTATATAAATCTTACATAACGTTTTCATGCAAACTCTAGTATCACTTGAATCTTGGAAGGTAAACTAACACCTCCAATTACCGTGTATCAGTTAATCTAAAAACTGGAACCTATATAACGTTCATATAAAAAAACAAGAACAAACCATTGCGACTTTTCTGAAATGGTTGAAATATATAATTTTATTCGATAAAATGTGACAGCAAAGCACAGAATACAAAACAATTGTTATAAGAACCATAGTCGAATAATTTAACTCTAGAATAAAATTAATAATAAAGAATGCGATGCACTTGTGTAGAGAATACAATAGACTCATAGGCCACAACGCTCACCTGAGTAGCCAGGGCCCTTGTTGTACTTCATCAGCCGATTCTTTTTCTTAAATATTTCCATTTAAAAATGATCGCCCATTGAAGCCTCACCCTACCCTCAGTGGTAATGGTTGAACAATCTTGAATCTACTCTATTTGAGGATGCTTCCATAAAAATATGACTAATGGTGACTTTGCTGTTACTGGGAAAGAGATTTTTCTATGTATTCCTATGTAAAACTTTGATTGTCCATTGTGGCCCAACCCTATTCCGGTGGGGGGGGGGGGGGGGATAATTATTTGAACAAACTGAATATGCACTACCTGTGGCTAATTCCGTATAAATATGACTGATCATGACTTTGCTGTTCTTCTTCAGAAGATTTTTACAGATCTTCCCAATATATTTTTATGTATAAACCCTATCCCCATGGTTGATGATTTGAACAAACTTAAATCTACACTACATGATGATGTTACCTTTTAAATATGACTGATCCTGGCTGTGTTGTTCTTGAGAAGATTTTTAAAGTTTTTTCCCCTATATATACCCATGTAAAACTTTGACTGCTTATTGTAGCCCCACCCTACCCCTGGGGTCATGATTTGAACAAACTTGAATCTACACTATCTAGGGATGCTTCGATGTAAATGTGATCAAGCATGGCTTTCCTATTCTTGAAAAGATTTTTAAAGATTTTCCCTCTTCATACCATGTAAAACTTTGATCGTCCATTGTAGCACTACCCTACCCCCGGGGGTCATGATCTGAACAAACTTAAATCTACACTATGCCAGGAAGCTTTCACAAAAGTTATATCTTTTCTGGCATAGTGGTTCTTGAGAAGATTTATAAATGACCCCACAATTTTTTTTTTACTTTTTCTTAATTGTCTCCCCTTGGAAAAAGAGTGTGACCCTTCATTTGAACAAACTTGAATTCTTTATACCCAAGGATCTTCTGTGGCAAGTTTGGTTGAAATTCGCCCTGTAGTTCTGGAGATGAAGATGAAATTGTAAAAAGTTTACGACGATGACAACAACACAATGCAATGGACACATTTTGATCAAAAAAGTTCACGAACCTTTAGCTCAGGTGAGCTTATAAAAACGATTTTTTAATTTAATTGTATGTATAAAATCAAAGTATTTAGAATTCTTTATTCAAAATTTTCTCAGTCATTCTAGATTCAAAAATGCTTTCGGTCTCTCTACACCTAAGCCCCCCCCCCCCCTTCTTTTTCTTCAGGAGAATTCATGTATCAATTTTTAACAAGTATTCCGTTATTTCAAACACAATTCAAACGAGTTTAAAACTACAGACATATTAAAATATCATTAAAAAAAACAAAAACATTGTAGCATGGTTGCTGCATCAAATAAGGAAAAGATGTACGTTTACAATAGACTCGAGAAGCTAGATTGAAAATTGTACAGAAAGTCTGTGGAACCAGAAACTTTATCTAAAAAATTACAGAAGTATAATTTTTTTGGGCTATATTTGAGTTTTTGCTATGCAACTTAATTTATACGATTCTAAAGAACGAACTTTAGAGTTTAAAGTTAGGCTAATGAAAACCCCCACTGAGATTCTATTTTTTGATTGATGACATCGTTGATCAGAGTAGCTACAATCAACTATTTTTCATCTTTTCCTTCAGTCAAAGCAGATTTTTAATGTCTTCTGGCCTATCAAGCTTTTTTTCACTTTTGTTCGTTGTCTTTGTCATTTCTAATGATGAGATGGTGAATTTTAAGCAAAGGGCCTTCTATATTAACCTGTGTCATACTGAAGATGTAATTTCCAGAATCATTCTTCATATTTTAAGAAATTTCCATAGCTTACAGTCTTTGGTTAATACATAGTATACATAAATAAAAAAATCATTAAAATCATACACATACATGTTAAATGTTGTCAATACTGCACTTTGATATAGGTGTAAACTGCTTGTATATCATCTACCCGAAAAGGTCTTTCTTACCCATCATATTATCAAAATTAGTTTAATATATATACCTATCTATCAATTAAAAGGTTAATTGTTTATTTTAAAACGTGCAATTGGTCCCCATGCAAATCAGAAGAGGGGAAAGGTGCTGAATCTAAGATCAAAGTCACGTTGTTTCCCTTCGTTTACATCAAAATCTAAAATTAAAGACACACATTTAAGAAGTACTTCATTGAGTCTCATTGAACCGATGTAGAATCTGCATACATTACATACTTTATCTATTTCTCGTTAACATGTTAAAATAATATGCAAAGATGCAGTTGAACATAGGAAAAGTTTGGTACATGTTATCAATTATATCACAAAATCAAACAATAATTTTTGGTTCACAACAAATAATGAATCAATCACAGCTAGATTTACACACTTGTAAACGTTGTTGTAACTATTATGACTCCTTTACTTGGGAAGAAGTTTCAGTAGTAAATCATATATATTGTGAAATCTAATACATGTAATAAGTACATTAACTACTTAACTCATTTAAATATTCAAATTCCTTTCTTGATTCAACTCATTAATATTCAGAAGTCTATCTATCTGAATACATCATTGCTCATTCTTTACTACTTTTCTATTAAATATGTGTTTATTAAGTATAAATGTCCATTCTTATTAATCAATGTCATTTACAGTGTATTTGTCAAAAACCTCTGAGAAGCACAAAATTATACTCATCCACTCCTGTTCTCTCATAAAACAAAAACGAACAAAATCAATTCGTTGTTATGTAATTTGACTAGAACTTAAATGTCCCCATTACATGCCTCCCAGACCAAACCAGGTGATAATATAATGAGGAAAATGAGTATTAAAGAAACAAAAGCACTCTTATGCCATAACTGAATACAATTAATCGAGTGCATAGTCTTCTCTAACATTTAACGACGTTCACAACTTCCACCATTTTACTTTTCTGAAATCTGAAATCAGAAGATTGATAATACTAATTTAAAATAATTGACAAACTGTACATTTAAAGTTTGTTTTTTTTCAAAACTGGAAAACATTTAATTTTCAAAAACTACAATACGCCTCTGATATTTAAATTAAGATTTCAGAAATAATGCTCTGTCATCATATTTGAAGAAGGTAAGATATTTGAAATAAAACAAAAACAAAACAAAACAAAAACACGTTTCTGGCAGAATTTTGAAAATTAGATTAGTATTTTTAGTTATATCACCTAGTCACTCTCGTTATCTGCATCATCATAGATTGCTGGTCCCTTCCTGGAAATTTTCAAGCCTAGCAAGTCTCCCAACATGTCAGTCATTTGCAGTACCTGAAATTGAATTATTATACCCATAATGTAATTTTCAAAGATTTTTTCCCAATTTATCAAACAGTCGCCAGTTGTTATAAACTCAAATTTATAGCACACAAAACAGCATCAAGTTATTATGTACATGTATTTCATTGGTGCCGAGACCAGAATTATTTCAGTGGCGACAGTGAAATCGTACATATCCCTTAAATTTTATCTTCTTTTTAATGACCTTATCTAACATTTCTTTGGTATGAGATGCAGATAAACAGAATCGTATACGACTCTTCTCCAACGGCACAGCAGGAAACGCAGCAACGGTAACCCCTATACCATGTTCCAGACAGTACCGCGAAAAGTACCTGTATTAAAAGATTATATCTTGTATAAAATTTTGTTTCACAAAGCATTTTAAATTTTTTAAAAGGATGTAAACTTTGTTTTTTTTAAAAACGAAATAAACATGATTACAACACTTCAGACTTTTACGCTCTGAAGAGAATAAATCAATTTGTGTTTTTTTTTCGTTCTAAGTTGGCCATTGATTGCACAAGGACAGTCGTTTAATTACTGGCAACATATACTGTTATTTTTAGAAATCCATGGAAACTCACACAACTTTGGCTGGCGAGAACGTAACCATAGGAACCACAGGCGAATCTTTGTTCCCGTATACTATGAAACCCATTTCTTGCAGTCGCCGTCGGAAATATCTTGTATTCCATTTTAGTTGATTTATTCTTTTAATGCCTACCAAAAGGAATAAAAAGTGTATAAAAGCTTGGAGAGGTTCAAAGCTTGCTTTCTAAAAAAAAAAGTAATGTCTTTTCAATACAAGATAACGGGGGGGGGGGGGGGACTAGAAGGTTTGATTGAAATAGAAAATATGCTTGTGCTCTCTACACCATATTGGAACCCTTAATTACCTGGTTTATTTCACTAAGCACTCTAATGGAAAACAGAAAACAAACTTGTAATTTTATGCATCTTGGGGGAAATAATTTAATTGTATATAATTTGTGGACGTTCACGTTTCCAGTTACATCTTCACTATCCTATATTTTTGTGTTCCAGCTTCAAAAATAGAAAAAAATGAGACAGATAATCATCATTACTCATGTTTCCTATATACATGTATATAGTATACAAAAACCCTTCAGTGTATTTCTCTTCCGCAAAAAGACAGTATTGAATTAGAATGTAATCGTCAAAAAGGAATAAGTCCTTAAATAGCTGCTATTACTTCACAAAGAAAAAAGAACACTGCATTACCATCTCTGGTGTTATCACGGCCCAGTATGATGTTCATGGAGGAAATAATCTGCTGAACGATGCTGGGCGCCACAGTACTGGAGTAAATGGCGGAATGTGAACGTAGACGAAGATGGTTTATCAATTGCTGAAATAAGATTTTACATCTTATTTTAAAGTTTTTCACAGATCTCTCTCTCTCTCTCTCTTTCTCTCTCTCGATTTTGATTTACAAGTGAAATTAATTTGTGAGTTTCTTTGAATAAACACCAGATAATTGGGAGCCTATTCTGTCGTCTAGCTTAACCGCTGCTACAACGAAACAAAATACATGTATTATAACTAGCCGGATAGTCCGAGACATATTGATCGCTTGATTTTGCAGCATTTTCTTCTATTTCCACAAGCTAATATAATTCCGAAAATTTATTACTTCTTCAATTCTTGGATGCTGATTGTTTGGAAAAGATTCAGCGGCAAAAATCACTTTGATTAATACTGTGTAGCACTGGGATTGCAATGCTGACGCAGACAATGTTCACAAATGAAAAAGCTTAACACGCAAGGAGAAAATCTGAAGTCACTGGATTTTTATTTGCATATTGGAATTTACGAACATGATCTTGCAACCAGACAACTTAATGTCTTTTTATGGGAATTACGTATTCCGGATGTCTATAATTGCATAAAGCTGACTAAATCGTCTAAATGATGCCTGATTAATTTACTTGTACCTAGAGGTCATTTCCATTTTGTTAAATTTGTTCAATTTATGTTAATAGTTCGACAAAACAAATTGATACCTAATGAATGTTGTTAATATCCAATCATAAATACCTTAGATCCGCCTATATAACCCCCGACAGCACCAAAACTCTTTGTAAACGTTCCCATCATAATATCAATGTCTTTGGGATTCATTCCAAAATAATCCACCACGCCTTTTCCGTGCGATCCAATAGCACCTATACTGTGGGCCTCATCCAAATAAACGTAAGCTTTGTACTTCTTTTTTAATCTAACCACATCTGGTAATTTTACTATGGAGCCTTCCATGCTACATATAAAGAGAGAATTAATTCGTAGCTCGTACACTTAAACAGCATGTAATTCGAATACGTAGATTATCATACAATAATTTTTTGAATTCACTGGGTGGCAGTTATCACAAAATTTACAGTTTGAAAGTTATTGTATATTTTCTTTAACCCCCCCCCCTTTCACACTTGGAGTAAATTAGAGCTGTTTACGTTTACCCTTTGCTGCAGATTTCAGTAATTTCAATGGTTTCTCTCCTTAATTTGAGCTTTTCATCCGTAATTTAATGCAATACATTGTTGTTGTTTTTTTAACTTTCTAATGTACATTATCAACTTTTAAAAGAAAATATCTTTTTTTATTGTTTCGTTAATATCCGTTTTGACAGAATGTATCATACATAAATGACAATCTAAATATCTATATATCAGTGTAATTAAGATTTTTAAGTATATTTCTATTATTGCTTAAGTGGCAATATGACATAGAAAAAATTAAAATTCGGAGCATAACAGATTAGCGTAATTTTCGGAGGTCAATCCGTAATCCGTATTTAAAAACAAAAAAAGGGGATAAATAATGGTAAAAATAAACAGCTCTGGTAGATGATATTTTTCGTTTTGTAAATTTCAAATTACTGACATCCAGTACATCTATACTGTATTAAAGATTTACAGTACGAGATTACAATAACTGTTCTATACGTTAATAAAAACAAAATGAGATGTGTATCTATCACATTCTACGGGTTCGCGACCTGGACATACAAATACAATTTTCTATATGTAGAATAATTGCCAAATAATGAAAAAGTTCCCTATCCTCACAAGTGAACAGAGAAAAGGTCAATTTTTGCAAAAGATTCCGAGAACTGGTACCATATCTATATAATTTGTGGAAATCACCACGCAAATTCATCACAATTTGATCAATCTAGCATACTCAGTATATGGAAAAAAAACGAAAAATTGTGCATATCGTGAAAAAATGGTTTGGATCAAGAGTTCAAGTTCAAAGCTGGGAGTAAAAGTGTCGGAAAAACCGGTCGATACCTATCATTTTATATAAATTTTCATTGCACTTTTGTTAATATCATACCAATCATTTGACGACTTCGTATCATTTAGCCTTCATCAAAGTGCTGATTGTGATACCTTCATTTCTAAGATTCTCTTTGAAGTAGCAACTAATACAACCAGAAAGTTTTAAAATAAGTACCTGTAAATTCCTTCAACAACTATGAGAATCTTTTTCCATGTTCTATGAGTTCTGGGTTCTTGATTTATGATGGCTTCTCGTAATTTCTTTTCTAAGTCTTCCATGCCTGATATTCAATATTCAATAGTAATTCGGTGACATTTCCTTTGGAAAAAGTCAACAAGGTATTTGAATTTATTTCAGCGTATGCTATATACATATTTCATTGGATCAAAGTGTATGTTTAAATTTTACAATAAAAATACATTCATACATTGAAGATTAAGAAATAATGTAAGTTTCAAGCTTGTCAAAATATTCATTAAGTACACTTTGGTACAAAAACGTTTAAATTTAATGATAAATAAGGGGGCCGACCCTCTGAAAAGAGAGGTAACTTTCCAAGTATTAAAATCATTTTCCATAGTTTGTCTTAATAGAGTTAAGTAATGGAGCCTTTTGAATAGTCCATTCAGTATTAAGGTGTGATAATAAATTTTTGCTCTTCCTTTTCTCTTAAAAAAAACTCTTCATATCATGGCCCAACATAAAATAATTTCAGGAAAAAAATAATACCTCATAGTATTTTCCATCTGAATCTACTGCTATAGTTCTTGATGAAAATCAATGTTGGGAAGTTAAAAAAAAATTGTGAATTTTAGAGCAGAGGGTCAATACTCCTTAAAAAATATAATAAGCACAGAGAACATTTTTAATGAAAATTAATAGACTTATCTTACAATTGTGTTTGAAGGTCCTTATTTGAGCCCCAGACAGTCGACACCCCAGGATCAAAGAGGCGTGGTTCAGCTCATCACTCAAGATTAGACAGCCCTGTTAAGAAAATGCCAGAAATAGACTAGAAAATATATTGGATCCTGTTGACAGCAGAATGGTTTCTTTGCTTTCTTATAATGAATGTAATTAATGAGTAAAATGGGATAATTCTAAAAACACAACCCTCAAGCCAATCATACCCAGCTAGATTCCATGTAATTAGAGAAAATGAATGAAAACTAATGAAAAAAAAATGATACTGACGCATTTGGCACCATGACTAAGGAAAAATATTTGATTGTCAGCAAAAATAGTCACACTATAAAATTATTTTGTTCGTCATCAAAAAACTAATCATATACATGTGAAATTTTTCTTTTTTTAATAAGAGAAGTTTCACGTCCACAGCTGACATGTGCTCTAGCAATAATATGGTTATTGATTGCTGTAAATTACATGATGCACGAAGTCAATTGTTGTGATATCGGTAGACCAGTCATATACTGCCTCTAATGGACAGCAGCTGCTTTCAGCATTGTAAGCTTTCAATTCGGTATGGGACAGAGATTCTTTATTTTTTCTCAGAAAGATATACATGCAATGTAACATTCTATTATTCTGTCGTCGGATCATTGTATTATATTATCTCTACTTTCTGTTTGGAAAAAAAAACACAATAAATTTTCTAATTAAAATGTTTCAATGGAAGGAAAGTTTTTGTTTTTTCTTGGATACGGCAAGATTAAGACGTCAGCAGACGAACACGAATACGTGCATTGTGGCCAACGTCAGATGAAATACTTAGACCTTTAAGCTCATTATATATATTCACCAAAGGGCTCTCTGTAGTAAATCAAGTGCCTGTCTGTATTGGCATGAAAGCGCCCATTTATATATAACTTCTCTCCCACAAAACGTACAGAAAATTAAAATATCTATAAAACTATGCTTTCAAAAACTAGTTCATGTAGCACCCTATACAATTTTTTTTTATTATGTACAGTATGTTTCAATAGCAATGAACGTTCTAAATGTCTTTTTTCAAACATAAAGTTTCTGTATTTTTTCATGAATGCATGCCCAACATTTTGTGTCTATAAGGGGGGAGGGCAGCGCACTATTTTGTTTGAATGAATAGATGATAAAATATCTCAGCAGATTGGAGATAGAGAGACTGAGAAACATACAGTAGTTTTAGTTTTATGTCTACTTTCTCCCTTTGCTTGCACAGATGGTAATAAAAAAGAGTAAACATTAGTGAATGGACAGAAACAAAGATTAAGATGTTGATGCAAGTCCAAAATGATGATAACACATGTTATCACTGTTTTTTCAGTAAATATTTATTTACCTTGCCCACAAGTGCTGGAAGGTTCATAGAATTGGTGGCAAACCCCATTGGAACGGTAATGGCAGCCTCAACACCGAGATAATCTGCAACAAGCTCGTCCAGTTCTTTGTGAATTTGAAGATAGCCTGCGAACAAATCAAATACAATTTCAACTTTCCAAAGTTGTGAACCCTAGTGAAATTTTAAAAGCATTATTGAAATGAACTCTTATCTCCAGTCCAGTTGAAGCAGATCAATTAAAATTCAGTTATATTTGGTAATTATACAGTTCCTACAAGGAATAAAAATAGCACAAAAAGAAAAAAAATCAAAAACAACAATTTAGTATCATCATCTTATTTTACATTGCAGCTTTGAAAAGAATACACGACACTTGTTACAGCGATCACGGAATAAAGGGGTTTTTGGACTTTTGATAAAAAAAAACTTTAAAAAATGAAAATATAAGCGGCAGAAGTTGTCTCTATATACCCCTTTTCAGTTCACATACACGAGGTTTCTCTCCTCACCTGACTTTGAGGTTCGTTATTAAGGGAATATTTTGTATTCAAAATAAAAATCAAACAGTGCGGAAAATTTAAGGGCAATAGCTGAATGGTAGCAATCATGTTCTAAAATAATTCATGATTAAAATAAAATATGTATCTTTTTCACTATTTTAGCAAATTAGCTGCAGTACCTAATTCTTGCCTGCTAGCGCAAATGGCATTCCCCAGTTCTTTGACTGTCTTCTCTACAGCCTCTGCACATGGTCCACTATTTTGAGAAAATCCAAGGTAATTGTATGATCCAAAGTTAATGGCTCTAGTACAGGTTCCCGTATACCTAATAAAAACATTTACTTGATACTTAATTGAGTAATACTCAGTATGCACTGCATCAATTAATCAAAACTTTTGACTTTTTTTTCTCCGGGATGTTACTGAAGATTACACAACTCACTATTTGTTTGAAGAAGTTTGGCGAACAAGGCGTGCAAAATGTCTATAGCTTCAAATGTATAGAAATCAAATTCAGTATGTGAACTAAGCATATGGAGCAAAGTTCTAATTAATGAAAAGTATGAAATAATTACAAAGAACTTTTCTGCGGAATAAATCCCAATTTTCTTTCTTAGATATTGATACGCTAACCCATGGATTAATGACCCTTTTTTTGGTAGAGGGTGCTGTACCCTTTCATTTGTGATTTTTTTAATCGAAAAATGGCAAATTTGGAAATATTGGTGTCTTTTATTAAGATTTACTGTTGAATGAAGAGTTTCTTTGAAGGTTTATTCCATATTCACATCTTTATGAATCATTAAAATCTCAAAATTCAATTTTTTCTAAGTGTCATTTGGGAATTTTTACCGAATTTTTGGGGGAATTGAGTAACAGGGTCCTTTTACAGGACCTGGATGCAAAGGTTATTAAGCCCTGTAACCAATACATCTCACAGCTCATAAAGGGTAGCATTTAAATCTTGTTTCAAACAAATTGTTTGTGATATGGCCCTTGAATAACCCGACTTCAAATATTTCTTGAAAAGATACGAATTTTGTGTCATAAAGGTGCATTTTTAATGCAGAGTGGGTCATTTCTCCATGTTTTTGTTAAGCAAATAAAATATATATTCAAACATACTTTGAAGATATGCTTTTAAAAAAAGATGAAGCGAAGACTCACTTATAAGAAATGTAGAAAAATTGCGTTATAGTATGAGGAAATGATTTCTGTAGTCCAATCCACACTTTGCAAAAGTTGTGTCCCTTTGCGGGGTCAATCAAAAGGTCAAAAGAGAAAGAATCAACATTTCTCCTCTTTATGCTACCAAACATTTGGGCGTGCTCTGTTGAAACCACTGTGTTTAATTTTTTATCTTTCAATGCGTGGGTAGCCCCATCTTGGGGCAATCAGTACACAAAATGCAAAACTTTTTACCAGTCAAATAACAAAGTTACAAACCTGAAAATTACAAAGGCTACAGTGAAGATTCTATGGGTTTTTCCCCTAACATGGCGGCCAAAGGACATAACTTTTGAAAAGTGTGGATTCAACTATTGGCCCTCCTTGGTATGTGCATGCTATATCACCAATAATTTTAACACTTGTGAGATCGAGATTTTACGATATAAGTATACATGTACATAAATGTTAACTGAAATGCCAAAGAAAATTGTATCATAATTGAGATTTAATTTTCACTTTCTTATTTGTTGAACCATAGGCATTTTTTCTTGGCTTGTTCGCCCTTCTTCTTTATACATGTACAATGATTTACTTTAAATAATTTTCTCTGTATATGAAATAAAAGAAAGATTCTAAAAACTTGAGAAGGGGGCAATTTGCGTGTATAGCTCTCAGTACAGAAATAGTATTACCGGAATGTCCAGTAATGATCGTCCGTTACGCGATCCATGACGTCCATCTCGGCTCCGGGGACACTGCAGATAGCCCGATATAGTGTATCCTTGCCTCTTCTGAAGATGTACCAGTGATAAAAACTCTCCCAGGTCTGGTACAGGGGAACAAAACCCTAGGGGAAAACAGCAGAGTACAATGACATAGCAACGGGCGCGCTTGTATTTGAATTTCATAAATGTAATAAGTGCATAGATTAGTATAAAAAATCCCATTTTATGTTAAGTCAAACAGCAGAATCTTCCAGGCCTAGAGAGTTTGGAAACAGTCAATTTGTCGTTTAAAACGACAAATTGATCGGTTTTCAGTAAGATAACAGATTAAATAAATTTTCTTTGTAATGTTCATAAATTCTAAATTGTGTTTACGAGCTACACAAAAATAATACAGCTTCTTCTACCTTTCTATAAAAAAAAATAATTACAGTAATAATAATGATACAACAAAATTAATGGAAATTTAAACAATATTTAAAAGTACATATTTTTTGCCATGATCGGTACATGCATATCAAAATACACCAATAAATAATAAGTAAACAGCATGAAGAAGAGAGATTTACCGGAATGTTTGGTTCCGATATGTTTTTAACTCTTCCAATTCCTAGCTTTTTCAGAAACTCTCGTACATGTCCGACAAGAATGAGTATTAGAAAACTAATATACGTCATTATGGAAGTCCAAAGTGGCGGGTCCTCAAATGACTCGTAAAATTTGGCCGTCCATTTTTTGTCATGCTGAAAGTCCATGTCAACCTTTCTCTGATTTGAACGTCCATGCTGCGTTCCTGAAAATGATCTAAGATGTCCATTCTGACGTTGTTTTGTCGTCACTGTTGGTTTCGTTTTCAATACATTATTCTGAGGAAGGATTCCGTTTTCACAAGTCAGCGAGGGAATACGAGTCGTCTGCTCTGTTATAGAACCAGAGAAGGTTGATTCGGTGAGAATATCTGCCATTCTCTTTGATGCTGCAGTGTCCAGCGCCTGTAAAGTCTGGGGGGTAGGGAGGAAATCTTCCTCAACACGTGAGCTGTATATTTCCTTGATTGTCATCCTCCCATAAGTTTTCGATCTTCCTTACTCTGAAAATATAACAAAATCCCATGATTTTAATAATTTTTTGTAAGCAATAGTTTCCTATTATATACATGTACTTTAGAAAAGTGGACAGACCCCGCCTACATCCACTGCTATATGTAGACAATGCCTGCCCATTTTTCTAAAAAGAATAATGAACTAACTGTACCATTTATTACTATCTGTAGCATTAGTACATACAATTGAAATAAATCTGGGTCGAAATCTTAACCTTATCGATTGAAAGCACGAGAAGCAAATCTATTAATTTTCTGTATGTCCCAGCGATGACAAGGCTGAGGCTGTAGGGATTTATTTTCTGTGTAAAGCTTTTATAACAGATATATGTAGTATGAACCTTCTCACTGACAACTACATTGTACCTTGTGTGTGGCAAACGTAATGATATGAAATACTGAAATATGAACTACATTGAATGTAAAAGTTTCTATTGAGAAGTCTAGCTTAGTTCGCCTATCGTCTCATATATATATATATATATATATATATATATATATATATATATATATATATATATATATATATATATATAAGAGAACAACTTTATAGTCATATAATTATATAAAGGATTAAAAAACACACACACTAATTAAGGAAACCATAATGAGAAAGATAGGAGTAGCTACTCGATTCCTGTGTATTATGTTGCGTTAAAAAAATCAAATCTTAATTTTAAACTCATCAATAAGATGCAAAGTTTTCAAGTTTTCGTGGGGGTGGGGTGTTCTTATTTTCAATATAAATAATTAATATAGAAATAGAGCATTCGGTAGGGAAAAGGGGGGGGTGTCCTCAAATGAAAAAAAAACCTCTTCAATATATAAAAACTATTGTCAGATCTAGTTGTAAAACATTTTATTACACAAGCGTTCCTCTTTCAAGACAAAACTCAGTCAATTAAAAAGAAAGGTATCTACATTAGGTCGACACAAATATTCAATTCTCCATCTTGAAAAATTAAAGGTTTTTTGATTGTCATTTAGTGCAACAACGAGGGAATGTTTCTAAATGCATGACCCTATCGTGTTTCTTAATCGGATTTGCGTAATGAATTACGCATTCATCGATTAATACTCTGCACGGCTCTTTGAGAATATCGATGCATAATTATGTGGTCTTTACTCAAACAAACGTACCTTCGATGAACTAAATGTTGAAACAGAGAAACGAAAGCTGTCATTTTTCTTTCATGACGTAATGATGTCGTCATAAATATCGAACCCGATTTTATTAAAGAGAAATAATACATGCTCGTAGGAACAGGGGGCCCCCTCCCCAATAATTTTGCCGATATATAGTTTACTATAGTAAATATAGATACTATATACTTGTGCCCCCTCAATAAAAACGTCTTATGACCTTTTTTTTTTTTTTTTTTTTTTTTTTTTTTTTTTTTTTTTTTTGCTTGTCAAGGAATTTTTCAGTGGTAGTTGATGACCCTTTTTTTTTTTTGCTTGTCAGAAAATTTTTGGTAGTGCCCCTCAACTGTCAACTGAAATGTATGGCTGTGCCCCCCCCCCCCCCCAACTGAAATTGCTTCCTACGAGCCTGGAATAAAGACATTTTTTTAACTAATGAAAATAACTTTAATGTATGTAAAAATTTCTATGTCTGTATTCTTTTTTTTCTTTTTCCTAGCACACAGTTTATCGATTAGTTCTAACAATTTCAGGCTGTATTTTTACAGAAATGGCAACCTACAGCGAACTCTTCTGATTTATCTGTAAAATATTATCAATTCCTTTATTTATTTTGAAAACGAAGGAAACTTTGGTATATTCAAAGGGAACCCCTATCTGGAGCCCCAATAAAAGAAAAGTGCAAGATCAGCTGATTGTCTGAGTCACTGCGTTCAAAATTAACTTCAGACGGGAAAAATGCATTTCATTTACTGCAAATACAAAGCGACACATTCCTCTCCATCACACAAATTCAATTTTGTATTTTGTTATACGTTAATTAACAGATTTGTAACATGAGAACGAATTGGAGTATTCGTCATCCGAATGAATAGAGATTACTACCATTTAAAACCGTTCTTTTGTCTTTTGTGCTATAATGATATTACTCATAAACTGCTTTCATAAACGCATTAAGTATAGCGAGTAAATCATATTCTACAAATACATTTATCATATTCCTGCAAATTCTGCATATACATATATAATCATTATATTAAACTTACTTCAAAGCTGTACAAAAATGCAAAGCAAAATGATCCATGCACGATTAATTAAAGTCAAATGAAAGGTACATATGATCGTAGCGTTATCGCTGTCTTCTATGTTTCATTTTCATTGTTTGTGTACTATTTCACGTGTATTTTATGCTTGAGTACACAGACATGCAATAGTCACATGGCCTCCAGACTGATACTGTACATAAAGAATCACGCCATCGGGTGGTTCGTTGCTTATATCACTCAACCAAAATACAGTAGCTTTAATGGCCATGGGACAATATTCATATGATTAAGAATGATTTAATGCTGCAAACATTTTCAGCTCGTTTAATGGACCCTTTGGACTTTATTTCAATTTTCTCTGGTTATAATTTACACCAGACCCTTTGGACTTTATTTCAATTTTCTCTGGTTATAATTTACACCAGTTTACAGCTGATTGAGGAATTATATGATCACGCCATGGCGACATGTCCTTTAAATACATCAGTTTTTTTTTTATATTTAAATATGCCATTATCAGAGTTCACACAGAGCACTATATGTATATTTTCTATATCTGTACAGCAATTAAGAAAATTTCTATGACGAAGAATCCTACAGATTTGATACATAAAAACAAAAGAAAGACAATATTTATGGTCTTTTGGTTGGTGGCTTTAAAATATTCTGCATTATTGGCAACAATGGAGCTTTAATTAGTAGCAAAAAGTTGACATTATTTAATTTTTGTCAACTTTAAATAATATAGATGGGTATATTATGAAGTAAGCTTTAAAATTTGATCTTCAGAGAGAGAGAGAGAGAGAGAGAGAGAGAGAGAGAGAGATGACATATTAGTACTCTACAAAGGTTTGAACTTGTATGACCTTCTCATGATAATAATCCACCAACAGTCCCAACGTTATAAAAGGGGATGTTCCTTTACGACACGGACACACGCATACTCTCATATAAATTACTTCCTTTATGCTACTGTGTAGGACAGCAATTTAAGGAGATAGATGTCATGTATCAGTATAAACTATTTAAATTAATTACTGACACAAAAATTTAGGCATACATGTACTTTATTAATACCTTTCAACTATTGAGGTAGACGTGGCGAGGGTTCTCAAGTAACGTGGAATAAGCTCTGGGTTTACAATAGCTTATCATTAATTAAGGATTTTTTTTAAATTCATACCCAATATTAAAAAAAAATAATACAATTACCAATAAAATATTTTTCCCGCCACATAATTTATACTTGCTAGGGATTTTTCGACTTTTTTTAGGTTTAGTTAGGTATAAATGACATCCTATATTACTTCCGGATCTTAGTGATTTAGGAGAAATTGAGGTCCAGTGGGAGGCGATGTGTGGTTGAGGATACAAAGAATGCTCAATTGTTCAAATAAAAAAAAATACTCCAATGCAAACTCTCCGCCTCTCTCGTACACATTTTCCAAAGTTAGAAACTTGCATTCATTGTTGTTCTCTATATACAATCCAAATAATGGAATGTAATAAAAGAGCCGACTACAGAACAAGTATGAACTTGTATACTAGTACATATAGGTCCCTGAGACCATTCTGTTAATTGTCTGACTTGAAGACAATACTTATACTACACCACGAACAATAAAGTTGAAGTATATTTTCAGTTTTAATTTTGAATTATGTACAGACTTTCTCCGCTACATCTGTTAACTTTTTGGTTGTGTTAGAAATCTGCCTCGAACAGCGTGGAAAAGATTTCTTGTAACGATAATTAAATGACATTATCTGAAATCAAAGGTTAATTAATTTCGAGGATTCAATGATTGAAATACGGAGTAGCTAAACGGCAAGTACATTTTTACAGTATTCGAACACACTTTATACCCTAAGAAACTGCGAAGAGGCTACATTTTTCTCATATCGATAAGTGATTTTATAAGAGCACTTTAGCCTTTTTTGCATTCAACACTGAACTGGACATTTATAACTGACATCATCTTTCCAGATCGATAAACATTTGTGTTGCAGATGCGAGGACCTAAGACGAAATATGATTATTTAATTAATTAGATGGTTGATGCAATTATCACTGAAACAACAAATGATTTTAAAAGAGCTACCCTCTCCCCCTAATAAAACATGTTTAAAACATTCTTTGATAACTGAGATTTTCTTTTTTAATTCAAACTTCAATATCATATCAATTATGATCTTTATATGATCTTTACATAATACAAATGTCCATACTGACCTTTTGGAGTTTCCAAAATATCTTGATAGTTGATGAGTGCCTTGGTCAGTTCACATTACGGACAACTAAATCTTCCTATGCACCAACGAAGCGGTAGACTCGTCACTCCTCTTATTGATTTCATAGAGCCTTGCCGAATGCTGCGATTGGAGGGAACGGATGATAACACCATGTAACAAGAAACTCTTTTACTCGATTTTGTCAAACAATCACAACAGCAGGTTGGTTAATGATTACACCACGTAGATCGATTTTCTATATTTGACAGGACCATAACTTCATCATTTAACAAATCTATACTTATGTTACATAAAATCGATGAACAAACACATTTCACGCTTTTGCTTGTATTATAGTAAGTGACCTTTGACCCAGACAGATGCTTTCACGGGCTCCTCTTGATCTGTTGGTTAAAATTGCATAAGAAAGCTCATTCACCTTTGTCAAAATATTTTAAGAAGAGCTTAACTTTGAACATTTCTGTTTAATTATCTGAGATGAAATAACTTTGTAAAATTCCCTTTCGTACCTCCGATCTTTGTTTATGAAGTGTGCGTTTCCTGCTTATTTAATGCAAAGCATATTATAAGTTTTGTTTTTTCTTTTCATTCAAGACATGCGTAACTAATTGTAGAGCTATAGCAGTGCTTGACACGGAATAAATAATTTCACTGGGGGTTACAGAGTTTAACTGTTTGAGAAGAAGTCGAATCAGCTGATTTTGAAATTAGGTACGGGAGGGGAAATTTCAATGCCAACTAATTCCAAGCTCTCTGCAAATCCTAGCTGTCAGTCCTGCACTACACATGAGTTAAACTTTGTTCGTTTATTGTTTTCAGCCATAAATTTGATATACACTTACGAGCTGTGAATCGTACACAGAGGGAAAAACTCTCCATTTGTAAATCGAAATTCCTAATGCAAAGTGACATTTTTGAGCTGTTTTTTTTTTCAAGCTTCTGAATACATGTATACTAAGATTAGGTAAAGAACTTCTTTTCGCAGAATATCTCCGAGTCTATGCTTATTGTTCGCAGGTGGTAATTGGGTACTCTTGCAGTACCGTGATGGTAATCGCCTTGTTTTGTAAATATATTACTCAGCACACAATTACCACCTCGATTGTGAGGAAATGTCACGAGCAGAACTGTACACAATGCTTGCGTAATGAATCCTGAATTCTGGACAATTATTGACAGGGATATACACTGTACAAACACTGGCTACCGCGGTCATTGGGCATTAATAGGACAGAATAGCATGCTCACCGGCTTCTCTCCCTGACCAAAGAAAAATTTATCGTACTAAGATAATATTATATAAGCATTACGAGTACATGTATATTAACTCATTGTACATTTTCTCATAAAGTGATAAATGTAGATAAAATCTATTGACATGAATTATACATGAAAGATTTGTACAGTTCATTAAAAAAAAATAATTAATCGAGGAATCGTTTTTTACCATTTCATAAATTGTGCAACTATTTGTACATCAGGGGGAGAGTGCAATTGAGCACGTCATCAGGACAATTTGACATATTGTTTACATTTTGATTTCCACAAAAAAAAAAAAAATTAAAGAAAGTGATTAAATATATATGTATTTAAATTATTAGTACATGTATATTGTTTCTGATACTTTCCATGATTAAACAGTGTATATTAGCACGACTTTCTAATGGTAATTATAGGTCTCTTTTTCTATCATACATTTATACAATAATAATAATAATAATTTACTTTATTTGGTCCATTTTTTTTAACAAGAGCAGTCCACGACAGCGATGAAGGAAAGATAACTCTGAATGGTATGTATATCCTAAATCCTTCCAGTGATTACTTTCAATAGAGGATTCTGAACTCACTGAAAACATAAGGGGGGGGGGGGCTTATACTAAAATGCAGTTTGCCAACCTTACCAACTCTACAAACGTACAAAGATCAAAACTGAAAAAGAAAAGAAAATGATATTGCATGAGCATGAAAAGAACACTATGCACAGAAATTTAGGACCCTCTATACACAGCACACTAAAGAGTTTTAATTCTGGTGTATTTATAAAGCTAGAATGATCTACCCTTAGATCTAAATAAATTAAAATAAATACAGTGTATCACGTAAATTTTAATCAATTACGCTTTCTTAATATTGAATTAGGTCATGATAAATTAGTTGAACTCCTTATTTGCATGTATTTTGCCCTATTTGAAAAAGAAATAGATGAACTATCAAGTTAAAAATTCCATAATAATACAGCTTTTCTATTGTTTATACCATGTGTGGTAAATATCAAAGGATCAAAAGTTAATTTGAAGGTCACCACGAGTGCCAAACAAGGTGAACAGGGTATACACAGGGACTAGTAAGTAAATGTCAATCAAGTTCTAGCACCCAATGATGCACCTTAATGCATTTGATTGACAGGGGTACACAGACCAGGTATTTTTGAAGGAGGTGCTTAAAATCTCTGCCTTTAAGTCATTATTTACACACTGAATTGCCTACGGATTTTTTCGTTTGTGCGATCACGACGACATGGAGCACACAGCGGGTGTTACCGGTCGACAGGGGTTGTTTTCTCCTGTATGGCACCTGACCCCACCTCTGATGCCTTTAAAGGTCCGTGTTTGCTCTAGTCCCGAATTGTAATGTTTCAATAGACTTTTGAGCTTGATTACTGTTTATTATTTTCATATTTCATTATAGGCCGTGGTGAAGTCATTTCTGATTTTAAGAGGGAGTTTTCTATAAAGAAAAAAGGGGGAAACCCAGCCCAAATTGGAAGTTGAAAACTTCATTCTTCGACCCCTTTTGACCCCAAGAGTGAAAATGAAAATTCTGAAACCTAATTGCACATCAGCAGAACACCTCCAATCATATTATAAAAGATGAAATGGCTACTGCTAAAAATGTATGAGGAGTTCTGTAAACCGGGTTATTGAGAAATGAAAAACGGCTTTTTTCCGACCCTCTTTTGGCCCCAGGATGAAAATGAAAATTTTGAAACCTTACTGCACATCTATAGAACACTCCTAACGATCTTGCAAAAGTTGAAATGGCTACTCTGTAAAATGTATGAGGAGTTCTGGGAACCAGATTTTTGTAAAATAAAAACCGTCGTTTCCCGATCCCCATATGGCCCCTAGGGTGAAAATGAAAATTTACAGACATTGCACATCTGCATTACATCCTAAAACATCTTGCAAGAAATGAAGTGGCCAGTGCGTAAAATGTCAGAGGAGTTCTGGGAACCAGGTTTTTGTAAAATGAAAAACATCGTTTTTGACCCCCATTTGGCCTCCTCCAGTGTGAAAATGAAAATTCAGAAACCTTACTGCACATCTAGAAATCACTCCTAATCATCTTGCTAAAGATGAGATGGCTGCTGTTTAAAACGTATTAGGAGTTCTGGGAACCAGGTTTTTGTAAAATAAAAATCGTCGTTTTCAACCACAACAGTGAAAACTGGATGCTGTCATTAGACAGTAATGCCCACACTAAGGTGTTTGCCTCTAAATGTCTCCTCCTTCAAATTCTGGTAACCAGGGAAGAAGCACACATTTAAATCAAGCATAAAATGCTCAGGTGAACATGCAGCCCATATGGGCCTCTTTGGGGATCAACTTTGTCAAAAATCAACTCCCACCCATGATTCGCCTGTTTTCCTGTCATAAGCCTACATGTATTTGGAATAGATAACACAAACTTATGTAAAAATTAAACATTGTATGTAATTATAAAATAAATTTTACAAATGTACACTCTTGGAAAATTTCTAGACCTGCGCATAGCGTTGGAATTACGTCACACTAGGAGCACTATTTTTAGCGTTATCATTATTGGATAACACATGGTATATTAGTCCGAAATATCTGACGTTTTCCAGGATTTTTTCACGATTTTGATATTTCACGTGCCAGGAAAACGTCAGAACAGGCGCCATTACGAAAACTGGAAATTTCGCCGTCTTCAACCGCAGTTAATTTTCGATACTTGCGAACCGAAATTAAATGCCGAACTTAAAATTTAACAATAGCACAATGCTTCTAGTACTCACCAATATTGATGAAAAGGAAACATCACTCCACATTTCGATACAGGACTTGCAAGATTTTATAATGCACGAAATGAAAGCAAATCTCGACAGCCAGATAAAATGTATTCATTGGATTGTATATTTTATAAACGAACCACAAAAACAATGTTGGTGAGTACTAAAAGTATTGTACCATTGATAAGTTGTGAGTTTGACATCTATTTCAGTTCGGAAGTATCGAAAATCAACCCGAGAATGCCGCCTCCTGTTGGAGGCGGTGAATTCCCAGTTTTCGTAATGGCGGCGGTTCTGACGTTTTCCTGGCACGTGAAATATCAAAATCGTGAAAAAAGCCTGGAAAACGTCAAATATTTCGGACTAATGGTATATATACATCATTATTACCAGTAGGAATATTCATAGTGTGTGTTTTAGATGGATTTAATTTATCATTCTATAATTAAATTACCTATGACAGACGGTAAATACATTATGAATACTGTAAAATCATATATTTTCATGGGGTCAAATTTTCGTGGTTTGAAGAAAAAACTATGGGTTCGTGGGGATTTGATTTCGTGGATGTAGAATTGTTTAGTAGTTGAGTTCTGTATATTCTCTTATCAAAAACAACGAAAATTAACCCCACGAAAATTAGTGATTTCACAGTATATTATTTTAGAAGTTTGTTATAGAACAGGGTAAACTAATCAGAAATGAAAATGGTTAGGTGCATAGTTTGAAAAGGGACAAAGAAAATTGGAATGCCACATGCAAATTATACATTGAGGCAAGTCCCCGGGGTCATTCCCACTCTTTGGAACAGGAAACAATAAAATAGCTTTCATTAAAGCAAAATCCCCTGAGTCATCTTTTTATTATGACATACTAAATAGGATATATGGGTCATGACCCCCAAAGGTCATTCCCAACCCCTAAAACTTCAAATGATCATATATCTTGAAAATGGTTGAAAACTTCTCCCCTTAACCAATATAATATTGTTCCTTGAGTCATTATGCATTAAATGTATAAAGGTTATGACTTATGACCCTTTGAAGTCCTCACCCTGAAACTGGAAACGATCACAATATAACCTGCATTAAAAGTGTGTCAGTGATAATCTACTTAACATTTTATTCATGACCCCCACCCTCTTAGAGTCAGCCCACCTTCCTAGAATTAGAAAATGAAAATCATTCCGAGACCCGCCATTAAACTTTGTGTAAATGTACATTTTTGTATTATTCACAATTTTTTTTTTATATAATCAA